TGAAATCAAACAAAGTTTAATTTTGGACCCTTTGGACCTCAATGTGGACAAAGTTAATAACAGGGCCCAAAAATCAAAAATCTAAATACATGGTTAGATTCAGCATATCAAAGAACCCCATATATTCAATTTTTGTTGAAATCAAACAAAGTTTAATTTTGGACCCCGATTTGGACCAACTTGAAAACTGGGCCCATAATCAAAAATCTAAATACATGTTTAGATTCAGTATATCAAAGAACCCTACGAATTCAATTTTTGTTAAAATCAAACTAAGTTTAATTTTGGACCCTTTGGACCTTAATGTAGACTTATTTGAAAACGGAACCAAAAATTTAGAATCTAAATACACGGTTAGATTCGGCATATCAAAGAGCCCCAATAATTCAATTTTTTATGAAATCAAACAAAGTTTAATTTTGGACCCTTTGGACCTCAATGTGGACCAATTTAAAAACGGGGCCCAAAATCCAAAAACTAAATACACGGTTAGATTCAGCATATTAAAGAACCCCAAGAATTCAAGAATAAAACCCCATTGAAATTGGTCAAGAAATAAGCAATTTATACGAAGTATCTTCATTTGCACAATACTGTGCAATTAAATATTTCTTGCTATTGCGCAATACTGTACAATTGACAATTTCTTGCTATTGCGCAATATTGTGTATGGATATTTCTTGCTATTGCGCAATACTGTGCAATTGAAGATTTCTTGCTATTGCGCAATACTGTGCAATTGAAGATTACTTGCTATTGTGCAATACTGTGCAATTGAAAATTTCTTGCTATTGCACAATACTTATTATATAATAATTTACACATCCTGTTTGGTGTGTATCTCCTACCATATCATTATTATTTGCTTTTAAATAAAAATCAGAAATAACCAACTTAAAATGGAAAATTTTAAAAGAAAATATAGGAAAAAAAGAAAAAAAATGAAAAAAAAAAATCCCCCCCCCTCCCAAATTTTTTGAACCCCCTTATGATTCATCACACCCAAACTCAATCCCAGCCTTCCCTTTGTGGTATGGTACCTTGCAGTACAATTTCAGAGAGATCCATCCACTTACACACAAGTTATTGTCTGGAAACTAGAAAAATGTGTTTTTTGGCCCCTTTTTGGCCCCAAATTCCTAAAATATTGAGGCAATTACCCCCATCATCAATCCCAGCCTTCCCTTTGTGGTATGGTACCTTGCAGTACAATTTCAGAGAGATCCATACACTTGAACACAAGTAATTGTCTGGAAACTAGAAAAATGCTTATTTTTGGCCCCTTTTTGGCCCCCAATTCCTAAACGTTTCGGTAATTACCCCCAAACTCAATTCCAGCTTTCCCTTTGTGATATGGAACCTTGTAGTACAATTTCAGAAAGATACATACACTTACACACAAGTTATTGTCATGAAACTAGAAAAATGCTTATTTTTTGCCCCTTTTTTGGCCCCTAATTCCCAAAATTTTAAGGCAATTACCCCCAAAATCAATCCCAGCATTCCTTTTGTGATATGGAACCTTGTGGTACAATGTCAGAGAGATCCATACACTAACACACAAGTTATGTCTGGAAGTTACAATAAAATGCTCCGCAGGGCGCAGCTTGATACGACCGCAGAGGTCGAACCCTGAACAGTTGGGGCAAGTATGGACACAACATTCAAGCTTGATACAGCTCTGAATTTGGATTGTGATTAAATATTTGACACAGCATAGGTTTCTGACACAGAATGAATGTGGTCTAAGAACTTAAAAATTTTAAATTGGACATTCACCTATTATGGTCCAATATCCAAAATCTAAATACATGGTTAGATTCAGCATATCAAAGAACCCCAAGAATTCAATTTTTGATGAAATCAAACAAAGTTTAATTTTGGACCCAGATTTGGACCAACTTGAAAACTGGGCCCATAATCAAAAATCTAAATACATGTTTAGATTCAGCATATCAAAGAACCCTAAAAATTCAATTTTTGTTAAAATCAAACTAAGTTTAATTTTGGACCCTTTGGACCTTAATGTAGACCAATTTGAAAACGGAACCAAAAATTAAGAATCTAAATACACGGTTAGATTCGGCATATCAAAGAACCCCAATAATTCAATTTTTGATGAAATCAAACAAAGTTAAATTTTGGACCCTTTGGACCTTAATGTAGACCAATTTGAAAACAGAACCAAAAATTAAGAATCTAAATACACGGTTAGATTCAGCATATCAAAGAACCCCAATAATTCAATTTTTGATGAAATCAAACAAAGTTAAATTTTGGATCCTTTGGACCTCAATGTGGACCAATTTAAAAACGGGGCCCAAAATCCAAAAACTTAATACACGGTTAGATTCAGCATATTAAAGAACCCCAAGAATTCAAGAATAAAACCCCATTGAAATTGATCAAGAAATAAGCAATTTATACGAAGTATCTTCTTTTGCACAATACTGTGCAATTGAATATTTCTTGCTATTGCGCAATACTGTACAATTGACAATTTCTTGCTATTGCGCAATATTGTGCTATTGGATATTTCTTGCTATTGCGCAATACTGTGCAATTGAAGATTTCTTGCTATTGCGCAATACTGTGCAATTGAAGATTTCTTGCTATTGTGCAATACTGTGCAATTGAAAATTTCTTGCTATTGCACAATACTTATTAGATAATAATTTACACATCCTGTTTGGTGTGTATCTCCTACCATATCATTATTATTTGCTTTTAAATATTAATCAGAAATAACCAACTTAAAATGGAAAATTTTAAAAGAAAAAAAAAAAGGAAAAAAAGAAAAAAAAAAATCCCCCCCCAAATTTTTTGAACCCCCTTATGATTCATCACCCCAAAAACTCAATCCCAGCCTTCCCTTTGTGGTATGGTACCTTGCAGTACAATTTCAGAGAGATCCATACACTTGAACACAAGTTATTGTCTGGAAACTAGAAAAATGCTTATTTTTGGACCCTTTTTGGCCCCCAATTCCTAAACGTTTCGGGCAATTACCCCCAAACTCAATTCCAGCTTTCCCTTTGTGATATGGAACCTTGTAGTACAATTTCAGAAATATCCAAACACTTACACACAAGTTATTGTCATGAAACTAGAAAAATGCTTGTTTTTTGCCCCTAATTCCTAAAATTTTGAGGCAATTACCCCCAAAATCAATTACAGCCTTTCCTTTGTGATATGGAACCTTGTGGTACAATGCCAGAGAGATCCATACACTTACACACAAGTTATTGTCTGGAAGTTACAAAAATGCTTATTTTTGGCCCCTTTTTGGCCCCTAATTCCTTAACTGTTGGTACCATAACCCCCAAAATCAATCCCAACCTTCCTTTCGTGGTATTGAACCTTATGGTAAAATTTCATGGAGATCCATTCACTTAAACTAAAGTTAGAGTGCGAAAACCAATGTGTCTTCGGACGACGCCGGACGACGCCAGACGACGACGACGACGCCAACGTCATACCAATATACGACCAAAAAATTTTTAATTTTTGCGGTCGTATAAAAATGCTTATTTTTGGCCCCTTTTTGGCCCCTAATTCCTTTACTGTTGGTACCATAACCCCCAAAATCAATCCCAACCTTCCTTTTGTGGTATTGAACCTTGTGGTAAAATTTCATAGAGATCCATTCACTTAAACTAAAGTTAGAGTGCGAAAACCAATGTGTCTTCGGACGACGCCGGACGACGCCAGACGACGACGACGACGCCAACGTCATACCAATATACGACCACAAAATTTTTTTTGCGGTCGTATAAAAAGGAAGGCTGAGATTGATTATGTTGGTTATGGCCTTAATGGTTTAGGAATTAAGGGCCAAAAATAATACTTTTCTAATATTTTGTATAAATTGCTTATTTCTTGACCAATTTCAATGTTTTTTTTTTATTCAAAGTCTTGAATTCTTGGGGTTCTTTAATATGCTGAAGCTAACCATGTATTTAGATTTTGGGCCTAGTTGTATCGTCTGGGATGCGAGACATAGTGATTAATATCCGGTGGTGGACGTGGTGACAATGTTAACTATTTGTATAAAGTTTTATATTTCAGAAGGTAGAAGACCTGTATGCTTCATACCTTGTTTGCAGATACCTTATGTTACGAAGTTTCCGTTTGTCATATGTCCATTATCCTTGACCTCAAGGGGTTCCTTGCAACGTCTTCATTTCCGTCAGACAGGGTTCACCTGACCTCAACCTCATTCATGGATCAGTGATCAAGGTTAAAATAACGTGATTAGGTCTGTTTCTCAAATACTATAAGCAGTAGGTCAACTATATGTGGTGTATGGTATGATTGTAAGGGTACATGTCAGTCTGGCAGGTTTCATTGGACCTTGACCTCATTTTCATGGTTCATTGGTTTTAGCAATAGGTCAACTATATTTGGTGTATGGAATGATTGTAAGGTGTACATGTCTGTCTAACCGGTGTCATCTGACCTTGACCTCATTTTAATGGTTCATTGGTCAATGTTAAGTTTTTGTATTTTGGTCTGTTTTTTAAGTACTATAAGCAATAGGTCAACTATATTTGGTGTATGGAATGATTGTAAGGTGTACATTCTCTCTAGCCAGTGTCATCTGACCATGACCTCATTTTCATGGTTCATTGGTCAATGTTAAGTTTTTATGTTTTGGTCTTTTTTTCATATACTAATAACAACAGGTCAACTAAAATTAGTGTATGGAATGATTGTAAGGTATACATGTCTGTCTAGCCAGTATCATCTGACCTAGACCTCATTTCCATGGTTCATTCGTTTACATTAAGTTTTTGTGTTTTGGTCTGTTTTTCAATTACCATAAACAATGGGTCAACTATATTTGGTGTATGGAATAATTGTAAGGTGTACATGTCTGTGTGACATTTTTTATCTGACCTTGACCTTGACAATGATGGATCTTTAAAAATGTTAAGTTTATGTGATACTTGTGGTAAACAGGAAATCTCAGTGATGATTTAATAAACTGATAGAATACCTCTTGTAGAAAATGTTTTAATGAACATAAATTATGTAATTGCAGTAAAGAAAAAATTAAAAATAATCTTTCAGATTAGGTTTATTCACTTTACCTATTTTGGAAGATCACATGACTTGTATATCAGTTTTGTCAGAGTCATTGTCAATTGTTTATTTAACAGAATACATAAAATTTTCATATTTTCTTTAAGGCAATGTAAATGGCTAGCTAATCCTCCCCAATGAAAAATATGATTACATAAAATAATCTATTCTCATCAATAACATAACAATTCAATCATGCAACCCTTACTCATTCCTAGCTTGGGAAGCAGAAAAGAAAGAAGGACATCGCCATGGAACTTAAAAGTTGGAGTGACCATGAATATAAAGTTTTGAATATCAGAGAACAAGAAAAGATAAGAGAAGCAGGTAAAAAGAAGAGACAGGTTGGACAGAGAATGAGAAAAGATAACTCAGCAGGGAACCAGGATAACAGAAGATAAGGAAGTGGGATGGACATTTTACATTCAGCAGCTATTTCATAATTTTTGTAATGAAAACATTTATTTTATACATATATTATTCATGATTATTATTCAAGATCACATAATCAACGTCAAGGTCAAATAATATTGGAGTTACATAAGAAAACAAGATAGATTGAGAAAACAAAAGCAAAAAATATACAAACTTTCAAAAATTACAAAAACAGATCCAATAAAACAGTAAAGCTTAGATGGCAAGAAAACTGCTGCTGCCAGTTTGTGAGAAGAAAATGTTAGTCTGGGTCCCTGACACAATATTCTCAATACCATAAGCGGACTTCCAGTTGGAATATAGCATCAGGTCAGCACTGAATCCAATCAAAATTTTGATCTGATTTTACCTTTTGCATTGTCTCTGGTGTCTAGGTTAGTAATGCCAATACCTTTTGTGGTTTCTCTGGTTTCTAGTAAAGGACGTCATAATAGAATGACACAATACCCAAGCGTCATTAATGTAAATTCGTGAATTAACATGAAAAGTTTTAAAAAAAACCCATCAAAATGGCCACGAAACATTAACAAATCAAGATTTGATTGTAAGTGCTGGTGACCTGGTGTTATATTTGAAGTGAACCTTGTGAAATCGAAAATATTTTACCAGGATTCCAGGTTATAGAAAATTTAAGTATGTTCTATTTCTACTGTTTGAACATGTGAAATATATGAAATCATAGACTTGTTTTTTTTTTTCCTTACTACCAGAACAGATGATACACGTATGGGTGGATGAAGAGAACATTGAATAGCTGACACATAATTTCTACACCTTCAACTAACTTCGATAAAAATTCAAGAAATGATTTAATTATTCTGAATGTTTAACCCTCATGTGAGGATAATTTCTTAATCTCTTGTAAAAGCAGCATTAGTTACAATTACCAACCTTTACAATGATACATATATGATGAAAAATATTAATGTGGCTGAACAAAATATATACATTCATCAATATACAACAACAAACAAATAATCAACCCCAATCATTACTATCATGTTTAATTTTTAAATTTACAATTTTCAATCATACAAGTTGAAAAACTAAAAAATTTAAACACATTTGTATGACTCTTTTCACTAACTGACATCAAATTCTTTTACTTTCCATAGTTTTTGCTTTTAGCAGTCTTGTTGAGAAAGTTATCACCTTTTAGTATTTTGGTTTTTTACCACCAGAGTCACCTGATTCTCCTGTTTTACGTTTGTTTAGTATATTTTGAATTTTCTGCCATTGTTTATCTAGTTCGGCCTTTTCATCTTTAGGTCCTGCACGCCGGGTTTTCCTTCCATCAGCCATCTTAACTCCATATTGAAACGCTGCCCTAAAAAGACAAAAATTCACACTGTAAAACATTACTTTGGTAACATCATTTTATCTAAAAGAACAAGCATTCTTTGAGTATTGCCTAGCAATACATAGTCCCCTACTGGTTAAAAATTCATTGTACTGGAACAAATGCTAACTTGATCTATAACTTGTCATGGTGTAAACTATATAACAAATATCAAGTCAATATCTTCAAGCATGACGGAAAAAAATGTGGAAAATTGATTATTTGAGTGAATTTTCTAAGTTCAAGGACCATAGCTCTGCACAAAATCAACATACCAGACCAAAATTCAAACTTGATCTGTAGCTTGTCATGATAAAACTATATACCAATCATCAAATCAATATCTTCAAGCATGACAAAAAAAAGTGCGGAAAACTGATTATTTGAGTGAATTTTCTAAGTTCAAGGACCATAACTCCGCACAAAATCGTCAGACCGGAACAAAATTCGAACTTGATCTGTAACTTGTCATGATAAAACAATACACCAAATATCAAATCAATATCTTCAAGCACAAAGAAAAAAAGTGTGGAAAACTGATTTGCCGGACTGACGGATGGACAGACAGACAGATAGACAGACAGACAGACAGACAGAGTGCAAACCTAAAGTCCCCTTTGAATTCGTCGGTAGGGGACTAAAAATCTATTGCAAGTTTTTGGAGATGTATATAGAATAATGGCATTTATGTTTTTGATACTGGCTTTATCAGCAAGAACATCAAGCGAGCCTGCTAGGGCGAGCTTATATTAAAGCTGATGAAGTCAGTATCAAAAAATGAAATGCCATTATTCTTTTTATCAGCAATTTGTCTTAACAACATGTTTTTTGGTTTAGAATATGTAATAAAATGAATAAGTTAGTAAAACTAAAACGCATAAAAAATGTTGGGATAATTGTTCGGTTGTGTGAAGGAAGTTGCATGCATTTCATTGATGAATTAATATTTTCAAGTATCAAGTCCTGTCCATGATCTAAACAAATATTAGTAAGATCAAATGAAAAATATTTTTAGAACAATCTGTGACATGGTTAATTCAATGAAACTTGACTTTTAGAATCTGTCTTGTTTCTCCAAAATATACTTCAATCATGTTGCAGGTAAGGACATTCTAACAGCCAACTCCATTATTTTACTGTTTTGGTCCGTTTCTGGATCTCTTCTAATCTATTTGACTTCTTTTTGTATAACTGGCCTACCACAGTTCATCAAAAAGACCTTAATTCTAGACATAAAAGGTCTTATTTATATTGCCAAAGTTTAAATAGACTTTTCATTGGCATGAACCTAAATGGTTGTGAATTTTAAGCAAAACTTCTTGTCAGATATTTAATTTTTGGGGCTATTTAAATTTGGGCTACTTACTTAGGAAGAGCCTCCTTGTTAGACATGTAATCACTGTATTCTTCTTGTGTGTCAAAGTCCCATCGACCCACTGGACCTTTTTTATTTCCTTGGTCCATTTTACTATAGTCCACTTCATCGTCCGAATCATCCAGTGTATCCTGCATCTGCCATTCACTGCAAACAAATAATAAATGATTCTCATTCTCTGCAACAAACAAATGGTAAACAATCTGCCATTCACTGCAAACAAAAAGTAAACAATCTGCCATTCACTGCAAAAAAATAGTAAACAATCTGTCATTCACTGCAATTAAATAGTAAACAATCTGTCATTCACTGCAAACAAATAGTAAACAATCTGTCATTCACTGCAAACAAATAGTAATTAATCTGCCATTCACTGCAAACAAATAGTAAACAATCTGTCATTCACTGCAAACAATTAGTAAACAATCTGTCATTCACTGCAACCAAAAAATAAACAATCTGTCATTCACTGCAAACAAATAATAAACAATCTGCCATTCACTGCAAACAAATAGTAAACAATCTGCCATTCACTGCAAACAAATAGTAAACAATCTGTCATTCACAGCAAACAAATAGTAAACAATCTGCCATTCACTGCAAACAAATAGTAAACAATCTGCCATTCGCTGCAAACAAATAGTAAACAATCTGCCATTCACAGCAAACAAATAGTAAACAATCTGCCATTCACTGCAAACAAATAGTAAACAATCTGTCATTCACTGCAAACAAATAGTAAACAATCTGTCATTCACAGCAAACAAATAGTAAACAATCTGCCATTCACTGCAAACAAATAGTAAACAATCTGTCATTCACAGCAAACAAATAGTAAACAATCTGTCATTCACAGCAAACAAATAGTAAACAATCTGCCATTCACTGCAAACAAATAGTAAACAATCTGCCATTCATTGCAAACAAATAGTAAACAATCTGTCATTCACAGCAAACAAATAGTAAACAATCTGCCATTCGCTGCAAACAAATAGTAAACAATCTGTCATTCACAGCAAACAAATAGTAAACAATCTGTCATTCACTGCAACCAAAAAATAAACAATCTGTCATTCACTGCACTGCAAATAAATTGTATTAAGGGGTTAAGAAGGAGTTATATATCCATAATGATCATACAAGACAAAGAACCTATGAAGATCTACAGTCTTTAAGAACTTACCCAGGGTAACATTCATCATATCCATAATGATCATACAGGACAAAGAACCTATGGAGATCTACAGTCTTTAAGAACTTACCCAGGGTAACATTCGTCATATCCATAATGATCATACAGGACAAAGAACCTATGGAGATCTAGTCTTTAAGAACTTACCCAGGGTAGCATTCATCATATCCATAATGATCAATCTTTCCTTTTAGCTTCTGTAGTTTCGTGCTACCTCTATAAGATAAAATTATTACATTATACATGTATTATAACATTAGAATAATGGAGATATAAACACTGTAGCATTGGAAGTCTGTTCACCTTCAAAGTCAACAGTTTACATTGCATTTCAATACTAAATGATAAAAAAAAAGATGTGGTATGATTGCCACTGAGACAACTATCCAGTGGTATGATTGCCAATGAGACAACTATCAAACAAAGTCCTAATGACCTGGATTATGCAGTCATAGGTCACTGGCAACCTTCAACAATGAGCAAAACAAAAACAGCAGTCAGCTATAAAAGGCCCCAGCATGACAAAATGTGAAACAACTTGAAAATAAACTGTTGACACAGAGATATGCCTTGTCTGTCAGCAGAAAATTCAGAAAAAGACAACCTAATGGACAGCAACATTGTTAATAAATTCAAAGTTGCTGGACCATGACATAGAAGGCAGCACCTCACTGTGACTTTGAGATGAAGAACAGCAATAAAAGTGCTGTTCCTTTGCTTTTTGTGTTTTTTGCTGTGCACATACTGATTTTGTGTCATCGATGGATACCTCATATCACTTCTTTTCTATTTAGCAGAAACCTACTTAACAATGAACATTCCTAATCACTTCAAAGTCACTGGACCATGACCTAGGCAGCAGGGCCTGGAAATAGTCGTCAAACTAATATGTACTAATAGTTATGGAACTTTATAGAAAATATCATTGATCTATCACAAGTAGTTCCTATCAAACTGATTTAAGCAGAAAACTCAACAATTGTTGACACCAATGATGACTATGCTGCCGCTGGAAAAGCAACACCTATGGCTTCCATTCCACTACTTTCTTTGCAGGCGAGACAAAAACAAACCACCTAATTTTTCTAAAAAACAATAATTGAAAAAACAGATATAAAAAATCTAGACAGCCACCAAAGACAACCACTGAATAACAGGCTTCTGACTTAGGACAGGTACATTCAGAATGTGGCCAGTTAAATATGTTAGTGACATTTACCAACATATTTAACTGGCCACATTCTGAATGTACCTGTCCGAAGTCAGAAGCCTGTTATTCAGTGGTTGTCTTTGGTGGCTGTCTAGATTTTTTATCTGGGACAATGGTGTAATATAACAACATTAGGACAAACTGTAAAAATGAGTTGGAAATGACTTGACTTAAAAGACTTATATAAAATGGAAAATTTTTAAACCATGGCAAGTCATTATCATTATTTTTTATTTTTCTATTTCTTGAGAAATTGCTATTCGTAATTATTCCTTTTCAATTAAGCATTCAAAAAACCTAATGACTATCACTTGAAAACGGGCCATTTATTGCCACATTGATTGCAAATATTCATGTTTTGTAATATGATAATTAAAAAAAACTGTTTTCTAATCTTAAATTTATAACTTTCTAAGGGAGCTACCATTTGATTTTTATGGGGGGGCTAGGATGAAAAATTTTGTCCTGCCTTTTTATTTTTCCCTCTATTCGGTCCTGCCTTTTTATTTTTCACTCTATTCGGTCCTGCCTTTTTTTTAGTTTATCCTGACTTTTTTTTTACACAAATTGTCATTCTGCCTTTTTTTTTTGCAAATAATCTCATCCTGCCTTTTTTTTTACTCAAAACTCCTGTCCTGCCTATTTTTTTCAAATTTCATCCTAGCCCCCCCCCCCATAAAAATCAAATGGTAGCTCCCTAACATACTTTTCTTTATCCTTCTCTTCTTCTACCATACCAGCAAAACTCTGAAATTAAAATTATATATAAGTATAACAAAGTCATAATACCAGCAAAACTCTGAAATTAAAATTATATATAAGTATAACAAAGTCATAATACCAGCAAAACTCTGAAATTAAAATTACAGTGAAAAGATAGTGGCAAAATTATATATTAGTATAACAAAGTCATAATACCAGCAAAAGTCTGAAATTAAAATTAAAGTGAAAAGATAGTGGCAAAATTATATATAAGTATAACAAAGACATAATACCAGCAAAACTCTGAAATTAAAATTAAAGTGAAAAGATAGTGGCAAAATTATATATAAGTATAACAAAGTCATAGTACCAGCAAAAGTCCTGACTCATATGAAATCTTAATTGATATCAATATTTAAGCATAAATTTGTACTCTTCATGATTCATCTTTTCTTAAGGTTTTCATTAATAGAATATATATCTATACTGTCTGACCTTATTTTCTGACCAATGGACTAAACATACTGAGAATTGACAAAATAATTTGAATTTTATTTCATAGACTAAACCAAATGAGATTAATTAAATTCAACTGAACCGTTTTACCTTAAATTTCTCATTAATAGACTGAACCAACTCAGAAGCTGACAATCTCTTCTTACCTTACATTTCTCATTAATGGACTGAACCAACTCAGAAGCTGACAATCTCTTCTTACCTTACATTTCTCATTAATGGACTGAACCAACTCAGAAGCTGACAATCTCTTCTTACCTTACATTTCTCATTAATGGACTGAACCAACTTAGAAGGGGATAATCTCTTCTTACCTTAAATTTATCATTGATGGACTGAACCAATTGAGTAGCTGACTGGCCTTGTTTCTGATCTTCATCCTGTAAAACGATGAAATTTTCATAGATAAAAGCCCATATCTGTTTAAACTGAAGATTTTATTTTGATAAAACTTTCATCACATAGGATATGTCTCCATCATGCTGATGACATTTACGATACTGCATATTTTCCTCCAAACAGAGACCAATTAAATAATGTTAAGACTGTGAGTGTAGATCTTTACATAGATAACATTTTTCTTTGCAATATAAAAATTGATCAAGGGTCCCAAAACGATCATATTTGCCAGACATGACCAAAACTGAAAGGTCATTGAAAGAAATAGTAGATTTGGATTTAGGTCAAAAACGTTTTTTTTACAGAAATAATTCTGGTCATTTCATAGAGATCAGGTTTCTTAATCACCATTTAGCACAAAATTTCTGGTAATAAAACTACTGCCATTCCAGTATAGAATGGTAATCCAAAGGGCACTCCTAAGTACCATATTAATGCCTCCTGGATATATTAGCTAGTGCTCACTAATCAATGTTTACCTCTTCACACCTGATAGTAGTGATTAAATTCAGAATTAATATTTTAAAGAAACTATATTTCATGACTATTTACTTCATAATCTAATAACTTTTCAGTAAAGACACATTACGTAGAAAAAAGTAATTTTTCAATTGATTATGTGCCAAATTAAACGAGTGAAGCTGTTATCTGTTATATTCAAACACTTTTACAGGTAATAAAATTAAAAATACATTGATTTCTGGCCATCTGATAAACAGAACAAATCATGTTAACAAATCTGGAATCACTCGTAAATCATTAACTTGAAACTTGTATTTCGTCTTTAAAATCAAAAGTAGTGTAGCATTGGGGATTTCTGAGAAATTTACACTTTTAAAGCATTAAAATCATTTTCATTCTAAACTGCTGCATTCCATGAATCATTGTGGAATGTTTTTAGAAAAACAGTAAGAAATTTCATGAAGTAAATGGGATGAAACCGTCAATACAAGTTTGTTGATGCAGTGAGTCTAGTATGAGTAATTTCAACAGTTTGAAATAAGGACCCCAACATTTAAGTCATCATAAAATAACAGAAATTGTGCTAAAAAATTCTGGATCCTTGAAGTTGAGTATATATGTTATATAAATGCGAGTGCCAGAGTGTGTATATGTGTGCCAGAGTGTGTATATGTGTGTCTGATTGTACTTTTCCTCACAATAGTCAGGTGGGGATATAAAGGGATTGTAAAAGCCTGACTACTGAAAAAAAAAGACTAAGAGTAATTATTGTATTTAATGCATGATGCTAATAAAATGGGTGCAGCTTGATACGACCGCAGAGGTCGAATCCTGAACAGGTGGGGCAAGTATGGACACAACATTCAAGCTTGATACAGCACTGAATTTGGATTGTGATTAAATATTTGACACAGCACAGGTTTCTGACACAGAATGAATGTGGTCTAAGAACTTAAAAAATTTTAATTTACCTATTCAAACCATATCATTATTATTTGCTTTTATATATAAATCAGAAATAACCAATTTAAAATAGAAAATTTTAAAGAAAAAAAAAGGAAAAAAAAATCCCCCCCCCAAAATTTTTTGAACCCCCTTATGATTCATCACCCCTAAACTCAAACCCAGCTCTCCCTTTGTGATATGGAACCTTGTAGTACAATTTCATAAAGATCCATACACTTACACACAAGTTATTGTCCTGAAACTAGAAAAATGCCTGTTTTTTGCCCCTTTTTTGCCCCTAATTCCTAAAATTTTGGGGCAATTACCCCCAAAATCAATCCCAGCCTTCCCTTTGTGGTATGGTACCTTGCAGTACAATTTCAGAGAGATCCATACACTTGAACACAAGTTATTGTCTGGAAACTAGAAAAATGCTTATTTTTGGCCCCTTTTTGGCCCCTTATTTCTAAACGTTTTGGGCAATTACCCCCAAACTCAATTCCAGCTTTCCCTTTGTGATATGGAACATTATAGTACAATTTCAGAAAGATCCATATACTTACACACAAGTTATTGTCATGAAACTAGAAAAATTCTTGTTTTTGGCCCCTTTTTTCGCCCCTAATTCCTAAAATTTTGAGGAAATTGCCCCAAAAATCAATCCCAGCATGTAAACTTGTGGTACAATGTCAGAGAGATCCATACACTAACACACAAGTTATGTCTGGAAGTTACAAAAATGCTTATTTTTGGCCCCTTTTTGGCCCCTAATTCCTTAACTGTTGGTACCATAACCCCCAAAATCAATCCCAACCTTCCTTTTGTGGTATGGTACCTTATGGTAAAATTTCATAGAGATCCATTCACTTAAACTTAAGTTAGAGTGTGAAAACCAATGTGTCTTCGGACGACGACGACGACGACAACGACATACCAATATACGACCGCAAAATTTTTTTGCAGCCGTATAAAACAACTGATCCAAAAGGTGACTTAGTAACCTTCATACTAGTATACAGTCAGAAAAAAATTCACAATTTCAACCATGATCTTTCATAGGCAATCTTATTAAAATGACTGCCCTGAAAACATGAAACAGGTGACAGTGACTGTTGTGACAGGATATTTTTTTATTAAGAAATAAAATGCTTCGCTGGGGCGCAGCTTGATACGACCGCAGAGGTCGAACCCTGAACAGTTGGGGCAAGTATGGACACAACATTCAAGCTTGATACAGCTCTGAATTTGGATTGTTATTAAATATTTGACACAGCATAGGTTTCTGACACAGAAAGAATGTGGTCTAAGAACTTGAATATTTTTAATTTACCTATTATGGTCCAATGTCCAAAATCAAAATACATGGTTAGATTCAGCATATCAAAGAACCCCATATATTCAATTTTTGTTAAAATCAAACAAAGTTTAATTTTGGACCCCAACTTGGACAAACTTGAAAACTGGGCCCATAATCAAAAATCTAAACACATGTTTAGATTCAGCATATCAAAGAACCCCAAGAATTCAATTTTTGCTAAAATCAAACTAAGTTTAATTTTGGACCCTTTGGACCTTAATGTAGACCAATTTAAAAAACGGGACTTAAAATTAAAAATCTAAATATATGGTTAGATTTGGAATATCAAAGAACCCCAATAATTCAATTTTTGATGAAATCAAACAAAGTTTAATTTTGGACCCTTTTGACCTCAATATGAACCAATTTGATAGCGGGGCCCACAAATAAAAAATCTAAATTCATGGTTAGATTCAGCATATCAAGAACCCCATATATTCAATTTTTGTTGAAATCAAATAAAGTTTAATTTTGGACCCCAACTTGGACCAACTTGAAAACTGGGCCCATAATCAAAAATCTAAACACATGTTTAGATTCAGCATATCAAAGAACCCCAAGAATTCAATTTTTGTTAAAATCAAACAAAGTTTAAATACTGGACCCTATCTTGGACCAACTTGAAAACTGGGCCCATAATCAAAAATCTAAACACATGTTTAGATTCAGCATATCAAAGAACCCCAAGAATTCAATTTTTGTTAAAATCAAACTAAGTTTAATTTTGGACCCTTTGGACCTTAATGTAGACCAATTTAAAAAACAGGACCCAAAATTAAAAATCTAAATACACGGTTAGATTTGGAATATCAAAGAACCCCAATAATTCAATTTTAGATGAAATCAAACAAAGTTTAATTTTGGACCCTTTTGACCTCAATATGAACCAATTTGATAACGGGGTCCACAAATAAAAGATATAAATACATGGTTAGATTCAGCATATCAAAGAACCCCATATATTCAATTTTTGTTGAAATCAAACAAAGTTTAATTTTGGACCCCAATTTGGACCAACTTGAAAACTGGGCCAAAAATCAAAAATCTAAATACATGTTTAGATTCAGCATATCAAAGAACCTCATATATTCAATTTTTGCTAAAATCAAAGAAAGTTTAATTGGACCCTTTGGACCTTAATGTAGACCAATTTGAAAACTGGACCCAAAATTAAAAATCTAAATACACTGTTAGATTCGGCATAACAAATAAATAAATGTGATCAAAGATTTTACAAATCTAATGCGACATACTGTGCAATTAAAGATTTCTTCTTGAAATTTTTCAATATTTGAAATTTGAAAAAAAAATAATATTTGAAGAATAATTCTTTTTAATTTCTTAAATCTGAAATGAGAAAAAATTGACCCCCCACAATTTCTTTTTATCCTCCCCCCCCCCTTTTTTCCCCCAAAAAATTCTTTCCCTCAAGATATGGTCATAATCTCAATTCAAATTTCCAATGGAGTTGGCAACCATAATTACCCATTTAAATTTACCATAGTGCTAACTTAATCTATTTTATAATAGAATTAAAAATATAGTGTCAAATCTTTCATATGGATTTTTTTGTAAAAAAAAAAGATGCAACATTTGCAGATATTTTTACTGGTCTTCCTTTATAAATATGCATTTTTTTAAACATAATTTAAAAGCAGTGTAAGGGAAGTAACCAAAACGTTGTATTTGGATTACCTCCCTTACACTGTTTTAAATTATCTTTATTGTTCATTAACCATTACTTTATACATAATTTAAAAGCAGTGTAAGGGAGATAATTTCAATGATGTATTTGATTTATCTCCCTTAAATTATGTTTTGTACTAAAGTATTTGTCCATTAACCAGGACAACCTTGTTTTTCCCCCTTTTTTGTCCCTAATTCCTAAACGGTTGGAGCCATAACCCCCCAAAGCAAATCCTAACCATCCCTTTGTGGTATGGAAACTTGTAGTATAATTTCAGAGAGATCCATACACCGTTCCGCAGTTATTGTCTGGAAACTAGAAAATGCTTATTTTTGGCCCCTTTTTGGCCCCTAATTCCTTAACTGTTGGTACCATAACCCCCAAAATCAATCCCAACCTTCCTTTTGAGGTATTTAACCTTATGGTCAAATTTCAAAAAGATCCATTCACTTAAACTAAAGTTAGAGTGCGAAAACCAATGTGTCTTCGGACGACGACGCCGGACGACGACGACGCCAACGTCATACCAATATACGACCACAAAATTTTTTTGCGGTCGTATAATAATTCATGGAAGCCATAGATTTGTTGGAAATTTACACATGGCCTGGGCCGTGATATTCGAATTTTATCCTGAGCGTTAGCGAGGGATAAAATCAACGAATATCACGGCCCAGGCCATGTGTAAATTTACAACAAATCCATGGCTTCCATGAATTATTTCGATTCTAATAGGACAAATACTATTAAAAAAAACTGAAGCGAGGCTGGTTATCAGCTGTGTGTGTGGCTGTTCTTCTTTACTCCCTGTTAGATAAAGCTAAAACATTCTAATAAATCTGTAGCTTGCATGAATTATTTCCTGAATAACCGCTAGAAAAAAATCTGTTTAATTCTTTTAATTCTAAAACCCAACATTTGCCATTTTTAATTTACATGTTTTTCTCATAAGCTACCATCAAATCAAAAGTTGACATTTCGTAACTAAGGAGCCGCCATGTTGACTTGCTGAAATCAGTAAATATGCGAATAATGCAATAGAATAGAAAATAAAACAAAACCTATCTCAAAAATCAATTTTAATACAATATTATACGAATTTCGATGGTTCACCTTACGGAAAACCTTGAACTCTAGCTTTTTCATTTGTATGACGTCATGTTTTCGAAAACATTAAAAGACTTTCGCAGAATTTTATTTGCTTTTGATTTTGTTGATTTCTCCGAGCTCTTGTGCATTAATTCTTTTTATTAAGCATCCGAATAAGAATAAAAATTCTTTTGTCTTTTTTTAAATGCAATTTTTAAAACAAAAAAATCGGCAAAGGGTTTGCAAATAGGTTCCAATACATGTGGATTTATGTGGGAGGTATATTGTAACATCCATTATAATGTATATCTCTGAGTCTGTGCTAAGTATAGATATATCAAGAGAAAAAATCTCCAGCACTATTCCTATTCAAGAGAAGACAACCTATTCAGAACTATTCCTATTCAAGAGAAGACAACCTATCAAGCACTATTCCTATTCAAGAGAAGACAACCTATTCAGAACTATTCCTATTCAAGAGAAGACAACCTATCAAGCACTATTCCTATTCAAAGAAGACAACCTATCCAGCACTATTCCTATTCAAGAGAAGACAACCTATCCAGCACTATTCCTATTCAAGAGAAGACAACCTATCCAGCACTATTCCTATTCAAGAGAAGATAACCTATTCAGAACTATTCCTATTCAAGAGAAGACAACCTATCAAGCACTATCCCTATTCAAGAGAAGATAACCTATCCAGCACTATTTCTATTCAAGAGAAAACAATCATCCAGCACTATTTCTATTCAAGAGAAAACAACCTATCCAGCACTATTCCTATTCAAGAGAAGATAACCATCCAGCACTATTTCTATTCAAGAGAAGATAACCTGTGCAAATCTTAAGTCAGATAATTCATACCTCCTCCACTGGTTTTTCAAAATAGGTTTTCTTCCTCCTATCTTCCCTGTCCCTATCTCGGTCTCTGTCTCTACGATCTCTGTCTCGTCTATCTCTGTCACCTTTGTCTCTCCTTTCACCATGTCTGTCCCTGTCTCTATCTCTACGATCATCCCCCCTTTCTCTCTGTCTATCTCGTCCCTTGTCTCTGTCGTCATCACGACGGTCTTTCTTTCTATCTTTCTTATCCTGGACTTTGTTATAAGTTGGAACATAATCTCCAATGTCATTATAGATACTAAAACAGATAATACACACGTCATGTTTAGACGAGTTGTATATATATATATATATATATATATACAACTCGTCTAAACATCAGCCCAACAATGTTAGATCTGTAAATTTGCTTTCGCAAATTTTTTGTTCTTCCCTCGTAATATGTTAACTCATTATTTTGAAAATACCTGTATGCTATATAATTTTATTGTACATTTTTTGTTAATACTTATTCTTGCTTCTGTGAAATGACTGAAATGAATCCTTTTTAGGCTGGATCCCGGGTTTATGCTCATGTCCAGCTTATGAATTTAAAATAAGTTGGTCAAGAAATATATATCCATCCAATTCATAGCTAAGATGTATATTCAGGACTAGAACATGTTTATGTGATATGAATGTGAACTTTGACCCAAATGACACCATGAGCCTGATTTGATTTTTAAAATACTATTTCATAAGGTTAGAGTCTGCAGGAAGACATGCCACACTATCCAGATAATCTATTCTCATTATCAGCTGACCAATAATTGTTAGTAGTTGTACTCATTAATGCAGCTTGCGTTGCTGTTACTCAGCAAATGCCAATTTTCAAGTGTTTGGTTTGACCAATGCAGAGATCTAAACCATAACCTTTTGAACTACCACTAGACCACTGAAGTGTTCAGTCAGTATAATCAAAATCAAACAATATAAGTAATGTAAAGGTGAGCACAAGTTGAAATGATTTGTCAACAATTCCCTATGATCAGTATAAAATAACATTGTACTTCTTCACTATTTATTTAGAAATAATTGTGTACATTTATTATTGTGATTGTTGAACAATTGACACAAATGCAAGTTTACTTATTGTGATTTCAGGAAAAGCTGTATACAAATAATGCTATCAAAATATTAAGTAAGAGTTTTTATTTTTTCCCACACCTATCTTGTTGCAATTTTCGCAATAATAAAAAAATGCAAAAGTTTCTGCTTTTACAGTATATGAAAATGTTGATATGTAGATTAAAGTATGACATTAACTTACTTGTCATCACCTCCAGTTAACTTGGCTTTCTCTTCTTCTTTCAGTTTACCTATAATTTAATTACATAATTGGCATTAATTAATTATCTAATGATCATAATTGTGTCTTATTTGTAAGATTTTGTAAATGATTAATGCTGTCTAAGAACTAGAGTTTTGTACCATGCAAATATATAAAAGATGGGTTATGAATGAGCTCATTTATAAATTTATTGAAAATCTAGTTCTTTATAAGTTTATTACTTTTATACTTTTCCTGTCTAACTCCATTTTTCTTGTTTTTATCTCTTTCTATCTTTATTTTATAATTCCAACCCTAAATATTCTGTCTTTTCATTCTTCACCTCCTAAAAAAACCTTCAAACCTACCTTTCTCCTTCTTTTTCAGTTTTTTACTTTCCCTTCTGCCCTGTCTAAGGTACGACAAAATCTGTGTTAATTTATTGATGACGATGTCGTTGGTGGTCAACGTTGTTGTAGCCTAAAATAGAAAAGTTGTCCAATTCACCTTTTATTAATTATATAAAAGGACATAACTAAAGAATGGTAAAAGTAATGCCATCCAAAATTCAAACCTGATTTGTGTTTGGTGGCAATAAGCATTGTGTACAAGTTTTATAACATTTGGTTGAGGCAATGTAAAGTTAGAGTGCTAAAATTACAAATTCAGCAATTTTTCCATTTATAAAGGTACACTGAAAGTAACGCCATCCAAAGTCGAACTTGATTTGTTTGGTGGTAATAACCATTGTGTATAAGTTTCATAATATTTGGTTGAGGCAAACTTAAATGAGAACGGATATCAATTTTGGGACGTATGTAAGGACATCACTATCTACCCTCAACCTAAAGGCCTTACATGACACTTACATCAACAGTAGGACAGTCTGCTTTACTCCTGATGATGGTGGTTGGTACATCACTGTCAGCATACTCATCCTCAAGGTCAACAACATAGGCCATACGTTTAGGTAAAAATAACTCATTCCTCTCGGGTAGTCTTGATTGAAATAAAGTTTTGTAGATGTTCCTTGCTGAAATGTAAACACTCAAAATGTGTATTTTCACAGATATTATTATACTCTGCAGTCAAAGGTACAAGAAGATTTGCATGGTGTTGAGGAATGGTGAAATGATAACAATATGTTCATAAATAAAAATAAAACAGAATATATGATTATTGGAACAAAGCAAAAAGCAAAGCCAGATTACAGGTTGCACTTTGTAAATACAGCTGTTTCGCAAACCACACCTATTTTCGGGAGATATATAATATTCATAGATATTTTGTTTTGTTTACCTACTGGTTCCCAGATATGATATCTATGTTTCATCTCTTATAGACATAACTTGGGAATGTTACCAGTATAAATTCACATGAATAGCAGTGAAATTGAATTCTGAGGAAGACCCAAAGTGAAGGGAGGGGTAGTACAGAATTTTAGTATAAGTTTAAACTCTAAGAAGTCTGGGGCATATAAATATTGAAAATATGCTGCACAGCCCTATATTTTGACCTTTGAAAAAAATAGTAGTGCATATGAACTTTCCATTCTAGGATATAATTTTTACAAGTTTGTGATGACATTTTAAAAAGTGCATCAAAAATGATGCTCCATCATATCTTACTAGCAAGTTTCATTATGTTTCAGACAGAAATCCACACCCCTTGAGAAATGCTGTTCAAGGAAACTTCATACTACCTAAACCAAAAATAGAATTGTTCAAGAAATCTTTTATGTATTCTGGGCCATTCTTGTGGAACAATTTACTTATATCATTACGAAATATTATAAATGTCAATTCTTTCAAATACAAAATAACAGATCATTTAATTATTTAAATCAACTAGTTGAAAAAATATTGAATATTAATTATTTCATCATAATTATTTTTTCATAACATTTTATGCAGTTGTATTGAACATTATCATTATACTTGACTTTTATGCTAATGTATGCAATGTATATGTTTGCATTTTTGTTACTGCTTTTTCTATAATGGGGACCTCAGGGAAGATTAGTTATATAGCTAAATGTGTAACCCTCTTAAAATAGAGTATTGTTGTTGTTACCAAGAGTCCAAACTGCATTATTTTTTTTACATGCAATATATGTAGGAGTCTGTCGTATTATTTACAAAATCACAAAGTCTATCATGTACTACTATCTAGTCATTGTTTCATGGTTATCAACCCACAAAACTAAATTGTATAAATTCTATCAATGAACTATATCCCATCTCCATTACTTGTGTGTAATTTTTTGTCATGTATCTTATCATTTAAGACTTGAATTTGATTTTAGGTCATGTTTCCTGTGTATGTGTATTTTTTTTTACCATTTCAGTCCTACATTTTATTTTTCATCGTGTCTCTTCATGTGTTTTTTTAACAACTTATGCCCTGAACTTTTTTCTTGGCCCTGTATCTTTATGTTTTTTCCTGAATTTTATTTAAGGGCCTCATCTTAATGTGTATGTGTATTTTCCTACCCATTTTAGTCCTGAATTCTATTCTAGGTCCAGCATCTTAATGTGTATGTGTATTTATGTGTATTTATGTGTATTTTCTTACCCATTTTAGTCCTGAATTCTATTTTTGGTTCAGTATCTTAAAGTGTATGTGTATTTATGTGTATTTTCTTACCCATTTTAGTCCTGAATTCTATTTTTGGTCCAGTATCTTCTGGTTTCTCTTCTCTGTTACAATACAAAATCTAATTTTAATTCAACAGTGAGAACAAATGATCCACTGATATATAAATGCTTTAATACTAAAATGAAACAGAACTTTAGTATAGCGTTAAGGTTAAATTCATTGCAGGTGAAACTAGATGTGCAGTTTCAAGGATCTTTGTTAAATTCATTGCAGATAAAACTTGATGTGCAGTTTTAAGGATCTTTGTTGAAACTGCAGGGTGAGTTGATTACACAAAATTAGTACAATTTTCTGAAAAATAACTATGTTCCCAAGTCTGGAGAATGGAGAAAAATTCATCCATCATTCCATAATAGCAATGCATAACTTCAATATTTTTGTGAAGTTTCAAGGATCTATGATGAAAACTGTAAGAGTTGATTACACAAAGTGGATAGATACCCACTTTTCCCCCCGACATCACCACACCATAAGCCAGATTCGCACATTGCACACCCTCCACAAATATTGCCAGTCTATGGTTATCTCATTTCATCATAGAGTATTACCATTATATATAAAGTTTTCTGAAATACTGTACGGGAAATTGTCTTAAGAATGACTCAATTTTTTTTAATGAAATTACTGCCTCCGAACTATTGTCTCGTGTACATGCATGTTACATTCTTTTTACTTACGAAACATCATTGTAAAAATAATCATTCATTAAAAACCTATCAATGGTGTAAATATGAAATCTGAAAAAAAGGCAATGGGAAGCAAAATATTACTTCTGATTATAAAATGTTATTTTTTCTGTTTAATATAAAAATTATTTCCCTTTATATGATAATAGAATATTATTTTTATGAATTTTACCTAAGCTTAACAAGACATTTGTTTTTAACTAACAGATATCTTATTTCCCTTGGGAAAACAGGATATTATTTTCTGTAACTCAAACAAAACTTATTTCCCTTAAGATAAAAAAAACATTACTTTTTCTGAGTTACAGCAGTCTCCATTGCTTCTTCATCTTCTTTCTCTTTATTGCTGATTTCTGCACGCACCTAAACAAAAAACAATCCATGTATTAAAAATATTACAAGTTAAGGAATTTTCTTAATTCCAACTGAAAAATAAATTTGTCTCAGCTGTATCAGTTGTCATAGAAAATTAAAAAAAAATACCTGAGGCAATAACTTCTATAAGAAGTCCTCTGACAGTTCTAATTCAAATGCAATAAGTAGAGCTCAACATTTAAACATTTTTGCCTGTCAAATTATCTCTATTTATAGCAATTTTCAAAATAATAGACAAAACTTGCATTTTGCCCCTATGTTTTATTTTAGCCATGTCGGCAATCTTGGTTGGCAGGTTGGGTCATCGGACACATTTTTTAAACTAGATACTCCAATGATGATTGTGGCCAAGTTTGGTTAAATTTGGCCCTATAGTTTCAGAGGAGAAGATTTTTGTAAAAGTTAACGGACGACACTGACGGATGCCAAGTGATGAGAAAAGATCACTTGGCCCTTTGTGCCAGGTGAGCTAAAAAGTAGGATAGCAAAATACATACCTTTTCTAGTAAAGCAAAATCTAGACCTTTGACCAAATGGGTATGCTCCATATCACCACCAAGATACTTTGATTCCTGAATTACTTGTTTTCTTCTTTCAGCATAGTTTTCTCCCCTGTCAATTAAAAGACAATAATATCTAAACCATATGTCATGCTTTAAATTCCTTACGAGTATCAAAAGACAATAGTCAAATATCTAAACCTTTAAATTCCTTACAAGTAGTGAATAAATTTAACGGAGAATATCAACATAATCAAGGAGTATATCAATATATTTTTCCTTTTTAACACCCAGCTGGTGGCTTTAATAGATATAAAAGTAAACATTTCTGTTCCCAGATGGACCCTACTGGTGGCTTAGATATAAAAGAAAACATTTCTGTTCCCAACCCAAGATGGACTGGTGGCTAATAAGTGTACTTTCTTTCTCCTCAAATAAACATCAGCATCACTCAGAATATGTGAGTACCTCTCTGTTTCATGGTATGTACATTCCACTCATGTCTATAATAAAGTGTATTTATTCCTTTTTTCCAATCTTAAACACCACTGTTGACTATTATTTAAAAGTGTACTAATTTTTTTCTTATCTATATTCAAGCGGTTGCTGTTTTTCCTGCTCTTTCTAATAATTATGGATCAGTTTGCCTGAAAGATCATCAACAGATCAAACCAGGAGTCTGTTGTCCAGTGGTTGTTGCTGGTTGCTGCTTGCCATAATTTTGTTCATAGCATGTTATAAGGTTAAATCAGCCTATAGGGTTTTGCTCATAATAATCTGTCCTCTAATTTATTTTCACACAACAAAACCAACTCTGTTAAAAGAAATTATACTTTAAATCTAGTGTAAGCCAATCTGTAATTTATTAAAGAATACAGAAGAAAAGACTGATGGCAACCTGAGGGAACACTAATAGACTTATGCCTTAACATCTGCAGGATGGCAAACTGAGGGAACATTAATAGACTTACGCCTTAACATCTGGGGCAACAGCTCTGTAATCAGCTGTTGTACTAACAATTTCAGTTTCTTCATAATCTTTGTTTTGACCATCTCGTCTTTCTCTGGCCTGAAATAAGAGGGCAAATATCACAACATTATTCTGGCCATCTCATTTTTCATGACTACCATTTCAATCAGGAGAGTGAGTATTTGAGAATAATTAAGTAGACATGTGTGAGTGGGAACTCAAGTATCATTCGGTAGACTTTGTGAGTGGGTACTCAAGTATCGTTCGGTAGATTTTTTGAGTGGGTACTGAAGTACCATGCAGAAGACATGATGCACTCTTTTCCCTACATGGTATGTATGGTACATCTATAATTACTACAAAAAAGTAATTGCTTTTAAATGAATCTTATTTTGTGAGCTATTTTCTTATCACTCTAGAACATTACTATTTCTCAAGCCTTCTTATATGTATACTTTTATAGTGTGTCTTTCTATGTTGTAATATTACACTACTATTTCAGTTTAGGGTGAAGGTTGGCGCCTGTTAAAACGTTTAAACCCACTGCATTTGTTTGCACCTGTCCTAAGTCAGGAACCTGTTTCAGTGGTTGCCGTTTGTTGATGTGGTTCTTAAGTGTTTCTCGTTTCTCGTTTTTTATATAGATTAGACCGTTGGTTTTCCTGTTTGAATTGTTTTACACTAGTCATTTTGGGGCCCTTTATAGCTTGCTGTTCGGTGTGAGCCATGGCTCCGTGTTGAAAGCTGTACTTTTTTATATTTAACCTATAATTGTTTACTTTTTATACATTGTGACTTGGATGGAGAGTTGTCTCATTGGCACTCATACCACATCTTCTTATTTCTATTTATTTCTTGTGACTAATGGCAACCTTACCCTATCTCTAGTGACTAATGGCAACCTTACCCTATCTCTGTACTTCTCTTCAAGCTCTTTTTGTTTCTCTTCTTCCATTCGTTTAAGTTTAGCATAGTAACTGTAAGGGAATAACATACATTTTTTGGAATAAAATTCAAGGCTGAATGCTCTCAACTTCAGAACGGACCCAAAAATAATTATATAATATTAATGATTAAAAGTGGAAAATTCTTTTCTGCAACTTAAGTTATTTTCAATAAAATAGTTTTCTTAGTCAAATATGGTTATACACATACACATTATTTTGTAACTTGAATACCGAAGAAACTTAGATCCCTGGAATAAACCTAAATCATAGCTGTCAAGCCAGTGAAAATATTGTAAAATCTTTACCCCCCAAAAATTGGCAAAATATAAGTACTGTGCTATATTGGTGACAAGAATTAATAAGGGATACTCTCTACTGAAAAAAATGGCCCATATTTAAGATTCATTCTAGGTTCTTCATCCTAATTTGAAGAGGATCTAACAGAAACATGAAGGTGTTATTCCATGACAACAAAGTGATGATGGACAGACTGACTGCACGTCAAAAACATTTTATTCTCATCAAATATGTTGCCTGGGATATAAACGTGAAAATTGACCAATCAATATCAAGAATTTCCTCTGGTGCCATATGATTTTCCAAATAGAAACAAATGATCTTCAAACATTATGCATGTCAAATGCAGTAAAAATTTGTAATTCAATTCAAGAGAAGAAAACAAAATTTGCTTTCCTACAGGATTTAAATGAGAAACTTATGTGGCATCCATGTATACCACCTCATCAGCACAAAATAAATTATATATAATTGATAAATCACAGGACAAACATCACCTCAAATATATTTTAGATAATTATAAAATAAACTTCCTAGCTATGTAATTTACTACTAATGAAAATCATACGAGGGAAAATTTCCCACAATAAATCTTACATTTTCTTTTTCCTTCTCCTGGTGCCTGGATCTTCATCCTCATCAGCTTTGGGTAATTCTCTGGAATATAAATTTAAATGAGGGAAATATAATCAATAAGAAAAAAAAAGAAAAATAAGGGTTGTTAGGTCAACAATGGTTTCTACGAGTTCCGATAAACTACTATCATGATTAACTTTAAGGGATTTATTCTGACCAGTTGTTCAATAATGGAACAAAACATTTTTGGAATAATTTTTTAGGGTTTTAATCAGACTTATATGTGTTTTGTGCACTGTGGTTTGTCTTTTAATCATTTTTTATTTTTTGCCATGACTTTGTCGGTTTGTTTTTGTCTTATGAGTTTGGATGTCCCTTTGGTATCTTTCCCCTCTCTTTTATACAATTTCAATTCATACGCAAGTTATTATATAAAAGGGATATTAGTAAATATAACTTTTATTTTGTTTAGTTGACTATAAACAACATCCCATGCTGTCAGATATATTGTTTCTCCAAGCTTCATCGAAGTGGCAGAGCTGGTATCTAGTCCTGCATTTCACATTATATATAATAGCAATAGGTTCAGAAGTTCTTCAGAAGAGGATATATTTTCTAACTTCCACTACAAAGTTTCCAAAATAAAACTAATTTTAACTGTGACATTACTAGTCAGAATATGATTATATGTAGATATGGAATCATTATGGGCTCAGCACAAGGTGGCAATCCAGGATTTTGAAAAAGAGGCCCCAGCAAGACGATATTCAGAGGGGACTTTTAAAATTCTATGCATCAACCATGTATGTAGCTCCATAAGGCTTCCAATACATTACTGATGTGTTTCTTAGGAACAGACGGATGTTGCTGTTACAGAGGTCTTATAATATAGTACTGGTGGTGTCTTTATTATGATCAGATTAATGTTGTTGTGGAACGGTGGCCTATAGAATACTTACAATATAGTACTACTACTACTGGAGTGTTTCTTAGGAACAGATGAATGTTGTTGTCATAGTTACAGAATACTTACAATATAGTACTACTACTACTGGAGTGTTTCTTAGGAACAGATGAATGTTGTTGTGGAACGGTGGCCTATAGAATACTTACAATATAGTACTACTACTACTGGAGTGTTTCTTAGGAACAGATGAATGTTGTTGTCATAGTTACAGAATACTAACAATATAGTACTACTACTACTGGAGTGTTTCTTAGGAACAGATGAATGTTGTTGTCATAGTTACAGAATACTTACAATATAGTACTACTACTACTGGAGTGTTTCTTAGGAACAGATGAATGTTGTTGTCATAGTTACAGAATACTTACAATATAGTACTACTACTACTGGAGTGTTTCTTAGGAACAGATGAATGTTGTTGTCATAGTTACAGAATACTTACAATATAGTACTACTACTACTGGAGTGTTTCTTAGGAACAGACAAATGTTGTTGTCATAGTTACAGAAGACTTACAATATAGTACTACTACTACTGGAGTGTTTCTTAGGAACAGACAAATGTTGTTGTCATAGTTACAGAAGACTTACAATATAGTACTACTACTACTGGAGTGTTTCTTAGGAACAGACAAATGTTGTTGTCATAGATACAGAATACTTACAATATAGTACTCCTACTACTAGAGTGTTTCTGAGGAACAGACAAATGTTGTTGTCATAGTTACAGAATACTTACAATATAGTACTACTACTACTGGAGTGTTTCTTAGGAACAGACAAATGTTGTTGTCATAGTTACAGAAGACTTACAATATAGTACTACTACTACTGGAGTGTTTCTTAGGAACAGACAAATGTTGTTGTCATAGTTACAGAAGACTTACAATATAGTACTACTACTACTGGAGTGTTTCTTAGGAACAGACAAATGTTGTTGTCATAGATACAGAATACTTACAATATAGTACTCCTACTACTAGAGTGTTTCTGAGGAACAGACAAATGTTGTTGTCATAGTTACAGAATAATTACAATATATTACTACTACTACTGGAGTGTTTCTTAGGAACAGATGAATGTTGTTGTCATAGTTACAGAATACTTACAATATAGTACTACTACTACTGGAGTGTTTCTTAGGAACAGACAAATGTTGTTGTCATAGTTACAGAATACGTACAATATAGTACTACTACTAGAGTGTTTCTGAGGAACAGACAAATGTTGTTGTCATAGTTACAGAAGACTTACAATATAGTACTACTACTGCTAGAGTGTTTCTTAGGAACAGACAAATGTTGTTGTCATAGTTACAGAAGACTTACAATATAGTACTACTACTACTGGAGTGTTTCTTGGGAACAGATGAATGTTGCTGATGTTGTTGATGTTGTTGATGATGTTGTTGTTGTTTTGCTGCTGGTCCTGGCCCCCGAGGGGTCATCAACATTTTCCTAAAGTCATCATTGGTCAGCGGATGTCTAAATAAACATTGTATATAATATATTTACAACCCCATAACTTAACATTATAAACAAAATTGATTTTATATTTGTTTTAAAACATCAAACAAGAGAAAAGCTCCTTCATCAATAAGAACATAAAAGTATAATTGAGAATGAAAGTACATGTATTTCCCAGACATTTGACAGAATTTTCACCATCTTTGCCAGTATGACAATATTTGAAACTATTTTTCTGATATTATCTGGATATGTTGTGATTGTTATTTGACTGGTAAGTATAATTTGAAAGCAATTTGATAGTATTTTGACAAACTTATTAATAGGAGTATGTATGACAGTGCAAGTTCATTTCTATACAAAAGTTATTTCAAATCATAAGTAACTTACCCTTCATCCTCATCATCACTATAGTGATGATTTTCTGGAGGAAGTGGATTTGAGAAAACCTCAGAATCTCCTAAAATACAAAAAAAAAAAAAAAATGATCTTAGACTTTCTAGAGGCAATTATAATTTAATCTGAAAGTATAAAAGTCATATATAGATCTTCATACAATCAAACACCTCAGCATATGTAGTGTTTCAGATACATGTAGACCATTGTTGCAGGACACAGTGCCCGCCCATTTTATCTAACACACTGTTCCCTTTTTCCTTGTCATCTTGTCACTCTGTCCTTGTAATTATGTCTATTATTGAGCTGACCTTCCCTTCTACAACCCTTAAATTACGATTGTAATTCACAGATCTACTTTGAGCTTGTCGGCAAATTGAAAGTGCAACCAAAATTAATTTTAAAAAAATTAAATGTCTTCACTTGTCAGCTTGGTGTCAAAAAATTGTTAATTAACTTCTGTTACCTCAGCCAAAGGTAATTATATAAAATATAAAAATAATAAGATGTGGTATGATTGCCAATGAGACAACTCTCCACGTAAAAAATGCAAAACGCCATATCCCTTTTCAGTCTGTGCCAAATTCATTTGGTTTCTGTCTGACATTAGGTCAGACAGTGTTGTAGGTTTTATCTGACCGAAAAGATTTTTTGTCTGTCCGAAAAAAAAAAATTAATTAGGCTTATTGTGTTGTTTACGGTATGTTTTTAAATGTATACTGTGTTGTTTTGTCATGATTGCTTCCTTCATCAGACACGTTATGTTGCAAGAGCTTACTGGGGATAGCCCCTCGAACATACTTCAGAGTAAACATTTTACCCAGAAGTTTTCATTTCTATTGATCTGTGCGCATGCATATCAAAATACAATAAAACTTTAAAGTCACAGAACCGAGACGGTGAAAACACCAGTCATACCAGGGCTCGACAATAACGCTTGTCCGATTGTCCGGTACCAGAGGAAAAAAAGGTCCGACAAGTAAAAGCTATACCAAGCTTGTCCGACAAGTTAAATTATTATACAGAAAATAAATTTAATCTAACTTTGATGAACAAAGTAATTATAAACAAAAAAACAAGAAAAGAAGATAAACACAAGTATTAATTTGACATGTTTACTTGCAATCAATAATTTAAAACTGGTTCTTTGTCAGGTACTTTTTAACAGGTAAAAGGCATACTATTCTCGGAAACCAGTCTTACTGATCTGAATCAGCAATGCGCTTTGTAGATAAGGTAACTTTACAAGACAGTTCGTCACCAGCTCTGAAACGATTCGGCTCCCAATTTAATAGACAATTTGGCACTGTAGGAGACATATTTAATAGACATGATTAATATACAGTTTGGCAACGCAGGAGACAGGAGACATTTCGGGACCAAGACAAATCAGTACCTGGTTTTCCTACCTTATTCTGTTGCTTTATAATAAATACCATACCGTAATTTGTTTAACAAAAATATTTTTTAGATAAAAATGAAGAAATTATTTACCATAAAATTCCCAAATCATATTTGATCATATATAGAAGAATCAAAGCGCGAAAGCGCTGTAAAGGCAGTTAATTACAGGTTGTGTGTATTTTTAGTCCAGTTATATCATTATCTTGCATAGTACAGTGTACTTATCAGAGGTGGCTTTCAGTAATTAAGATTTAGAGTTCTCTAATGATATTGAACAAGTTTTATGAATGTCATATTCTGAGCACTATATGAAGGCAATTGTTCTCACTTGTTTATGAACTAGTGCATTATGTCCAGTTTGTACCTTTTTTATCTATGTTTATAGTCAAATTAGTTATCAAAGGTACCAGGATTATAATTTAATACGCCAGACGCGCGTTTCGTCTACATAAGACTCATCAGTGACGCTCAGATCAAAATAGTTATAAAGCCAAACAAGTACAAAGTTGAAGAGCATTGAGGACCCAAAATTCCAAAAAGTTGTGCCAAATACGGCTAAGGTAATCTATACCTTGGATAAGAAAATCCTTAGTTTTTCGAAAAATTCAAAGTTTTGTAACAGGAAGTTTATAAAAATGACCATATAATTGATATTCAAATACTGTTTAAAATAGTTAGGCATTTTCTTTTTAGTAATAAGTAAATGTTATCAACTGTATTTTATTCAACTCTGCAAATGTGGTTTGTTACTGGTAAGTATGGATGATAGTTGTTTCATTGGCAATCATAACACATCTCCTTATTTATATAATGATCTATATTCAACGACCTCAGGTACAAACAAAATGTATGTAACTAAACTGTGATGGGGAAACCTTTGACTTCTTTCTTTTATATAAACTTTTGATTTGGTACCATAGAACTATGTAGAATAAATGTACATTGCAACATGTCAACTCTTTCAATGACAATACTTTTTTAGAAACTATAACTCCAAGCAAAATTATATTTCCAAGTTTCAAGTAATTTATGAATGAAAAAAGGAGTTCTTAATTAAGAAATAAACTGATTCGCTGAGCTCAGCTGGATACACCCGCAGAGGTCCAACCTTGAACAGTTGGGGCAAAAATGGACACAATATTCAAGCTTGATACAGGTCTGAATTTGGATTGTAATTAAATATTTGACATATTATAGTTTCTGAATAAATGTAGTCAAAGAACTTTAAATAGGTTATATGAATTGAATTTATATTCAATTAAAGATTTCTTGCTGTTGTGCAATAAACTGTGCTGTTGCGCAATACTAAATAAATCTGTTGCCAGACTATAAACAAATAAAGTTCAATTTCTTCTCAATGTCATATTTGAAATTTATGAAAATCTATAGGGAGATTACATCAATAGCTATAAATAATTCACCAAAGTTTCATGCGAACTGCTTAAAGCATTTTTGAGTTGTTGTCCAACAACAGTGCACACGCTGAAATGTCTCACCTTCTTTACTAATCACTGATATTATGTTGATAGTCCTTAATATAAAGCTTTATTACAACTGTTACATAAACTTAACATTAACCAAGAAAACTAAACATTGACCAATGAACCATGAAAATGAGGTCAAGGTCAGATGAACCATGCTAGGCAGGCATGTACAGCTAACAATTCTTCCATACAACAAATATAGTTGACCTATTGCTTATAGTTTAAGAAAAACAGACCAAAACACAAAAACTTAACAGAGCAATGAACTGTGAAAATGAGGTCAAGGTCAAATAAAACCTGCACGACTGACATAAAGATCATAAAATATTTCCATACACCAAATATAGTTGACCTATTGCATATAGTATTAGAAAAAAAGACCAAAACTCAAAATCTTAACTTTGACCACTGAACCATGAAAATGAGGTCAAGGTCAAATGACACCTGCCAGCTAGACATGTACATCTTACAATCATTCCATACACCAAATATAGTAGACCTATTGCATACAGTATAAGAAAAACAGACCAAAACACAAAAACTTAACTATAACCACTGAACCATGTAAATGAGGTCAAGGTCAGATGACACCTGCCAGTTGGACATGTACACCTTACAGTCCTTCCATACACCGAATATACTTGACCTATTGCTTATAGTATCTGAGATATGGACTTGACCACCAAAACTTAACCTTGTTCACTGATCCATGAAATGAGGTCGAGGTCAGGTAAAAACTGTCTGACGGGCATGAGGACCTTGCAAGGTACGCACATACCAAACATAGTTATCCTACTACTTATAATAAGAGAGAATTTAACATTACAAAAAATGTTAACTTTTTTTCAAGTAGTCACTGAACCATGAAAATGAGGTCAAGGACATTGGACATGTGGCTGACGGAAACTTCGTAACATGAGGCATCCATATACAAAGTATGAAGCAGCCAGGTCTTCCACCTTCTAAAATATAAAGCTTTTAAGAAGTTAGCTAATGCCGCCGCTGCCACATCACTGTCCCTATGTCGAGCTTTCTGCGACAAAAGTCGCAGGCTCGACAAAAACTGGAAAATCCCAATAAAACCCCATAACTCAGAAATGTAAAATCTAAAATTTATAAAATTCTAAAGGGAGCTTACGGATTGATAATTTAGTCTTAGATGCAAAATTTTTTTATCAGTTGTTAGTGGCTTTGAACTAGCTGTCAGTAACTGCGAGTACTCTCAGATCTGTACTTAGTGTCTTTTTGTTGTTCGAATGTACAACTACCCGACCACGTCCACTTGTATTTGTATTTATCCATCTGATGAGTTAAGCCTCTTTCAACTGATTTTTTTAGTTTGTTCTTATATTGTACTGTTACACCACTGTCCCAGGTTAGGGGGAAGGTTGGGATCCCGCTAACATGTTGAACCCCGACACATTCTGTATGTACATGTATGTGCCTGTCCCATGTCAGGAGCCTGTAATTCAGTGGTTGTCGTTTGTTTGTGTGTTGCATATTTGTTATATTCGTTCATTTTTTGTACATAAATTAGGCCGTTAGTTTTCTTGTTTGAATTGTTAACGTTTTACATTGTCATTTCTGGGCTTTTTATAGCTGACTGTGCGGTATGGGCTTTGCTCATTGTTGAAGGCCATACTGTGACCTATAGCTGTTAATTTCTGTGTCATTTGGTCTCTTGTAGAGAGTTGTCTCATTGGCAATCATACCACATCTTCTTTTTTATATTTACATCAACAGATATAAACAATTCATCAAAGTCAAGGTGAGACAACAAAACTTAGTGGTAGAATCTCTGAAATTTTTTACACGGTACAAGTTTTTCTCATTATTGGAGACTGTACGGTGACAGTAACACCTGTGACTGCTTAAACCCATTTCTTATGCACTTTAGTTCGATAAACTCACTGAATATCATACCACATCTCCTTATTTTTATATGCATTACAATTCACATGTGCATGTAATTATAAATATATATATATATCAGAACAAAATTCATTGCGTCACTTTTATTTCTGCATCCTTTGGCACAAAACAAGTTCTAAAATTACACAACATAAAACAACTAAATGTTATTTCAGATGAAAGTTTTGTTTCAGTTCCATTCATAGGATTTGTGAGAATTTTGTATGTTTTGCCAAGTCCAATAATTCGCTCTATGTGCACATGTTATTTGGAGACTTTTCTATCCCGTATAAGAGTTTTGGAACTAATTCTGTTTCTTTTTTTGAAAAAAGTTAGCAAACAAATCTTGCACATTTAAACCTTTGTCTGCCATCACACTGTCACCTGGATCACATAATTGAACTACATTTTGTATTCTACATCTTTCAACTATTTCATAGTCACTGGTAGAACCAACATATGCATTAGAGACATAGTTGACTAAACCACCAGGCGTCAAACATACAAGTATTTTCAGATTTTCTGTTTTTATATGATGAAAAGGTTGCCTGAGCTCTAGGAGATTTAGGTTTTATCACGGGATATTCTGTGCTGTCAATAATAATCCAAGTCGTAGGAAACTTTAATTTGAAGTTGGATGGCGAAAAATGCCTGACTAAACCACTAGATGGCCAAGTGTTAGCCTCACACCACTGTTTAGGCATAAAAACAATCCATGTATACACAATATTCTTAACACTAGATTCAATCTAGAAAGTTCAAAGTTGGTTGTATAATGCCTCAATTTCATCAAAGTCATAAAAAAACCCTATCAATTTGAAAATATATGTATCTCAAACAATGTGCTGCTGGACCAAAAATGCATGGCTGTGTCACGTGTCTTCATTTCAAAATTCTCTGCTGAAAACATAGACATTGATGGTGTTTGCGTAATTCCATCTTTGAAGCTCAACATTAGCTCGGCAGTTTGTGGTGGACAGTCATAAATCCTTTCTGCAGTATGAATGACTTCTTCAGGAAAACCAACTTTACAATCAAAACTTTCCTCTAGATTTCTACTACAATATTCATCAAGTTTAGTTATTTTGTTTTCACAGGAAACTGCCCTGATTTTTCTTTTTGCGGACTATTCAGTCTCTTGCTTGGTCCAGGAAAATAGGCTGGGAATGGCAGTAGACTTAAGTCTCTGTATGGTGGGTTTGCGCCCTGAAAAAGGTTATAAAACATTAGTTTTTTGATAATTAAATGAACTTCCATTAGCAATGTATACTTTGTATTACCTGGCGAAATATTAACTAGATTTATTCATTACAATCTATGTTTGCCTGATTCAATGTATGTTATGTAAATCCAAAGGACAAACAATGAGAGACTTATGCAACAAACGTACATTGTTTGTACCTAAATAACTATAATATAGATGAGAGCATGTCACTGTTTTGTTCCTGTAAACATTGTCATTGATATTTTTCAAGAAAGTCTATGAGGCATAGCTTATGCATTCCTGTCATTACTACATTAGCATAATTACTGCTAAAAAAAATTCTCAGTATGATATACCTCTTGTAAGAAATCATTATAATTGTAGCAATCACCAAAAAATCTCACACAGATCACATTGAATCGTAATCCAAAAAATTATGACGTCTTGAATTAACCACCCCCTTTTATTCTAAAACGATAATTGCGGTTGTAAACATACTTTGGTTTATTCGCATGGCGATTACATATATAACTATATATTTCAAAAAGAAAATAGAGTTTTACCATGAATAGTTTCCTGCACGTAGTCTTTTTCAGTAAAATGTGCCTTGCAAGCAACAGCTGATTGAGATGGACTCCACGATTTCATCGTGTTCTCGTCCAATCTGCGTATGGGCCATGGCGTTGATCCAACTTTTCCTTCTTTTAAAGTCATTTGGAAATGCATGTCCTCCTCTTAAAAGACATCCAGGAACACAACAACAAGTACTTGGCATCGTTAATTAAAAATGTAACTGAAATAGTTGCACATTGCAGAAACCGGAAGTTGAGGAACAGGATCGGCTACCACGGCGCCACCTATTCAGGAACGATAATTTGCTAATTTATATAACTGCGAAATAACAATAACGTTAGACGGGTTCACGTGCATAGACAGAAATGCGCTTTAAATTGTATAATATAATTAATGTTCAGTCGACTCTTAATTATTATATCAACGACTGAAATGATTTATAAACATCTAGATTGCAGATAACACTCGAAATTAACCCGAGCTCTTTCCACACGGAATTCAAATAATTCTAGTTTGTCAATCGGTTGACTGCTTATAATGTAAAATACAAATATATCAAAAGTTTTTAAAACTAACAAAACACAATGATCGTTTCTCTATTTCCCAATGTAAATGAAATGAAACAAAAAACATTTTTTATCACAATAAGAAGAGGAGAGAATTCAACATTTCCGGATCTACTTGGAGCCTAATGACCCCCCACGTAGATAAGTTGGATATCGCGGAAGCAAGGATTAACCCGGCAACTAGAAAGGCATTAAAGCACTGCCTTTAAAAACACAATACTTGCAATACGGTGACCTATAGTTATTAATTTCTGTGTCATTTGGTCTCTTGCAGAGAGTTGTCTCATTGGCAATCATACCTCATCTTCTTTTTTTTTATTGATTGAATTTGAATAAGCTTTTTTCAACTTAAAAAACCAGGATACAAATCTTATGAGTGGAAATTGACAGGCCTATCAGACGGTGCCTCATGTGTAGAGTCTGATGAGACTTTGGCATTGATGAAAACTAGAACATAAGTCCTGTGACATGACTAGATTCAGTTGTTCTCGACTCATATTTTTAAAAGGTATTTCAAAAGATATAAATCAAATTCTGTTCTATTGTTTTAATTCATTTTGTTCCTTGAATCAACTTAAAATGCAAAAAAGATTATTATTAAGATTTTTGTTGGACAAGTTACAATTTCATTCGGACAAGTAAATTTTGGTATGTACTTGTCCTACTGGACAAGTTGGAAAAAAAGTTATTGTCGAGGCCTGCATACAGACCGACCAGACATACGATTTGCCAGACCTGTATCTATTTCATTGGTCAGGACCGTCAGACTGATGTTTGGCACAGACTGCCTTTTTAACCACCATTACTGATAATCACAAGACATTCCTGTAAAACTTTGTCATAAAAGATAATGACTGAAGCAAAAGTGCTAGTCGTATAACGTCAATAGTTTAATAGTAACAAAATCTTGGTTCAATGGTCGCAGATTCCAAAATGGCTACATTATAAAGGTCTGTAAGAAATTATGCACAGTCCTAGTATGCTAAAATTGTATTCAATAGCCTAGTATAGGACAAATTTGCCTGTATAGAAAATCACTTTCAATCATCAGAAAAGATAAATTATTTATCAGAAATACAGTAATTTGATAACACAGTTTTAAATTGAAAATAAATTTTATACAGATCTTATGTGTGTGTTTGTGTGAAACAAGCTTACTTTCTGGCATCTTTGAAACTGCAATGAGCAAAATAAGCAAAATACTACTGTGCCTAAAATTTAAAACAAAAATCGGATTGATCCGTAAATATATCCGGTTATATTTATAGCCAAATTGTTTAAATATTCTTAGTTTTATGATATCTGTATAAAGTTACATGTATAATAAATGAGCGAAATTACTTAAAAGCACTTCATTTATAATCTGGATTTATATGTATTAAAAGAATAAATATTCAAATGTGTTCGTTCCGAAAAAAAATTATCCGTCAAAATCATACGAGTCAATTTTACTTATACTTCCGGAAACAAATTTCATTGGTCAATGCGAGAAAGTAAAAGAAGAAATTCGAAATTCTGGCGGTCCTTATGCATATCTGCATTGATATTTGTTGAATATTCCTACATATCAAATGTCAAAGTATTAGTTATAGCAAAAATCAACATTATGGCCTTTTCAAAAGCACCATTTAAACGCTTTAACGAAAAAATAGGTGGGTGAAAGTTAAGATTCCAATTCACCAAGGCTGATGCGATGCATGACGTTTCGGCCACAGACGTTTAGGCCGCAGTCGATACGGGCATACAGGAGCGTCTTTTTACCACAGAATACCTCAGAACATCCAAAATAACCACATAATTCGAAATATTAATACTTCAGACATTATTATTGTAGCTATTGTAAATTATTTTTATAATGTGACAATTATAATTTTATTATTCGAATAAATTTAATTATTCTATTTACGGTCAACTCATGATCACTTTTGCCAGAGACATATATACACATATGTTTCTGCGGGTGCGAGACAAATCAACCCGGAGACAACTCAGACCGTCTTTAAAGACAACTCGGACCGCCTATCATGACACCTGAGACTAAGCTGATGCTGGGAACAGTATATCTAACGGGAAATGAATCTAATACGCTTTTCAGTATAAAATTGATAAAATCTCGGACTCCCCGAGACTTACGGATTTTGGTAGCGTGTGACTGAAAAACTATCAGAACTGCTCAACAAATAAACCACATAACTCTAATTGTAAATAAATACAAGTTTTATCATTTTGTAGATATATTTTGTCATATAAAATTACCAAATTAAGTTTGATTTATTTGATGAGAAGTGTTTTATAATAGTTTGGGAATTTGTAAATCATCGTGGCAATGGCCGCTATTTTTTTATTACCTTGTTTGCATTCTTCACAATTCTGTGATGAAATGCTTGCGATTTTAACAAATTTGAAGTGACAGAATACAAGTTTGATACACTAGCATCACTATAAAACTAGTTTGAATGACATTTTATTGATAATATCAGAAATTATTAGGATAATAGCGAGTCCGTTTTTAACACGTCCGTTTCTGTATCGTATCTTTATTAACTATGGCATGACGATAAATCGACTACAATCAGGTAGTGTCAAGTCCTGTCAATATATATGTTCCTGGCTGATGATAAAGACTGTGTCTGATGAGAAGTTTCTAATAAAGTTTTGAAGGCCTTGAGCAATTACTTAAGATCTTTGTGCAATTAGTTTCTCTATTGAATTAATGAGATGAAACATTGAACTCTAATAAAAAAGATATGAGCTAACCAGAGAAAAATTGTTTGAGGCATGTTTTTACATCCCAAGACTTGAGAATTTTAGGGATTGTAAAAAAAATTACTTATACAAGTAAATTTTTTAAGGAAATTAAGGGGAGATTATTCAAACTTTATAAAAAAAATATGAATATAACAAATTTACTTCAAGTAAATAAAAATAACTTGTACAAGTAGTACCCCTGACTGCATTAGCTTGGTCGTTGAAACACTGAATAGATTCTTGATACACTTGAAGTTCAAAACCAAATACTGTTGGCAAGTCAGATGCAACATCGTATACACATACTTTACTTGAGATGGACAACATTTTCGATTTTACGAAATTTTGTATGCATTTAGAAATCCTTGAACTGCATCTTAATATTGAAAAACTGGTATATGTCAGGGGTACTACTTGTACAAGTAATTTTTATTTACTTGAAGAAGTAATATTAATATACTTATATAAGTAAATTTGTAGGATACTTATACAAGTGTATTTTATTTACTTGTATAGGTAAAAAAAAAATTAGCTTAGTTATGTCCCTTAGACATTCAGATTTTTTTACTTATATAAGTGAAAAAGTCATCCTACATGTATCTTCTTTTCTTGAATTCTTAGGACTTCTTTGCTCTAATAGAATTTTAAATTGTCTGTCCTTTGCAGATGTCTTAAATAATCATTTAAGTGTAATTTCATGGACAATGAAAATCTCATTTGTCTGTTATCTTCAGAACACTGCTCATTTACAAGCCCACAAGGAGCAATTTTTGAAGGCCATGCGCAAATACTTAAGATCTTTGCACAATCAGTTTCTTTGTTGAATTAATGTAATAATGAGATGAAACATTGAACTCATCAAAAATTATGAGCTAACCTGGGAAAAATCATTAAAGGCATGTTTTTACATCTCAAAACTTGAGAATTTTTGTGGGATTGTAAACAAAATTATATACAAGTGAATTTTTGAGAAAATTAAGGGGAGATAATTCAAATATTATAATTAACTTATATAAGTATATTTTTTTTATTTCTTCAAGTAAATAAAGATTACTTGTACAAGTAGTACCCCTGACTGTATGTAGCATTTATATAAGATTCTATATTTTTGAGTCCAAAATGTTGACCTGAGCGAGTTCATTAAAAGTACCAAAATTTAATAAGATTATTTTTGACACTTGTCGTAATCACCAATCAACCCAATTAACATGTCAGTTAAGTTTTCACACCTGCTACATCAAATACATTTATTTGAATTACCCTAAATAATCAGGGGGCAATTAGAATCCAATCAATGAAGAATTTTGTAAATATTCGATTGTTTTAAGATTTATAAATGCAATAAGCATGATAAGGAGAACAAACTTAATCTTTTATTAAGTCTCCCAAACGAAGTTTGGGAAGACTTATTGTTTTTGCTCAGTTCTTCTTCTTCTTCTTCTTCTTCTTCTTCTTGCCGCTTTTAAATTTGAACTTGTCCGCACCCGTTCTCCAAAACCGCTTGTCAGATTAACTTAGGGTTTCACAATATGTTATACTAACATGTCTAGTGGTGCAATCAGGTTTTGTTTGTGCAATGGGGTTTATAAAGGGGTACTTTGAGGGGCAAAAAGAAAAGAGGGTTTTACTATAGAACCCTATGGGATTTTATTTTTTTTAATTTTCAAATGATTATAAATTGAAAACCGTTTGTGATAGACACAATCTTTTTAATTGAAAATGTTCTAAATGATAAAGCCCATTTAATGAAATACAGGGTTAGTCCCCAGGAGTCATCCCGACCCCCTGTCATTTGAGAAAGTTCAAAAATCTTGTAAGTGGTCGAGATCCCCACCCCTAAACCATATATATTCTGGTTTGTCATGATAAAGCACATCAAATGAAATACAGGGTTAGTCCCCAGGGGTCACCCCACCCCCTGCCATTTAAGAAAGTTCTAATAACTTGTAAGTGGTCAAGATCCCCACCCCTAAACCATATATATTCTGATTTGTCATGCTAAGATGGTTTGAATGATATACAGGGTTAGTCCCCAGGGGTCATCCCGACCCCCTGCCATTTGAGAAAGTTCTAATATCTTCTTGTAAATGGTTGAGATCCCCACCCCTAAACCATATATATTCTGGTTTGTCATGATAAAGCACATCAAATGAAATACAGGGTTAGTCCCCAGGGGTCACCCCACCCCCTGCCATTTAAGAAAGTTCTAATATCTTGTAAGTGGTCAAGATCCCCACCCCTAAACCATATATATTCTGGTTTGTCATGCTAAGATGGTTTGAATGATATACAGGGTTAGTCCCCAGGGGTCATCCCGACCCCCTGCCATTTGAGAAAGTTCTAATATCTTGTAAATGGATGAGATCCCCACCCCTAAACCATATATATTCCTATTTGTCATGTCTCGAACATTTGAATGACGTATACGGTCAGTCCCCAGGGGTTCCTCCCACCCCCAATGTTCTAATATCTTGTAAATGGTTGAGATCCCCACCCCTAAACCATATATATTCCTGTTCGTCATGTAATGAACATTTGAATGACATATAGGGTCAGTCCCCAGGGGTTTCTCCCCACCCCCAATGTTCTAGTATCTTGTAAATGGTCGAGATCCCCACCCCTAAACCATATATATTCTGGTTTGTCATGCCAAGATGATTTGAATGATATACAAGGTTAGTCCCCAGGCATCACTAATGCATATAACTTTACTGGACCAAACCAATTTTCACTGGACGTTGCCCAATGTCAGGCGGCCCTGGGAATTACGAATTATGGGAGCTTCGTTTGGGAGACTTCGTAACAGCATCCTGTTACAATCATTTCTTGTTTAAAAAAATATTCAAGATTAAAATATGAGGCGTTGATCACCATCAGGTCAACATTTTTCGTTGAAAAAATATTACAATTGAGTTTATATTTTTATAAAATACAATTATTTATCTTTAAGGTTTATTAATTTCACGGAAAAAATATTGTTACTTATGAGAAATATTCACACACTCTGTCGATCTGGTCAATATTATTCACAGCGTAATTCGCGCTGGTAAAATCCATCAAGTCAACGCTTTTTGTAGAAAAACATATTGATGAATCTCGCAGATTTCTTAATTTCACGAAAAATTATAGTAAAACAAAGAGATATTAACACTTTTTGTCGATCAGTTCTATATAGATTTTCAGAAAATATAGTTTAGTAACTCAAAGGTCTCAAAGTATAAAAAAAAATCTACCAAATAACAAAAAAAGTTATGATCATTTATATCTCATCCGGTCAATCTGTCATAACCTGAATTATAGAAAAAATATAATTTCGAATTATTAGTCTTGCATTTAATGTAAAGTAATTTTAATGTTCCGTGGTATATTAAAGTAGTTTTATAATATTTTTTGTAGTTCTGTGGTATATTTTGGGTGTTCTGTGGTATTCTGTGGTAAAGAGATGCTCTGTCGGCCATACTGCCAGTTTGGCCCTACTTTGTAAAGTCGTTTCGGCCACGGTTTTTATTGTTATAAAGTGTAGGAAAATTGTTTTAGAATCAGAAATAATGAAAAATACATTTTAATCATTAAATCATATTCATTGCTAATAAAATTTTGTAAGGGTTCCGCGGAACCCAATGTCTTGCCTACTTTTGCTGTTAGTCGCAGGCTCAACAAAAATGGTGAAAAAATTATTAAAAATTTTCCTCTAGATGACGACGACGGAATGTAGGATCGCTATGTCTCACTTTTGCGACAAAAGTTGCAGGCTCGACAAAAATGTATGAAAGATTTTTGAGCTTCATTTGTATTTTTTTTTCTTTTAAGTTTAAGGATTTACAAACAGCCTCTATAAACATGATAAAGAATATGTTGAAATTTATATTTATTGAATGACTAAAATGATCTGTATGTATTTTCTATTGCTAGGTTGTGCACCTCCTGTAGGCTCTTATGATCCAAAGGAGAAAGATAAAGCTGTTGCTCTCCAATTTGATAAAGGAGGGGATCGATTCAAAACACCAAAAGGTAATATATTGTTAGATAGAAGAGGGGGCCTATTAAAAATACAGCAGGGCTCAACATGACCATTTCTCCAATTGTCCAGGAAAAATGAAAATAGGTGTCGGTCAAGTAGAATCAACATATGAGTTGTCCAAAGGGACAGATGAAAAATCTTTTAATTAGAACTAAAACCCTTATACAGTATTTCCAGAGTGTTACATAAGGTAATAATCAATTTTAAATTAGAAATTTGCAGTCGACTAAAAAAATTATAAAAAGTTATTTCTTTTACAGAGAAAAAAACACTTGTCTACAGTGTATGCTACCAAACTTTACACATGTTACACTGCTCCTAGTCGTAATTTTTAATAAGATGAATAAATTAAAGATATAAGTAAACACAAATTTTCACAAAAATTAGCTTTTTAATTATTGGTTTGCAATCATTTGATAATTGATTGGCTTCCTTTGACAGATTTATTGCCTTATAACATTTTCTTAAGGTAAACAAATTTTGATTTCCTCAGGTTTTATCCCATAAGCATAGGCTGATCATGTGATCAATTGAATCATCAATTCTCTTTTCTCTCAGATTTTACTAAGGTGAATAATTTAGTTATAATATTCCTCAGATCTACGATGACTTGCCATTGGGAGAATCTATCATAATGAGGGAATGGATTATTTCTGTTAAGATTTCCCTTTATTGGAATCATTCATAATAACATGCCAGTTTTGGGTAAAAATATTATTTATAAAAAGAACGTTTTCGGATACTTTTTAACAGCTAAAAAATTTAAAGTTTGTACATGATCTAAAAATTGTGTCAATACACCTAATCGCTATTTATTCCATTCCGGATAAGTTCTAAAATTACACAACTTTTTCATCCAGTTGACGCTATCTGGGACCCTGTTTAAACAATGCACCATGCATGATACTTTTTAATGAGACCTGTTTAAAACATCGTAAATACTTCAAACACAATATTTTTTTGACTATAATTTGAGTTTGGAAAAAGTGGATCATAATCTATCAAAGTTTCCTATTGATCGCTTTCTAAATTTTTCCCTCTCTCAGCTCGTTACTGATGACCTTTGTTTGCGGCCTGTTGACCCAAACAGGAAGTTGTCTAAATGACTGTTTTTTCCGGATTGGACTAAATAGCGATAAGGTGTATAGGTAAGGACAGCATTGTTTAAATTAGGATTTTGGATTCAGACAAGTGAGTTTGTCAGTCTAAGAATTTGTTGCAAAGATTAGGAGTTGTTAATTACATTGAAATTTCTGTTTTAGATATTCTTCTGGGACCTGGATCTTTTGACATTGATACACCGGCCAAAAAGTGTCTATTGAATCAATCAACGTGTAGTAATGGGGTGAGTAGAGGATACCTTTGTTTGATCTCATAACATATAAAATATTACTCATTGTTAGGATGGTAGATGGTAAAAAATCATTACCGTGCTCCAAACAAAATTGAACGAAAATTCTACATGTGCAATATAGAAGCACATTTGTTTGGGATCAACTCTTTTTTCTGATTAATTAACCTTTATATGTTCAAAGTGAAAATGTCAATAAGTAATACTGTAATGCTTAACACATTTACAATGTTATGCTAAGATTTAAGGATATTTTACATCATGCACTCATTTCACTGCAGTTTATAAACTGAAAATTTACAATAAAAAAATTATCTATAAAACCATGTAAGCATGGAACCAAAGCAAGATTTATTTTTATCTAAATTCTTGATTTAGATGCTGGTTCACTAAGCCTATTGTTGTTAATCAGACATCTTTTCTATTAAATGGACAGTATATTTCCCTGCCTCCATGTGATTAATTTAATTTTGATTGTATCCTTTATTTGCAGGGAGATAAAAAGAAAAATCACAAAACTTCAGAAAACTCCATGGAAATGGCAAAAATCAAAGATCTGGAACGAGAGGTATCCTAATTACTGACTAAAACATTTGCCATTTGAAGTAATGCAATAAATAGGAAGGAAACTGATTAACATTTCTCCTCTTACATTGGCTTCAAAATCTAGAATTGTTTTGATTATTGTAGCACTTTTTTGCATTCAGAAAAACTAAGTGCAAGCATTAGTTGATATAGTTTTAAGTTTGAAATATTTAAGTATGTGTTTAATTTATATTTTACATGTGAATTGTGTGTTGTTGTTTTTTACCCAAAGGTTACTCCGTATAGAAACATTGGAAGAGTTAGGATTAAAAAAACAAATCCATGAAAAATGTCTGCATCAAGTCAGTGATATGATAATTACTGTCCATTTATTAAGAAGTTGATGCATTAACATGGCAAATTATTATACAATTTTATAGTGAATTTTATTCAAAATTTTGAAATTGCATTGGAGAATAAAAGTTTATTAATTTTTATGAAATGTTTAACCTACAGATAGCATATTTTCATATTAATGATAAATATATGGCAGTTATTTCTTCATTTACAGACCTATTAATAAATCATTGTCTACTTACAGATAAAAAGATTAGTCCAGGAGAGAAATAACCTGGATAAGCAGTTAACACACAGAGGAGATGATATAATTAAATTAGAAGGAAGATTACAAACAGCACATACAGATAAAATCTCCCTTCAGGCAAAAATAGCATCACTAGAAAAAGAATTGAAGGAACTGAAGAAAAGTAACGAAGTGCTTAGAAATAAGGTAGATATCCCCTCCTGGTAAACACACAGATAAAATCTCCCTTCAGGCAAAGATAAAGTTACTAGGAAAAGAACTACAGGAGCTGAAGAAAAGTAACAAAGTGCTAAGAAATAAGGTGGATCTTCATTCTTGGTCCTGTTGCTAGGCAAAGTTTCTGCCCTTATCTAACAATGCCTCATTTTCCTTGGCAGTAGACATTTCCATCATTCACCCCAGTCAACCAAAACTGTAGACCCTACCTTTTAGATTTATTGTAAATTTGTTTTGTCCTGAATATGCATGAAATATTTGCAAGTGCACATCGAGCAAAGAATAATCAATCTATTATATGACTTGTACTCTATGTAGCAAAGCTTTTCATCTCATGTTACATGGAATTTCTGCATTTTATGATTTCTTAAGATATAAAGTAAAAATAAATATTGAGGTAGGGCACACTTTGATTTATTTCATTTTGGACAATTGTTAAAAAAATAACTGGACCAATATAACTAATTTGGTTTTTATTATGTTGTTTTACTTTTTCTGGGCAGATGACAAATGCAGACACAGCATGTAAGAAACAAGAAAGTCTTCAGCATGAGTTATCTTCCCTGAAACACCAAATGGAGTGTAAAAATAAAGAGATAGCTCGTGTTAAACATGAGTTGGATATCACACTGAATCATCAGAACAGTGAACTTCATATTTTAGAAAATGTTGTCACAGTGATAGAAGAAAGAATCCATCATTTAGGTATGTTTTTAATCAGAGCAATTTACTGTTTTTTAAGTGTAATCGTAGTGATAAAAGATGGAACTTTTTTGTTTAAATGTATTTATTCCATAAATAAATTTCTTTTTGAAAGTGTTGTTCTGGCAATAGAAGATACAATCTTTATAAAATTTAATTGCACAAGCTTTCAAAACAGAAAGAAAAGATAAGCTTCTGTTGTGTAGCAAGTACAAATGAATTTAATTTTGTCCCACAATGTACGTAGAATGAATGTTTGTTATGCAATTAACAAAGATTCTAAATAGAGTTCTTTGTTTGTGATGTATGCTTTTATACAACGATTATTGTTACACTTTGTTAAAGATATAATTATAGAACCTGTAGAAAGAAAACTATTGAATACCGCTAGGTATCCACGCTAACTTTACCGCTACAACACGTCGACCACTTCAGGGTGTTAGTTCACTGTACCCATTACATATTTGTTAAAGATAGTTTAATATTTATGATTTTGTCAGTTATTTTGATAACTCTTTTGAGTGCCACAGATGAGTCTTATGTAGCCGAAATGTGTGTCTGAAGTACAAAATTATAAGCCTAGTACTGTTAATCTGTCACCTATTTATTATTACATATGAAAATAAGGAGATGGGGTATGATTGCCAATGAGACAACTATCCACCAGAGTTTAGATGATGAAGATAAAAGCAATTATTGGTCACTGTATGGCCTTCAACAATGAAAAAACCCATACTGTGTAGACAGCTATAATATGCCCCGACATGAAAAATGTGAACCAATTCAAACGAGAAAACTTACGGCCTAATTTATACAATACTATTTATGAAAAACAAGACAGACATGAACCAATGACAACCACTGATTTATAGGCTCCTGACTTGGAAGAGGCACATGAAGATTGTGACGGGCTTAACATGTTTGTGAGCGCTCAACCCTTTGCTTACCTGGGACAGTGGTGTTACAGCACAACATAAGAACAAACTGTAGTCAAGATACTTTGATAGAGAATGTTAAGAATTTTGTCATATGATATTGTGATAATAATGTATGAAAATGATATGTTTGGTACTGTATAACAGTGGTAATATCTCCTATGGTTTGGTACTGTATAACAGTGGTAATATCTCCTATTGTTTGGTACTGTATAACAGTGGTTATATCTCCTATTGTTTGGTACTGTATAACAGTGGTAATATCTCCTATGGTTTGGTACTGTATAACAGTGGTAATATCTCCTATTGTTTGGTACTGTATAACAGTGGTAATATCTCCTATTGTTTGGTACTGTATAACAGTGGTAATATTTCCTATTGTTTGGTACTGTATAACAGTGGTAATATTGCCTATTGTTTGGTACTGTATAACAGTGGTAATATTTCCTATTGTTTGGTACTGTATAACAGTGGTAATATCTCCTATTGTTTGGTACTGTATAACAGTGGTTATATCTCCTATTGTTTGGTACTGTATAACAGTGGTAATATCTCCTATTGTTTGGTACTGTATAACAGTGGTTATATCTCCTATTGTTTGGTACTGTATAACAGTGGTAATATCTCCTATTGTTTGGTACTGTATAACAGTGGTAATATCTCCTATTGTTTGGTACTGTATAACAGTGGTTATATCTCCTATTGTTTGGTACTGTATAACAGTGGTAATATCTCCTATTGTTTGGTACTGTATAACAGTGGTTATATCTCCTATTGTTTGGTACTGTATAACAGTGGTAATATCTCCTATTGTTTGGTACTGTATAACAGTGGTAATATCTCCTATTGTTTGGTACTGTATAACAGTAGTAATATCTCCTATTGTTTGGTACTGTATAACAGTGGTAATATTGCCTATTGTTTGGTACTGTATAACAGTGGTAATATTGCCTATTGTTTGGTACTGTATAACAGTGGTAATATTGCCTATTGTTTGGTACTGTATAACAGTGGTTATATCTCCTATTGTTTGGTACTGTATAACAGTGGTTATATCTCCTATTGTTTGGTACTGTATAACAGTGGTAATATCTCCTATTGTTTGGTACTGTATAACAGTGGTAATATCTCCTATTGTTTTGGTACTGTATAACAGTGGTAATATCTCCTATTGTTTGGTACTGTATAACAGTGGTAATATTGCCTATTGTTTGGTACTGTATAACAGTGGTAATATTGCCTATTGTTTGGTACTGTATAACAGTGGTAATATTGCCTATTGTTTGGTACTGTATAACAGTGGTAATATTGCCTATTGTTTGGTACTGTATAACAGTGGTAATATCTCCTATTGTTTGGTACTGTATAACAGTGGTTATATCTCCTATTGTTTGGTACTGTATAACAGTGGTAATATTGCCTATTGTTTGGTACTGTATAACAGTGGTTATATCTCCTATTGTTTGGTACTGTATAGCGGTGGTAATATCTCCTATTGTTTGGTACTGTATAACAGTGGTAATATTGCCTATTGTTTGGTACTGTATAACAGTGGTAATATCTCCTATTGTTTGGTACTGTATAACAGTGGTAATATCTCCTATTGTTTGGTACTGTATAACAATGGTTATATCTCCTATTGTTTGGTACTGTATAACAGTGGTTATATCTCCTATTGTTTGGTACTGTATAGCGGTGGTAATATCTCCTATTGTTTGGTACTGTATAACAGTGGTAATATTGCCTATTGTTTGGTACTGTATAACAGTGGTAATATTTCCTATTGTTTGGTACTGTATAACAGTGGTAATATCTCCTATTGTTTGGTACTGTATAACAGTGGTTATATCTCCTATTGTCTGGTACTGTATAACAGTGGTAATATTGCCTATTGTTTGGTACTGTATAACAGTGGTAATATCTCCTATTGTTTGGTACTGTATAACAGTGGTAATATTGCCTATTGTTTGGTACTGTATAACAGTGGTAATATTGCCTATTGTTTGGTACTGTATAACAGTGGTAATATTGCCTATTGTTTGGTACTGTATAACAGTGGTAATATTGCCTATTGTTTGGTACTGTATAACAGTGGTAATATTGCCTATTGTTTGGTACTGTATAACAGTGGTAATATCTCCTATTGTTTGGTACTGTATAACAATGGTTATATCTCCTATTGTTTGGTACTGTATAACAGTGGTAATATTGCCTATTGTTTGGTACTGTATAACAGTGGTTATATCTCCTATTGTTTGGTACTGTATAGCGGTGGTAATATCTCCTATTGTTTGGTACTGTATAACAGTGGTAATATTGCCTATTGTTTGGTACTGTATAACAGTGGTAATATTGCCTATTGTTTGGTACTGTATAACAGTGGTAATATCTCCTATTGTTTGGTACTGTATAACAGTGGTTATATCTCCTATTGTTTGGTACTGTATAACAGTGGTAATATTGCCTATTGTTTGGTACTGTATAACAGTGGTTATATCTCCTATTGTTTGGTACTGTATAGCGGTGGTAATATCTCCTATTGTTTGGTACTGTATAACAGTGGTAATATTGCCTATTGTTTGGTACTGTATAACAGTGGTAATATTTCCTATTGTTTGGTACTGTATAACAGTGGTAATATCTCCTATTGTTTGGTACTGTATAACAGTGGTTATATCTCCTATTGTCTGGTACTGTATAACAGTGGTAATATTGCCTATTGTTTGGTACTGTATAACAGTGGTAATATCTCCTATTGTTTGGTACTGTATAACAGTGGTAATATTGCCTATTGTTTGGTACTGTATAACAGTGGTAATATTGCCTATTGTTTGGTACTGTATAACAGTGGTAATATTGCCTATTGTTTGGTACTGTATAACAGTGGTAATATTGCCTATTGTTTGGTACTGTATAACAGTGGTAATATTGCCTATTGTTTGGTACTGTATAACAGTGGTAATATCTCCTATTGTTTGGTACTGTATAACAATGGTTATATCTCCTATTGTTTGGTACTGTATAACAGTGGTAATATTGCCTATTGTTTGGTACTGTATAACAGTGGTTATATCTCCTATTGTTTGGTACTGTATAACAGTGGTAATATTTCCTATTGTTTGGTACTGTATAACAGTGGTAATATCTCCTATTGTTTGGTACTGTATAGCGGTGGTAATATCTCCTATTGTTTGGTACTGTATAACAGTGGTAATATTGCCTATTGTTTGGTACTGTATAACAGTGGTAATATTTCCTATTGTTTGGTACTGTATAACAGTGGTAATATCTCCTATTGTTTGGTACTGTATAACAGTGGTTATATCTCCTATTGTCTGGTACTGTATAACAGTGGTAATATTGCCTATTGTTTGGTACTGTATAACAGTGGTAATATCTCCTATTGTTTGGTACTGTATAACAGTGGTAATATTGCCTATTGTTTGGTACTGTATAACAGTGGTAATATTGCCTATTGTTTGGTACTGTATAACAGTGGTAATATTGCCTATTGTTTGGTACTGTATAACAGTGGTAATATTGCCTATTGTTTGGTACTGTATAACAGTGGTAATATTGCCTATTGTTTGGTACTGTATAACAGTGGTAATATCTCCTATTGTTTGGTACTGTATAACAGTGGTAATATTTCCTATTGTTTGGTACTGTATAACAGTGGTAATATTTCCTATTGTTTGGTACTGTATAACAGTGGTAATATCTCCTATTGTTTGGTACTGTATAACAGTGGTAATATCTCCTATTGTTTGGTACTGTATAACAGTGGTAATATCTCCTATTGTTTGGTACTGTATAACAGTGGTAATATCTCCTATTGTTTGGTACTGTATAACAGTGGTTATATCTCCTATTGTTTGGTACTGTATAACAGTGGTTATATCTCCTATTGTTTGGTACTGTATAACAGTGGTAATATCTCCTATTGTTTGGTACTGTATAACAGTGGTAATATTGCCTATTGTTTGGTACTGTATAACAGTGGTAATATCTCCTATTGTTTGGTACTGTATAACAGTGGTAATATCTCCTATTGTTTGGTACTGTATAACAGTGGTAATATTTCCTATTGTTTTCTTGTAGATGTTGATGTTGATCATAAAAGCCCCACTCCAAAGAACAACTCAGAATTAGGCAGTAAGTGACGTTACACTGAGAAAAAAAAAACCAAAGAATAACTTGGATAGTAGCAGAGATTATCTGTCTTTAACACTGAGATTCTCTAACCATGCCAAAAAAATACATTTCAAGTATATAGGATGAAAAAATGTATTAAAGATCCTGTTTATGTCTGTCTAGGAGTAAGACATTGAAGTATCAACAAAGCAGCCAAAAAACACATTGATATTGGATTTTCTTTAAAAAAAAAATAGTCAATATTGCAGAAATCTTATAATGAGGGAAAAAATATTTGAAAATGTTTGACTTACAGAAACTCTAGCATGTCTAGTAAAAATATTTAATTTCATTATTGAGTTTTTATAACAGGTTCCAAAAGAAAAGGCAGTGAGGATTTGACTTGCAATATGAAACCAGAAAACACCAAGAAAATTGTTGAGGTAAAATTACATATCTTTATAACAAGTGAGAAAAGGTAAAAATTATAAGAGAACAAATCTAGAAATAGAAATACAGGTGTAAATTGGTTCGGCATCCATGTATTTAATGTCTTGTATCACTTTTTAAAATATGTTTCTATAGAATAAAGTCCAATCCAATCCTATCTAAACTAATTCTAGGATAATCCTTTGTAAATATTAATGATCTTTTATGATTTGACACTGATTTGTAGAAGTTACAGAAACGTTTTAATGAGACGATTCAAGAATTTGATAAGAAGATACAGATATTTAAGACGAGATATGAAAGGATTATGGAGGACAAAGTAGATATGCAACATAGTCTGGAGAATAAGGAGATAGCATTGAAAAATTATATGAAGAAATCTGACACTCTTGAAAAAAACAGGTAATTTGAAATAAGATGTATAAAATAAGGAGGTGTTGTATGATTGCCAATGAGACAACTGTCCAAAAAGTCCAATTGAAAATGGATTTAAGCAACAATAGGTTACAGTATGGCCTTCAAAAATGAACAAAACTCATACTGTAGAACAAACTATAAAAGGCCCAGACATGATAAAATGTGAAAAATGAGAAAAACCTATTTATAACAGAACAATAAACGAAAAAACAAATATAACAGACAGCAACGAAAGACTTCCATTGAATTAAAGGCTCCCAACTTGGGACAGACACATACAGAATGTGGTGGGGTCAAACTTGTTTGTGTGCGCGCAACTTTCGCTATAAAACCTGGGACAGTGGTGTAAAAGCTCAACCTAAGAAGAAACTGTAAAAATCAGTTGAAATGGGTTGACTCATTAAATGGTCACAATGTGGTTAGTTTATACACCTTTAACATATCGCTATTTGTCCGCCATAGCTGCACATCACAGAAGTTGCCATAAAATGTTGACGTCACAAAGGAAATTGATTGTTATATTACCACAATAGTTCAAGTGTCGCAAAAACTCTGGTCAAGTGTCGCAGATCCCCAAATAGTGATAAGGTCTATTACAATTGCTAAATTACGTTGATTGATAAAATTACACTAATGATGATACTGTATTACGTTATATACTGTACATTTTTATTTACACTAATGATGTAACATGTTTTTTACTGTACATTTTTATTTACACTAATGATGTAACTTGTTATGTACTGAACATTTTTAGGATTATGTTATCTGATGTAACATGATATATATACTGTACATTTCATTTACACTAATGATGTAACATGTTATATACTGTCCACTAATGATGTAACATGATATATATTGTACATTTTTAGCTCAACTGGCCCTATGAGGGCCATGTGAGCTTATGCCATCACTTGTCTTCCGTCGTCATCGTTGTAAACTTTTTCAAGAATCTTCTCCTCTGAAACTACTGGGCCAAATACCTTCAAACTTTAATTTAATGTTCCTTAGGGTATCTAGTTTATAAATTTTATCTGATGTTTTGATCCATCAACAAACATGGCCGCCATGGCTAAAAATAGAACATAGGGGTCAAATGCATTTTTTGGCTTATATCTTAAAAATCTCAACACTTAGAGAAAATCTGACGGGGTAAAAATGTTCAGTAGGTCAAGATCTATCAGCCCTGAAATTTTCAGAGGAACCGAACAACCCATTGATAGGTTGCTTCCAATAAATTGGTAATTTTAAGGAAATTTTGCAATTTTTTGTTATTTTCTTGAGTATTATTGAAGATAAAGATAAACTGTAACCAGCAAAAATGTTCAGCAAAGTAAGATCTACAAAAAAGTTAACATGACCTAAATTGTCAATTGACCCTTTAATGATTTATTGCCCTTAAAAGACAATTTTACACAATTTGTTCATCATGTTTGCTAACATTTAAAAATCTTCTCCTCTGAAACTACTGGGTAATACTTCTAAACTTTAACTGAACATTCCTTAGGGTAACTGGTTTATAAAGTGTATCCAAAATTTTGATCCATTAACAAACATGGCCGCCATTGCTAAAAATAGAACATGGGGTCAAATGCAGTTTTTGGCTTTGATCTCAAAAACTATAGCAGTTAGAGCAAAAGTGACAAGGAGTTTAAGTGATGAATAAGTCAAAATCTATCTGCTATGACATTTTCTGATCAATTGGACCACCCATTGTAGGGTTACTGTCCAAAATAGTTTATTTTTATGAAATTTTACTGTTTTTGGTTATTAGTTTTACTATTATAATAGATAGAGAGAAAGTGTAAATGGCAAAAATGTTCAGCTAAGTAGGATCTGCAAATAAGTCAAATGATCAAAATAGTCAATTGACTCCTTACGGAGATATTGCCCTTGAAAAGTTTATTTTATTTACATTTTTTCGTGCAAGTCTAATACTATTTCAAAAATCTTCTCTGAAACTACTGGGCCAAATACTTCCAAACTTTAATTTGATGTTTCTTAGGGTATCTAGTTTGTAAATTGTATCTGAAGTTTTGATCCATCAACAAACATGGCCGCCATGGCTTGAAATAGAACATGGGGACAAAAGCAGTTTTTGGCTTATATCTCAAAAACTACAGCAGTTAGAGGTGTCAGACCACCAATTAACTCCCTCCAATTTAGAATGTCTGTAAAAGTAGTCCTACTCTGACACAAAATAGTGCTTTTGAGGTCATTGTTTACTTAAACTAACAATCAGTTGTGCAGAAAAGAAACTTTTGGTGAAAGAGAAATATATTTAGATCATTTTGAGCCAAAATTTACTTGTCTATGAGTTTGCATTAAAAATTGAGGATTAATGCGCTCCATAGTATACCAATTTAAGGTTTTCAGAAAACCAGGGGTTATTTTTAGTAGTACTTGTGTTCTGAAGGTCAGTTTTTTCTTATAAGACTTTAAAGGTAGGACGAAAATTGGCTTGTAGAAAGGTGATACATGTACAATTCAGGATATACCTGGTTTCTATGAAGTTAAACAAAAAGTTTAATTTTACCTGTCAAGTAATCTTCAGACCAATCGGACAACTTATTGTTGGGTTACTGTCCAGAAATAGTTAATTTTTAGGAAATTTTAAAGTGTTGGGTTATGTATTATCTTTCATATTATTATAGAAAGAGAGAAAGTGTAATGACAAAATTGTTCAGCAAAGTAAGATCTACAAATAAGTCAAATGTCTGAAACTGAAATTGCAGGTGAGCAATATCAGGCTCTCATGAGCCTCTTGTTATTCACACTAATGATGTAACATGTTATATACTGTACATTTACACTAATGATGTACCATGTTATATACTGTACATTCACACTAATGGTGTAACATGTTATATACTGTACATTTACACTAATGATGTAACATGTTATACTGTACATTTACACTAATGATGTAACATGTTATACTGTACATTTACACTAATGATGTAACATGTTATACTGTACATTTACACTAATGGTGTAACATGTTATATACTGTACATTTACACTAATGGTGTAACATGTTATATACTGTACATTCACACTAATGATGTACCATGTTATACACTGTACATTTACACTAATGATGTACCATGTTATAAACTGTACATTTACACTAATGATGTACCATGTTATAAACTGTACATTTACACTAATGACGTACCATGTAATAAACTGTACATTCACACTAATGATGTACCATGTTATAAACTGTACATTCACACTAATGATGTAACATGTTATATACTGTCCACTAATGATGTAACATGATATATATTGTACATTTTTAGCTCAACTGGCCCTATGAGGGCCATGTGAGCTTATGCCATCACTTGTCTTCCGTCGTCATCGTTGTAAACTTTTTCAAGAATGTTCTCCTCTGAAACTACTGGGCCAAATACCTTCAAACTTTAATTTAATGTTCCTTAGGGTATCTAGTTTATAAATTTTATCTGATGTTTTGATCCATCAACAAACATGGCCGCCATGGCTAAAAATAGAACATAGGGGTCAAATGCATTTTTTGGCTTATATCTTAAAAATCTCAACACTTAGAGAAAATCTGACGGGGTAAAAATGTTCAGTAGGTCAAGATCTATCAGCCCTGAAATTTTCAGAGGAACCGAACAACCCATTGATAGGTTGCTTCCAATAAATTGGTAATTTTAAGGAAATTTTGCAATTTTTTGTTATTTTCTTGAGTATTATTGAAGATAAAGATAAACTGTAACCAGCAAAAATGTTCAGCAAAGTAAGATCTACAAAAAAGTTAACATGACCTAAATTGTCAATTGACCCTTTAATGATTTATTGCCCTTTAAAGACAATTTTACACAATTTGTTCATCATGTTTGCTAACATTTAAAAATCTTCTCCTCTGAAACTACTGGGTAATACTTCTAAACTTTAACTGAACATTCCTTAGGGTAACTGGTTTATAAAGTGTATCCAAAATTTTGATCCATTAACAAACATGGCCGCCATTGCTAAAAATAGAACATGGGGTCAAATGCAGTTTTTGGCTTTGATCTCAAAAACTATAGCAGTTAGAGCAAAAGTGACAAGGAGTTTAAGTGATGAATAAGTCAAAATCTATCTGCTATGACATTTTCTGATCAATTGGACCACCCATTGTAGGGTTACTGTCCAAAATAGTTTATTTTTATGAAATTTTACTGTTTTTGGTTATTAGTTTTACTATTATAATAGATAGAGAGAAAGTGTAAATGGCAAAAATGTTCAGCTAAGTAGGATCTGCAAATAAGTCAAATGATCAAAATAGTCAATTGACTCCTTACGGAGATATTGCCCTTGAAAAGTTTATTTTATTTACATTTTTTCGTGCAAGTCTAATACTATTTCAAAAATCTTCTCTGAAACTACTGGGCCAAATACTTCCAAACTTTAATTTGATGTTTCTTAGGGTATCTAGTTTGTAAATTGTATCTGAAGTTTTGATCCATCAACAAACATGGCCGCCATGGCTTGAAATAGAACATGGGGACAAAAGCAGTTTTTGGCTTATATCTCAAAAACTACAGCAGTTAGAGGTGTCAGACCACCAATTAACTCCCTCCAATTTAGAATGTCTGTAAAAGTAGTCCTACTCTGACACAAAATAGTGCTTTTGAGGTCATTGTTTACTTAAACTAACAATCAGTTGTGCAGAAAAGAAACTTTTGGTGAAAGAGAAATATATTTAGATCATTTTGAGCCAAAATTTACTTGTCTATGAGTTTGCATTAAAAATTGAGGATTAATGCGCTCCATAGTATACCAATTTAAGGTTTTCAGAAAACCAGGGGTTATTTTTAGTAGTACTTGTGTTCTGAAGGTCAGTTTTTTCTTATAAGACTTTAAAGGTAGGACGAAAATTGGCTTGTAGAAAGGTGATACATGTACAATTCAGGATATACCTGGTTTCTATGAAGTTAAACAAAAAGTTTAATTTTACCTGTCAAGTAATCTTCAGACCAATCGGACAACTTATTGTTGGGTTACTGTCCAGAAATAGTTAATTTTTAGGAAATTTTAAAGTGTTGGGTTATGTATTATCTTTCATATTATTATAGAAAGAGAGAAAGTGTAATGACAAAATTGTTCAGCAAAGTAAGATCTACAAATAAGTCAAATGTCTGAAACTGAAATTGCAGGTGAGCAATATCAGGCTCTCATGAGCCTCTTGTTATTCACACTAATGATGTAACATGTTATATACTGTACATTTACACTAATGATGTACCATGTTATATACTGTACATTCACACTAATGGTGTAACATGTTATATACTGTACATTTACACTAATGATGTAACATGTTATACTGTACATTTACACTAATGGTGTAACATGTTATATACTGTACATTTACACTAATGGTGTAACATGTTATATACTGTACATTCACACTAATGATGTACCATGTTATACACTGTACATTTACACTAATGATGTACCATGTTATAAACTGTACATTTACACTAATGATGTACCATGTTATAAACTGTACATTTACACTAATGACGTACCATGTAATAAACTGTACATTCACACTAATGATGTACCATGTTATAAACTGTACATTCACACTAATGATGTAACATGTTATATACTGTACATTCACACTAATGATGTAACATGTTATACACTGTACATTTACACTAATGATGTAACATGTTATACTGTACATTTACACTAATGATGTAACATGTTATATACTGTACATTTACACTAATGATGTAACATGTTATAAACTGTACATTTACACTAATGAGGTACCATGTTATATACTGTACATTCACACTAATGGTGTAACATGTTATATACTGTACATTTACACTAATGATGTACCATGTTATAAACTGTACATTTACACTAATGATGTACCATGTTATACACTGTACATTTACACTAATGATGTAACATGTTATACTGTACATTTACACTAATGATGTAACATGTTATACTGTACATTTACACTAATGGTGTAACATGTTATATACTGTACATTCACACCAATGATGTACCATGTTATAAACTGTACATTCACACTAATGATGTAACATGTTATATACTGTACATTCACACTAATGATTACACTGTACATTTACACTAATGATGTAACATGTTATAAACTCTACATTTACACTAATGATGTAACATGTTATAAACTGTACATTCACACTAATGATGTACCATGTTATATACTGTACATTCACACTAATGATGTAACATGTTATACTGTACATTTACACTAATGATGTAACATGTTATAAACTGTACATTTACACTAATGATGTAACATGTTATAAACTGCACATTCACACTAATGAGGTACCATGTTATATACTGTACATTCACACTAATGGTGTAACATGTTATATACTGTACATTCACACTAATGGTGTAACATGTTATATAATGTACATTTACACTAATGATGTAACATGTTATACACTGTACATTTACACTAATGATGTAACATGTTATATACTGTACATTCACACTAATGATGTAACATGTTATACACTGTACATTTACACTAATGATGTAACATGTTATACTGTACATTTACACTAATGATGTAACATGTTATAAACTGTACATTTACACTAATGAGGTACCATGTTATATACTGTACATTCACACTAATGGTGTAACATGTTATATACTGTATATTTACACTTATGATGTAACATGTTATATACTGTACATTTACACTAATGGTGTAACATGTTATATACTGTACATTTACACTAATGATGTAACATGTTATATACTGTACATTTTCACTAATGATGTAACATGTTATACTGTACATTTACACTAATGATGTACCATGTTATATACTGTACATTCACAATAATGGTGTAACATGTTATATACTGTACATTCACAATAATGATGTAACATGTTATATACTGTACATTTACACTAATGATGTAACATGTTGTAAACTGTACATTCACACTAATGATGTAACATGTTATAATGTTATAAACTGTACATTCACACTAATGATGTAACATGTTATAAACTGTACATTCACACTAATGATGTACCATGTTATACACTGTACATTCACACTAATGACGTACCATGTTATATACTGTACATTTACACTAATGACGTTCCATGTTATGCACTGTACATTTACACTAATGACGTACCATGTTATATACTGTACATTCACACTAATGACGAACCATGTTATATACTGTACATTCACACTAATGGTGTAACATGTTATATACTGTACATTTACACTAAAGATGTAACATGTTATATACTGTACATTTACACTACTGGTGTAACATGTTATATACTGTACATTCACACTAATGATGTAACATGTTATATACTGTACATTCACAATGGTGTACCATGTTATATACTGTACATTTACACTAATGATGTAACATGTTATACTGTACATTTACACTAATGGTGTAACATGTTATATACTGTACATTTACACTAATGGTGTAACATGTTATATACTGTACATTCACACTAATGGTGTAACATGTTATATACTGTACATTTACACTAAAGATGTAACATGTTATATACTGTACATGTATTTACACTAATGATGTAACATGTTATACTGTATATTTACACTAATGATGTAACATGTTATAAACTGTACATTTACACTAATGATGTAACATGTTATACTGTACATTTACACTAATGATGTACCATGTTATATACTGTACATTAACACTAATGATGTAACATGTTATATACTGTACATTCACAATAATGATGTAACATGTTATATACTGTACATTTACACTAATGATGTAACATGTTATATACTGTACATTTACACTAATGGTGTAACATGTTATATACTGTACATTTACACTAATGATGTAACATGTTATATACTGTACATTTACACTAATGATGTAACATGTTATATACTGTACATTTACTCTAATGATGTAACATGTTATATACTGTACATTCACACTAATGGTGTAACATGTTATATACTGTATATTTACACTTATGATGTAGCATGTTATATACTGTACATTTTTAGGAGTAAGTTATCAACAAAATATTCCACATTACAAAAGATGATAAAAGATTTAAAGACAGAAACCTGGAGTCAAGATGACCATATTAGGTATTGAACCATTCACATTTATGATAAGCATACACCAAGATATTCCATTGAAGAGGGTTAACCTGTGTATCTAGAAAAATATTGTGCAGTTTTCTCTTTCCCTTTTCTATGCTCTTTCAATGAAGACTTTAAAGTAAAAACAAATCATTTGAACTTATAACATTATTGATTGTTGTTTGTGTGGAAATAAAATTGAGAAAGGAAATGAGGAATGTGTCAAAGAGACAACAACATGACCAAAGAGCAAAAAACAGAACAAGGCCACCAATGGATCTTCAACACAACGAGAAAATCCCGCACTCGGAGGCGGGTTACAGCTGGCCCCTTAAACAAAAATGTGTACTAGTTCAGTTTACTTTTATTTTGCAGAAAAAAAATCTTTTATCCTGGACCTTTCAATGATAAAAATTGAAACAAATACAGAATGAACAAAATATTCACATCTTATCAAACATACCAAAATTTCTTGTAGTTTTCACATTTTGTTAGTAAACTAAAGTTACTTCTTCTTATGAAGAGGACTTCATTTATTTGCATAATTACCATGTAACCGGTATTTTTGCTGTATTCTGTCAAGATTTGGATTTTAAAGCCAGGATAAACGCTTTATTTTTAAATGGCTTAAAGGTTTAAAGCAAAGATGAAACTGGACATTAATCAAGTTTTTAGATAGTTGAAACATAATTTCACCTTTAACAAGGTTTAGAGAATACTGATTCTTTGAAAAAGGTTAAGAGAATTTGGCAGCACTGAAACTTTTATCAAGGTTTAGAGATTACGTTGGATTTCTATTTTTAGATATTTAAAAGGAGAGGTATTTTCAAAGCAGGATAACCTAAAGGAAGAAGGACAGATATTGTTTGAGGTCAGAGCAGAGAAAGCCAGTCTACTAGAGAAACTAGAAATCCTGGAAGAGTAAGATTATTAATACAACACATAAATAGTCATTGAAGCCTTCAAAGAGCTTCTGATCCTTATTCATCAAGTATGTAACAGAATGTGAGACATAAAGATGTTGATCGGTTGGTGTCAGTGTTTTCTTTTTGTATGAAGCTTTTGATTTCAGATGGTTGAAGAGCTGATAATCCATATTTGGTATATTATTGTATTATGGTCTGAAGTTTCATCTGGCATAGGTCTGGAGTTTTCATCTGGCATAGGTCTGAAGTTTTCATCTGGCATAGGTCTGAAGTTTTCATCTGGCATATATATATTTCCATAGTCCTTAACCTCATTTTTATATTCGCATGACTGCTGAAAAAAATATTTGGACTTTTCTAGTGCACTTCTTATTGTTCTGTTGATGGAGATAAAAGAAGAATGTTTAATGTTCTCAACTCTCGCACAAAAGTGTTTTCCTGTTTTGTAGATGTTTTTAATATAAAATTAGAGGATGTGGTATGATAATGACAGGATTTTGACTTCATTCACATCACAGATTTTGGTATTTTGTTTGAACATTATATTGACATTTTTTATTATGTATTGTGGTTTGAATTGCATCTCATTGACGTTTCCATGAGTCTTAAGGGCATACGATAGCAGTTTCGATCCCACTGTGTTTTCTTCACGAAAATTTGCATTCTTGCTATTTTTCATCTCGTCAATTCAAATATATATATGTATTAATAAAAAATGTACCTTTACATGCATTTTTTTTTAGATCAATGGGGTCCAAATTTTAGACATTTACTCAAAATTTGGGTTTCTTGGAAATTTCTATCCTTAAGAAGGAAATACTTAACTTTTTTGTTTCAAAAGATAAACACAAGCTGATTTTTGTAAAAAAAAAAACATTTGGAATATCTTCTTCACATAAGTATGCTATAAATTTGTGTAACAATTCTATGAAAAAAATTATTTTTTAGTGAATTTTCATGATTTTAGAAAAGTAACATTTTTGGTACGTTAGCGACGTCATTACCTCCACTATACTGTAATGTATGCCCTTAAGCCCTGATGATAACTCTTGTTTTAATTGCACATTGTAACAAATAAATATAATTATGTTATATTGCTCTGAGATGGTGCAGCTGTTTATTAGTGTTATAATAAATCATTCTTTCATAGAGTAATCATATAAATCATTTCAGAGAAAATGGAACATTGAATGAAAACATCAAGACATTAACAGAAAAGTACCATGTTATTGAAGGTCAATTTGGTGAGTCTATTATGTTATTGAAGGTCAATTCGGGGAGTCTATTATGTTATTGAAGGTCAATTCGGGGAGTCTTTTATGTTATTGAAGGCCAATTTAGTGAGTCTTATGTTATTGAAGGTCAGTTCGGTGAGTCTATTATGTTATTGAAGGTCAATTCGGTGAGTATTATGTTATTGAAGGTCAATTCGGGGAGTCTATTATGTTATTGAAGGTCAATTCGGGGAGTCTTTTATGTTATTGAAGGCCAATTTAGTGAGTCATGTTATTGAAGGTCAATTCGGTGAGTCTATTATGTTATTAAAGGTCAATTCAGTGAATCTTATGTTTTTGAAGGTCAATTCAGTGAGTCTATTATGTTATTGACGGTCAATTTGGGGAGTCTTATGTTACTGACAGTCAATTCGGTGAGTCTATTTTGTAATTGACGGTCAATTTGGGGAGTCTATTATGTTATTGAAGGTCAGTTCGGTGAGTCTATTATGCAATTGAAGGTCAGTTCGCTGAGTCTACTATGTAGTTGAAGGTAAGTTCAAATAGTCTACTATGTAATTGAAGGTCAGTTTGGTGAGTCTATTATGTGATTGTAGCTATGATAGGTAAGGACTGTTTCAGAAAATACTATGGAAAACAAAACAAAAAATCCTAATACCGTACCTACTCGCTTATTAGTCGGAAAATTGGGAGTAAAATTCATAATCCAGAGAGGGGGACCGACTAATAGACGAGATCTAGCGACCAGAGGAAAAATCCAAGCTTGAGAAAAGTGGTCAGGAGTGAATTTCCTGGTCAAAACTACGTTTTTGATTGCCAAACCTACATAAATCAATAAATAAAAAGTTTTTGTTGAAAATAAATGACTACAATACTGTCTTTGTGTTTTATTTGTTCTTTGGTAAACATTTTCTGCAAATTCGTGTTGAAATTCTACTGTTTCCGGTTTGTGTATTGATTTTCATGGTCACATGGTTTTCCTATAAACCCAAAAGAAGAGCCAAGAACCAAAAATGAAAAGGAGATAACAATGTACCAAATTGTGAACGGATGTTTTCAGCGGTGTTATTGTGTCATTATTGTGATATCATGATATCAATTCAATGCTTATAAATCATATAATAATCAAAAAATAATTTTAAGATTCATTCCCAAAATCAAAATATTATTCATTAAAGTGTCTCAGGTAAACAAAAATTACAAAATTGATTGACAAGCCAATATAATCCATTGATAACCCCAATTAAGAGACAAAGAGTTGTATTTACTAAAGGTGTGAAAACTATCAGTGATAGGTAAACAGATGACACTAATGAGTTGGAGTTAGTTATTTTAATATATTGATAAGCTTCACTTAATTTTTTTAATCCTTTAATCATCACAATATAATAAGAATTATGAAGTGTACATGCTCATTTAACACCGAGTTATGTATGCTGTGAAAAATATTTTCATCAAGTGTTGATTGACTTTAAATTTTTCAGGTTCATATTGGTTTATATTCGCTTTTCTCAAACAATAGGTTGTTAGTCATACCCTACAAAATCATTGATGCATTACGTAAACAACACATGGCTAATCTAACATTTGAACAGTGAACAAAACAAGAGAAATGAATACATCTTTATTATTAACAGCAATATAAATTATCATGATGAGCATCAACTAAATTCAAACCAAACATTAATGCAGAAATGAATATTATTCCTGGATTTGCATTGGTTCTACCGGCGTTCAGTTACTGTCAGCTGAAAAAAAAATGCCCAAATTTTGTCCGACTTATACGAGGGTCAAGACTAAATCCTTAGAATTTGGAGCTGAAAAGGGCCCCCGACTTATAGTAGGATCGACTATTAGGCGAGTTTATACGGTAGGTTTCATGAAGTCCCATGAAATCTAAATGTAATCAGCAATATTTGTCTAAGGCCTGTCAATGTTTAAAATCGACAGATAATCGATAGAAAGAACTATTTTCACTGAAGATGTGCTTATATTGCACCTGCAGCCCTTTCTGATGAAATATTGAATTTGAATTTATCATAGTTGTAATACAAGAAAGATATGATGAGAACAAATGTCTAGCATAAATATTTTACGAGAATCAATTCATGACACAAAAACCAAAAGCAAAGAAACAACACTTTTATTGCTGTGCTTTATCTCAAAGTCAAAGTGAGGCCTCCAACACTGGATATTGGATAGATGTCTCATTGGCAATCATACCATATCTCTCAATTTTAATACTAGTTTGTTTTTTTCAGCAGAGGAACAAAATCAGAATAATGTGAAATCTGATCAAGTTCAGTCCCAACTGGATGTTACTAAATGTCATCTGATGGAGGTCCAGGACCAATATCAATTCCTACAGTCCAAGAATAAGGAACTTGTCCATTCCATCAACAAAGAGAAGGTATGTCCACATTACACAGGTTCAATACCTAAACAAGACCTTTCATTCAAAAATACAGAACTTGTCCATTCCATCAACAAAGAGAAGGTATGTCCACATTATACAGGTTGAATACCTAAAAAAGACCTTTCATACAGAACTTGTTCATTTCATCAACAAAGAGAAGGTATGTCCACATTATACAGGTTCAATACCTAAACAAGACCTTTCATACAGAACTTGTTCATTTCATCAACAAAGAGAAGGTATGTCCACATTATACAGGTTCAATACCTAAACAAGACCTTTCATACAGAACTTGTTCATTTCATCAACAAAGAGAAGGTATGTCCACATTATACAGGTTCAATACCTAAACAAGACCTTTCATACAGAACTTGTTCATTTCATCCACAAGGAGGAGGTAGGTTCCTGTAATAGGGTCCAGAAAAAATACTCAACTCAGCAGCAAAAAAAAAATAAGGAATCTGTTTATTCTAAGGGGAATGTATGTGCACACATTGGATGGCCTACTCTGTAGTCCAAAAAATAAGGAATTGTTAAATTTTATCAAGAAACACTATAATTGCCACTGGACATTAAGCGAACATCAATCAACTAAGGAGTCTTAATTAAGGTCTAGTAATAATACCAGATAAGAACTCTGCCAATTCTTACATGGAACTTGCTTTATTTTATCACCTTGCACTTTGATAACTTGACTGGTTTATTACAGTAGTTGGATAAATTTTCTGAACAGTTGAACAGTTTGGTTTGATAAAACAAATTGCAATTGGGTCAGAATTTTGAATGTACTGCAAAAGGTGGAGAGCAACACTTACAGTCAAGTCACAGTTATATAAAATAATAAATAAAAAATTCAGTGAATATTCATATTCATGACACAAAATACACACACTTGTAAAAAACAAATAGCAAAGGCTCAAAGCTTTTATTGCTGTTCTTCATATCAGAGTCACTCTATAGCTTTCAGCATAAAGAAAGGCTCACACCTTACTGCAAGTTTAAGACTGCCTCTGGCACCATTTGGAGCAGAAATCTTAGCAAAAATATTGATTTCTCTATAGTGCATTGAAGATTACACCTGATGGGTAACTTCTGTTCACTACAGACAGAGTTAACAATTCCAAAAAGAAAAGGTGGGGGTAAAGCACTAACCTTAAAAATTCTTCATTGCTATAACAATTAGATTTCTTCGATTTATGCTCTACACATGAGCAATTTTTTAGCTTTACCCAAGTCCATTTCTAAGCAAACCCTGATTTTAAACAATCACAATCTTCTCAGATATTGTACAGTGCAGTTCAATAATTTACAGTTCACACAGTCTTACACTTAATTATTGAGTAATTTTGAAAAGTCAGTATCTCAGATACTTCTATCAGAGTAACAGTTATCTTGTACAAAAGGTCTGAGAACATTAGTATAACTGTGTCATACAGTTTTTCATTTGGAGTATTTTTTCCAAAAGATAGTTCCTTCTTTTGTACAACTTACCATTTCATACAATATTAAACAAATTAGTTTCATGACTATTGTTAGTCATCATTGTGACAATATTGCCAAGTCCTCCACCATGTGACGATATGGGACTCGTCATTAACTTTAATTTTTGTAGATTGGAAACTAACTTATAGAAAACAGGTCTTACATGAACAACATTTGATATTAGAGAGACAGTAAACAAAAAGGTGTTTCCTGACATAACTTGTACAATTCTGTATAAACGAATTACACATATGACATATATATATCTAAATATATAACATCATGACCTCGTTTTATGACACTGGTGAACTGTTGCATTTGAGTTGTAAAGGTTGTTCTATTTAAACATTAGTCACTGATTATATACAGTTGTATATAGGAAAAATTCCTCAAAGAGAGTATGTGGGTTGTAGGGAATTTAAAAAACTCGTTGTAACAGAAAAGCCCTACTTTTATTAAAATATATATCTTGAGTATTGTACATCCATGTACTGTAGAGAAGTTGTTATCAAGTTTGTTTTTATTTTCAGGAGAATGTGGAAAAATTCATCTATGAATTAGATGAACAAAAACAGCTGACCTCTGACCTCCAGATGTTAGTTGTTGACAAAGAAGAGAAAATAACAGACTTGGAGATATCACTAGAGGCCACAAAAGTGGAATTACAGAATTTAATGGATAGCATAGAAGATAAGGAGGAAGATATCAGAAATTTGCAAGACAGAATTCACAGTCTAGAGGACATTGAAAGGTCATTTAAAAGTCAAATACAACAAGAAAATAAGGTCAGCCAAGAAACAGCAAGACAACATGCAGATAGAATATTACATTTGGAACATCGTGAGATTTCTGTTACCGAGGAAAACATCAAGTTATGTAGAAAACTAGAAGAGATGAACCAGATCAAATCTGCTGTTGAGGAGAAAATGGAGGACGGACACAAGGAATTGACAAACCAGTTACAACTGGTTCTTAAAGAAAAGGAAAGAATACAAACAGAACTAGAAATGACACAAAAACGGCAAGAAAGTTTGAAGAAAGAAGTTTCTAACCTTGAAGGGAAATTAACAACTGTAGAAGACACATTAGAAATAGAAAAACAAACACGTCTCGATATTGCTGAGCAGATGACAGGTAATATTCAGACAGTGATCCAGGAGAAACAAGATCTGATAAACAACTTACAATCACTTACCTCACAGATAGAAAAAGTTAAATTTGACAATGTTCAGCTGATAGAACAGATACAGGAATTAGAGAAAGTGAAAGTACAACAACAACAGGAAATATTACATCAAAAGGAGGAGTTAGGCAAAGTGAAAGTAGACAGAGAAAACACTGATGACAAACTGAAGAAGTTGGATGCTAAATTCCACAGTCTTAACAAAGAAAATACACAGTTGATGAATGAGATAGACTTTTTACATGAGAAAAAGTTAAGGGATGAAAATGAAATGAAGGATCTAATTGAAACATTGAAGAGTGATTTATTGAATATGAAAGAGAAAGATGAGAACCAAACTGAGGCTATATCTAAACATGTGGAGTCATTGGAAGATGCTAATTCTGAGATTGAAAAGTTGAGGAATGACACAACCTATATGAAGGAGAAAGAGAAGGTTCAGACGGAGACTATATCTCAACATCTTAAGTCATTAGAAGATGCTTATACTCGAGAGAAAGAATTAGACCTAGAGAAAGTAGAGCTGACATCTAAATTAGATCAAGTAACAACACAAAAAGAGGCCATATCAAAGCAATTTTCTGAGTTAGTGAGTTCATTAGAAGAAGTTAGTAACAAGTCAACAGAGAAAGAGACAAACTGGAGAAGTGAACAGGAGAGATTGACAAAAGAATTACAGACTGTCACAAACCAAAAGGAGATCTTACAACAAAGGATTGCCTCCCTTGATGAGGAAAAAGGGGCACTTGGGGATTTTGTTAAGCATTTAGAAACTAGGTTAGAAGATGTGGAAATAGAAAGTAGAACAGAAATAGATTCTATTAAAACACTTTTAGAAAATTCAGAACACCAGAATCAGACATTACAATCTGTGAACCTGACATTACAGGAGGCATTAGATGATCAAGGTGTACGAACTCACAGCTTAGAAAACGATGTAGAAAAGTTAACACAAGAAATACACGTGTATATAGATTTCAAAGGGAAGTATGAAGATAAGGTCAAAGAAATATCACACATGGAACAGGAAATGATGTCACAGATTGATTCACTACAGGTTAAATTACAGGACACTGAGGCTGATAAAGATATGCTGAGTCAGCAGACTATGGATATTAATAAAGTAGTTGAGACTTTAAATAGGGAGAATGCAAGACTTGAAAAGGAAATAGACACAAAGGAAGAGGTCATAGAAAGGTTAACTTTACAATATGAATCGGAAATTAAAACATTGGAAACTGAGGTCAAAGGTCAACAGTCTAGTAATAAAGATTTGACTGAAAATGTACAGCTTTTAGAACACAGACTTAAAGAATTAGAAAGTGAAACTGTGAAATATAGGACAAAAACTGAAGCTGTAGAAAATGAAATAAAGCATAAAGAAAGTGAATCAATGAATAGAATAGAAGATTTAACTCAACTTCTACAATCAGTGAAAGAGGACAGGAATCAACTATCAAAGGACGTTCAATCGTTACAAAGGTATCTTCATAAACTAATAGTTATGTACCATATGTATACACTAATCTATACCATTGTCCATCTGTTTGTCATAAATTAAATATGTCTAACTTTAATGGCAGTCATAGGTGATTTATTCTATTTAGTCTATATGTAAAGAAATCAGTCTATGCTTATAATAGTAGGATGAATGCAGTCTGCCTATCATGACGTCAATATTTTGGTTTCTGTAAGAAATCTTTTGAAGCAAAAGCAATATCTTTCACAATATTGACAAGTTTGCAGCTGTGTTATCTAATTTTCAGAAAAGAGAGACTTTTATAATGAGAATGTTGTTGTTAGAAGGAGGTATGACAAGAGCCATTTTTTGTAGTTTTACATGAAAAAGAAAATTTTTGGGGCAAAATTTTGGAGAATTCACACTTTTGATAAAATTAGTATTTAAGATTAATATGAATAACTTTATATTATTAACAAGTATTAAAATAGAAATAATAATACTTTATTATTTAGAAGAATACACACTGTGGAAGAGGAAAAAGAAGAAATGGCCAAACATTATGAAGATGAACTGATAGATCTGAGGGACCAAGCCAAGACTATGGACAATGATAATAAGTATGCATACTTTATCATTCAAACAATTGTTACCTTCAACAACTCTAATATCCATTATTATGCATTAAGTAACATATGATTCATACCTTTCAATTTTTGAAAATTCCCATGGGGGTTTTACTGCGCAACATCATTTTCAAAGGTTACAATTTTTCATGGCGTTTTTGTGTGCACTGTTTTGTACTCCATAAATAGTGTCATATCTTTTTATTTTCTTATGGTATACTGCTGATGAGCTAATATGCCCTTTCTTTGTTTCATTTGCATGATTCTTGTCCTTATATTACTGTGTATAAAAGACAGCTAGAATACCAATTTAAAAATATGGACATAGGACATTTATCTGATTCCTTGTAAAAAAATAAAAACAGTACTTTCAATTATTTGATAATAAGATAACAAGAATGACAACAAGATAACATTCCTTGCATGCTTTGATTCGTCATTCAGGCCACCATGGTCACAGTTCTTTGATCTACATGTATCAGTCTTACTGTCTATATTGCAGACTTCACAAAAGGCATGTGATATACCTATCAATGAATTTGTCCATCAGCCACACTTTTCTTCTTAAGCTACATAATAACCTTCTTGCAGATGATAAGTCAATGTATCAACTGAAATCAAAAGTCAACAATTGTTTTATTATATGGCTTTTTATCCTCCAATTTTCTAGTATTTTGCTAAAGATACTTTTTAAACTACTACCCGTTTTTATACTAAATGCATCATCTGCTTTTGCAGTTGCTAATTTTTATAAGATGAAATATTCAATAAAGTTTACTTAAAAGAATACACTGAAAACGAGAAGAAGAGAAAAAAATACACCGAAAACAAGAAGAAAAAGAAAACTGGAATTGACATGACGTTATAAACGTACGTCATTGACGTTGTCTTGAAATATCTATATTTAGGTACATGGAGGCTGTTTCAAATCTTATATTAATCTTTTGTGATTCTTGCTGCTGTGAATATAATGTTTTATCAAAGAGGATTTCCTTTGCTTTTAGCCAATGAGAAAACAGAAAATTTATAGTCATATATTAATGTTATTTAACATGTAGATAATATTTATGTTTACAGCTGGAAGAAGATGTATGAAGACCTGATGACAAAAGTGGAGCCATTCATGGCACAGATAGATGCTTATGAGATGGAAAAAATGGCACTACTTGGTAATTATTGATATCATTAGATTGTATTAAATTATGTTATATACGTAACAGCTTTTCCATAAAAAGGTACATGGAACCTAGGGGAGATACTATAAGTGGGTGTTACTGTAAAACATTTTTAAGATCCACTAATAAAGTCTCTCTTCAAGTACTTTTAGTAAAAATTTGTTATTCAAACACACCTATAAATGTACTCTGTTATTATGACTCATTAGGTATTTCATTTGACCCATTCATTTCATTTTTTAGTACTGTGAATTTTTAATGTTATTATATCAACCTGTTGCTTAAATATATAAAATAAATAGAATCTGAAGCTTTATACGTTTTCAAGACAAAACAGTCAACTCAAACATGCCTGAACATAAAAAGGTGTACTCGACTTTCTCTTTTATTATTGCCCATTTTTATGATTTTTTCACAAAAAACTGTCCCTGGGGGCAGAGATGCAAATTAATGCTTTATTAAGATCATTTTTTAGCTCACCTGGCCCGAAGGGCCAAGTGAGCTTTTCTCATCACTTGGCGTCCGTCGTCCGTCGTCGGCGTTAACTTTTTACATTTTGAACTTCTTCTAGAGAACCACTGAATGGAATGAAACCAAACATGGCATGAATGTTCCTTATGAGGTGCTGACCAAGTGTTGTTACTTTGTAGCGGATCCATCATCCAAGATGGCCGCCAGCGGTGGACTTAGTTTAACATAGGACCCTATGGGAAATACATACAAATGTCTTCTTTTAGAGAACCACTGAATGGAATGAAACCAAACATGGCATGAATGTTTCTTATGAGGTGCTGACCGAGTGTTGTTACTTTGAAGCCGATCCATAATCCAAGATGGCCGCCAGCGGGGGACTTAGTTTAACATGGGACCCTATGGGAAATACATACAAAGGTCTTCTTTTAGAGAACCACTGAATGGAATGAAACCAAACATGGCATGAATGTTCCTTATGAGGTGCTGACCAAGTGTTGTTACTTTGAAACCAATCCATAATCCAAGATGGCCGCCAGTGGGGGACTTAGTTTAACATGGGACCCTATGGGAAATACATACAAACGTCTTCTTTTAGAGAACCACTGAATGGAATGAAACCAAACATGGCAAGAATGTTCCTTATGAGGTGCTGACCAAGTGTTGTTACTTTGAAGCTGATCCATTATCCAAGATGGCAGCCAGCGGGGGACTTAGTTTAACATAGGACCCTATGGGAAATACATACAAATGTCTTCTTTTAGAGAACCACTGAATGCAATGAAACCAAACATGGCATGAATGTTCCTTATGAGGTGCTGACCAAGTGTTGTTACTATGAAGTTGATCCATAATCTAAGATGGCCGTCAGCGGAGGACTTAGTTTAACATAGGACCCTATGAGAAATACGTACAAATGTTTTCTTTTAGAGAACCATTGAATGGAATGAAACCAAACATGGCATGCATGTTCCTTTTGAGGTGCTGACCAAGTGTTGTTACTTTGAAGCTGATCCTTCATCCATGATTGCCGCCAATGGGGGGACTTCCTTTAACATAAGACCCTATGGGAAATACATACAAATGCTTCTTCTAGAGGTGCACTGAATGGAATGAAACCAAAACATGGCATAAATGTTTCTTATGAGGTGCTGATTAAGTGTTGCTACTTTGTTGCCGATTTACTGTTCAAGATGGCCACCAGGATTTTTTATTAAATTACAGGACCAATATTAAACCAAATTTAACCTCACTCATTATTAGGGTATCTGTTATGATTTTAATCTATTTTTACATGATTTCCAAAACCAAAGTAGAATCAGGTGAGCGACACAGGCTCTTGAGAGCCTCTAGTTTATCTTTCTGTGGAATTTTTTCAGTGAAATTTATACTGATGCACAAAAAAGATCCACATGTTTTTGAACCTACCACAATCAACTTTTTTGTGAAAATTTCTATTTAATTTAAAAGTTTATATTATCTGGAAGTACCATTCTATAATTTTTAAGTAAAAACATGTACATAAGATGCAAAAAATCCTAAATTTTACACCTACATTAATCTTTTAAAGCCCATAGAAACAGATGTAAACAATTCAAATATACCAACATGGCCTTTTAACCTCCTCTAATAAAGAGTTCCATTTCTTTTGTTTAATTTCAACTGGATATCAGACTGTGTAACAGACTGATGGTTGTTTTCCTTGTAGGGAGCAGTCAGTTTGCCTAGTAATAGATTAAATTATTCATGTAACAGACTGATGGTTGTTTTTCATTGTAGGGAGAAGTCAGTTTGCCCAGGCAGAGATGGATAAATTGAGTCAAGCCTATGCCAAACTACTGGGTCATCAGAATCAAAAACAGAAAATTCATCATATTGTCAAAATAAAAGAAGAAAACAACAGTCTGAAAAAGGTAAGTTATATATATCCTGTATATAACTGAACAGGTAAAACTCACAATTGTATTGATTATTGTTTTCTTAAAAGTCCATTGGCTAATAGTTCCTGTATATTCAAAATTAGAACTGATTGAATAATAAATCAATTACTGTAGATTCATTATTTTTTCTGAGATACTCATTTTCATGGGTTTAAAAAGACGACAAATTTTAATAAGTGTAAAAAAAGAAACAGGAATCCAAGTATTCAGGAAAATTGGTACACATGAATAAAAGTTCTTCATTGTATACGATTTAAACTATTTAGTATAGTAAGAGTGTGTGTGGGCATCTCTCAAAATCAATATCCATACAACTCTCAAAGTTTTTTAGAGTGTTGAAATATAGTAAGAAGTGCATTTGGGCATCTCTCAAAATCAACATCAATGAAACTCTCACCAATTGTAAGCAACAACAGTGTGCTCTTTTACCTTATATTTTGGTAAGCATTGATGATCCAACAACTAACAACTCAACAAGCAAGAATTACTAATTAATATAGTGAGGTCCAACACAGGTTTTAAGGTGTGAGGTCTGACAGAAGTTTGATCTTTGAGATCTACTTTATAGCAGGGTTTTTTTTCGCGGGTGTAAAATTTCATGATTTAGGGGCAACAAAGTATACGAAAATTTTTGGCGGATTCCTCAATTCCAATTAAATATTTTGGTGGATACTGAAATGGTTGCAGTTAAACAGTAAACAAGTGTCTATTTTTATGGTTAAATGATTGTTTTACCTGCATGACATCTTATTTATTGATTACATTTGGACACAGTTAATCAATAGAATACCTGTACTTAGATATTTGTCACAGGCGTGCACACTTCTTGTAAAATTTTTATAAAATATATGTAAATAATACCCTTTCGCATTTATGTTGTTCAAATTATCATAAACTGTTATTGACCGTCGACCTGGAAAAAAATAGATCGTTTACAAAACGCTACAGTTATTAAAAAGTACCGAACGTAACATAAATTTTCGTTGAATTTATTTTGCAATTTTCCTTTACCCGCCAAAATAAGCGAAAATAAACACCCCGCTAAAATTACCCGCTATAAGGTATGTTGTTAATATGATTTTAATCTTCTTTTTATCAAGGAAACTACCTCACTCAGAGAACAGGTTAATAAACTAAAGAGAGCCAACCAGAAATTAGAGGAAAAGAACTTGACATTAGAAGGGCGAAAAAGATTTGATCCATCAAAAGCTTTCCAGTGCAAAGAAAACACAGTTCCACCTTCAAGTCCATTAAAAGATGGTAAATATTTGTCGTCAGCCAAATATTATTATACTGCTGCACCAAAACTATCCAATTATTGATTTCAAGATAATCAAACAAAAATTGTTTTGTTGCATAAATGATATCTTGGATTCGTGTTCGGTAGCTTCATATTTCCCTTGGTCTTCAACAATATTACCCTTTGTTTGCAACTTACTGTTCAACTCTGACGGGGGCCTCAGTGGCAGAGTGATCTAAGTAATTCAACTACTGTATCACTTGCCTGTAAAGACTGAGGTTGTTAATTCCAATCCTGCACATGGCAGGTTCTACTCTAATCTTAATTGTTGAGGAACGCCAGTTTCCAGCTGAAGGTCTCTCTTGGCACTCTGGCTTCCTCCACCAATAAAAACCGCCCAACAAAAAAAAAACATCCGCCAAGAAATAGCCAATAGTGCTGAAAGTGGTGTTAAACAACTAAAAACCATCAATCAATCAACTTGTTATAGTCGAAAATCATGCATCACAGCTTGAACAACCAAAAAGGTTGTATCTGAAGTTGTATCTGAAGTTACCTGTAAGATCATAATATTTGACAACTTTGCCCTGAAGATATAAATGTAACATAGAAAACAAAGACAAAGAAAAACTTTGGTTTGATTTCAAGTGAAACAATACAGATTTAGTGCTTTAGCTTCAAACCAATGAACACATTTATATCTTGGCTTTCAAATATTCGGCTTTGAGCGTTCCTGATGAAGGTAAATCCAGAAAAGCGCTTCGGACTCATGCAATTTATAACATGTTGTTTTTAATTTTTTTAGAGCACTGAGTTGATACCTCTGCTGGTGGACTATCAGTCCCCAGGGGTATCATCAGCTCAGTAGGCAGTTCTTCGGTACTGACATGATTTATAACAAACTATCTAAAATTGCCAGTTTATAAATTTTGAAATTATACAGAAACTAAGGTTTCAACTCCCTCAGGCATAGTTTGCCTTAGAAGGATTTGGCTATTATATTTAGGTTTTTTTTTTATTATATAGCTCTTAAATGTTTTCGGTTCTTATACATCCTTGACTTTCAAATATTCAGCTTTGAGTGTTCCTGATGAAGGTAAATCCAGAAAAGTGCTTCGGAAGATTTTAATCGACCTTCAAATCTTGAAACAGACAGTTGATTATTCATATAATACAAAGATTTGTTCAAACACGAACAGTACATGCACTGATTATAAATCATTTTACAAGTATAATTGGATTTCTATTTCTTCTTTTGATAACCTAATACTTGACATATTTATTTTTCTAGGCAATAGAAAATAAAGAAAAGAAGCACAAAAGCAACTGTCCTATCCATAATGGTCCTGTTGAATGTCATGATTGTGAAGTCAAGGAGAACAGAATATAGTGTTATTGTTACATTGTGTATTATGATTCTAACAATGTGTGTTATGTCCCATTATATAATCTTATAGTGACATTGTGTATAATGATAGTGCCAGTGTGTGGTATGTCAAGTTACACAGCACATAGTTTTAATTGTGTCACATTATATAATTTTATAGTGACATTGTGTAAGATGATTGTGCTGTTGTGTTGTATGTCAAGTTACACAGCACATAGTTTTAATTGTGTCAAATGATTCTAACAATGTGTTTTATATAAATGTGACAATGTATTGTTTTATAATTATCAACACAAAAAACTGTAAAAGTAATATTATTTGTAGGATTGATTTTAAAGATTCCATTCCTCCTCCTAACCACAATATTCATTTCAAGGTTTGTGAATTTTAGTGTTTACCAGAATATATTTCTCTCATCACCTGAATAAAAGGAGGCGACAATACATTTGAATAAAAACCAGCTGCAAAACACTGATTGCGCCAGTGATTACAGGATCTAGTCAGATACATTAGCTGAAGAATACATTAAATGCAGCAGAAATCTTCTTTTCTAAAGTCATATGTACTCACACATCTCACTTTTGTGACAATGAAATAGCAGGTTTTATGTGAAGTATCACTTAACCAAACAAAGAAAAGAAACTGTAGAATAACTGTGTATGTTATGCTGTATTTAGTTGTTAGTGATTTTTATGTAGTATTATATATGCAACCACCTTTTAATTTTTTAATCTATATTATAAATCTATGATGGGTACCTTTTCTGAGTTAGTATTAATTAATTATCTGTGAAAATTTTGAATCTATGGCAGCACTTTTTTCACACTACCTCTATATATTGTTAATCAGTGAAAGTTTAAATCTGGAAGGTACTTTTTCACATTACCTCTATTTACGTATCATTTATGTAAGATTTACCAAAGATACTTTTTCTGTGTACCTTTATTTTTATAGTGTTTGTTTTTCTTTAGATTTTAGTATGTAGTGATTAGTAGTAACTAGATCTAGACCAATGTAGAAAAAAAAGTTTTAAAAAAATAAACTCGCCTTCCTCTGTCAATAACTCTGACTATATTAGCAACATTTCTTTTACCTTATAAGAATTTACAAAAAAATGAACTGGTTACACCAGTGCTTGATATGCCAGTCAAAAATTTAGATATTTATAAATATTTTTTCATCAAGCTTTTCTAATAATCACTAAATGAAATTCAAGCCAGTTCTATTTGATGAATATTTACAATGTCTTTGATTCGACCTTATGCAGTTACTGTCAATTCTACTGTTCATCACCATGGCAACAATATTTTAAGTTTTCATGTTTAATAACTATTTAGATAAGTCATGTCAATATGTGCCAATTTATTTTAAGAATGTGTCTGACAGAGAATTAGTCATTAGAAAGTTTTGAATGTGATTTTAGATATAGTTTCCTGTAACACCATTGATCAATAACCTTAGAACTTTATAACATATACACATCCTGTATAAACAAAACTTCGAAATCCAGATTTTATATGTGTTCAAGTTTAGGGATATACCACAGAAAAACACTTAGGTGTCACATTAATATGCCCAAATTATTAAAACCGCTGCCTTTGAAACTCTTTGCACTAGATTCACATATGCAATCTTGTTACTTACACAGACTCCTTACTGGTTCTTTATGTAACATGTCAGTAAATAGAAGCAAATAAAGGTCTGTTAAAGTTTTTTCAATCAGGTTCAACTGTATGCTGACATATCATGTGTTGAGTGATTGTTTATGTATTTTGTGCATGATCAAGATCAATTAAAATTTTAGACTGTGCTTAATTTTTTTTTGTTTAATTTAGTTTCTATGTCAATTCAGGCCATTTCAGTACCACCTTTAACATCCCTGTCTGTGTGAAGATCTATCGTGGAGCAGGATTATTAGCAAGAAAATGATACATCTTTGAAAGATGGACCCTGAACTTAAATTGGATGTCTGAACATGATGGTCACACAACCCATAATTCCAGGTTCATTGCATTGGATAAAGTAAACCCTTAAGTTTTATGTCTCAGATACTTAAAGATCCACAATGATATAACTTATTGTAAGGATGTATATAGGGGAATAGGACAACATTCTAAAAACTAGGTTACTCTTCTATATTCTATGCTTCATTGATTTTGATAAGTATGTTTTTGGACATGCAGTATAAATGAACTGAAAAGTCACATGATCGGACAGTTTATTTGGAATAACTGAGCACATAATTAAGCAAGTGTATATCTGTCATTGGTATGATCATAGTCCAGTATACACAGAAAAAAATGTGGTAAAAATAAACAGACAAGTTTCATGGATTGAAAGATCACATGATCAGACAATGTTATTAAATGGGTTGATAGATCACATGATCCGACCATGTTAATGGGTTGATAGATCTCATGATCAGACAATTTTAATGGATTGATAGATCACATGATCAGTCAGGTCTTAAAAGTAAAATAGCAAAAATGCCGAACTCCAAGGAAAATTCCAAACAGAAAGCCCTTTATCAAATGGCAAAATCAAAAGTTTAAACACATCAAACGAATGGAAAACAACTGTTATATTCCTGACTTGGTACAGGCATATCCTTGTGTTTCCTGATGGACAGATAGATGACATGATGGGGGAGGTTTAATGGATTGATAGATCACATGATGAGACAGGTTTAATGGATGCTTAAAATCATGATCAGTCATGCTTAATGGATTGATAGATCATACGACTAAACAGTTTTATTGGATTAATAGACCACATTATTAGGCAGGTTTAATAAATAGTTTTATTCCATATTAGTATTATTTTAGTAGGTTTCTCTATATGAATTTGATTTTAAATAAAAAAGAATATTCACCTGGAGAAAAGTGTTATTCACGGCTAAAGTTCCGAACTTTTACATGTAACATTATGGTAAAATGTTTGACGTACAATTGGTTTTGGTAAATATTTGTCATTAAATACATTATTTTCTCTTGGAATATGGAATAAAACAATTACTGTCTTTTGTTTCGGTAAGTATGTGGTTTAATTGACTTTTGAAATACTGATATTCACTTCAGCCATCGGCCTCAGTGAATATCAGTTTTTCAAAAGTCAATAAAACCGCATATTTACCTCATCAAAAGACAGTAATTGTATACAATCACATCATCCACCTTTTTAAAAGATTGATAGATAAACTGTTCAGGCAGATTTAATAGATTGATAGATAAACTGTTCAGGCAGATTTAATAGATTGATAGATCACATGATCAGATAGGTTTAATTGATTGATATATTACAGGCCCAGAACAGTTTAAGAAATGGTTCAATCACATCATTGTTCTTTTTAAGCAATTGATAGATTGAATGATCCGTCAGATGATTGATAGATCACATGAGCAGATGGGTTGAATGAAAGACTAAATCACATCATTTGTCAGGTTTTATAATGGACTGCTAGGTCATATGATCAGTTAGGCTTAATGAGGGGCCTGATGGGGGGTCTCATCACGATTCACGAGTTGATTTTTTTGTCAATCACGATTCACAGAAAATAAATTTCCATGATCACGGATATCGAAAATATAAAAAAAAATAAATCTGTAGAAAAATGGATCACGATAGCGAAAATGCGCCGATCACGAAGAACGAAATAACCCATCAGGCCCCTCCTTAATGGATCGATAGATTGCATGATCAGGTGAGTTGAATGAATTCCTAGATCAGATGATGGATTGATAAATCACATGATCAGGTGGGTTGAATGAATTGTTAAATCACATTATCACAGATTTAATGGATTGATAGATCAAATGATCAGTAAATATAAGCCATTTTATAGATTGATAGACTGCATGAACATTCAGGTTTAATAGATTGATAGATTGCATGAACAGTCATAGATGCCTAGATTACATGATTGAACAGTCAGGTTGAATGAATTGATAAATTGCTTGAACAGTCAGGTTTAATGGATTGATAGAATACAAGATCAGAATTAACTTGGTTAAGATATAATTTTCGGATTCAAATCATGTCTGTTTCGGATTGTTTTACTTATTCGGAACACACTCGATTTTTCATCAAGTCTTCAGAAAAAATCTTCCCGCGAATTTTATGAACGATGTCATCAGCAAATAACATTAGCGACGAATTTAAAGAGAAATGGTAAATATGTGTGTGCGTCTTCTATCATATTTGAATCAATCGCTTTGATAGCTTTTCCAGAGTGGTTAATTGATAGTGACAATCCCGCATAAATACAAAAACAGACTAAATCCAGCATTCATTCACCGACCAATATAAGAATTCATTCTCCATTGTAACTGCTGTCGACTGGAGCATCCTTGAAGACAGCATATTCAACCAAAGTAATCGAAACAAATTGCGTTCTCCATACCCGTTGTAAAAGGTCCATTGGGATTCTACAACGTATTTTCACATACAATTGTGTTCCAACCACCACAGGGCTGTCAAGTTTTCATAAAGCAAATGTGTGAGATTTAGCAAAAATTATAAAGATCTAAGAGAAAAAATAAATTTAGATCAAAGGAAAATGCCACCAAATAAGCATGAAAATGTGTGAATCTGCATGAGACTTTACAGTACTGCCACCACCCTATTCCCTTTTCAGATAATGTTGTATTCAATTGGGGGGCCTCGGTGGCCGAGTGGTCTTAGTAGTTACTACTGTAATCACTAGCCAGTCAACACTGAGGTTGTGAGTTCGAACCCCGCTCGTGCAGGTGCACTCGACTCCAATCTTAATTGACTAGGATTGTCAGTGTTCCTATTGAAGGTCGGTGGTTTTCTCCGGGCACTCCGGCTTCCTCCACCAATAAAAACTGGACGCCACGAAATAGCCCAAAAGCGGTGCTTAAAAGTGGCGTTAAAACACCAAAAATCAAATCAATTGTATTCAATTGTATTTGTACTACTGGCCAATGTAACGGTTCAACCACCACCTTAATCCCTTTTCAGATTCTGTGACAGAATCCCAAAAGTAGCCTTTCTACCTGCCATTAAGTTTTAAAGGACAATAACTCTATATTTTACAGGAAGTTGAAATGCGCAATGCAGTCACAACCTATTTTCACGAGACACATACAGTTATCCTGAACTAACCGTAAATCTTTGCTTATTTCCACCATTAATTCTGTCATTAGCATCTATTTGTTATAATAGGTACAGTCATTGTATTGAACAAAATCATTCCTCTTTGTCGCATAATTTATATATTATGCATAGTGATGCACGTTACTGAATATGAAAGTGCATATGTAGTTGTCTCCCTTAGTAGTATAATCAATTTCAGAATGTGCATATCTGGCTCCATGATAAAAAGTATTTAATAAATTAATCCAAGCATTACACAACAATAGACATTAAACATTTACTAAAAATTAAAAAAAAAATGGCTTGAAATAATATTGCCTTAACCTCCTCCCCTTAAAAAAAACAAATTGTATTTGGCAGACAGGATTATTATGTCATTGTTATTTCCCTTGTTTAAAACTATAAATTTGATATTTCTTTATTTAATGACTTACATGATGCCTATTCAGTTCATATTTGTGAAATTGAACAGATATTGGTATTTTGAATTCATTGGTTAAAGATATTTTTTTATATTCTAAAGTTTAGTATTTGCATCGTCGCAAATCATTTATAACCTTCTTTGATAGACTTAGGCCTATACATTTTATATAACTGGTTTGTAAACATTATGATAAACTGTCTGAAGACTGAAGTTCAGTCCAATAGAGGAAAGCTGTGAATTTCCAAAATTTCCATTAATGATTAGTGCATCTGCCATGTGCCTTCTTTATACTATGGGTAATTATTGAATTCATTGAATGCTCCATTCCTTTACTTTGGACAACATGATAAAAGTTGTACTTACTAACTTAGTGACTAAATTATATATTGTTTTCACTGTTTTTGGTTTTCATTTACTTAGGTATTAAGATAGCGCTTTTACTTATGGCATCCATTGTCTCCGTATAAATCAGTTCACAAACTTGAACAAGCTGAGGTCTGCATCCCTGAATCTCCAGCAGAATTGTTGCTGTTGCAGGTACATGCCTTACCACATTATTCTTCTTAAATATGACATGTCACATATTGAGCACCTACATTTAATAAGCCACTGGGTGTTAAACAATGGTTGATGCATCAGTTCAACTCAATCTGCAGTGTTCTATGCTTTATTTCGCTTTGATTTACATAAATAAGTGCTATTGTGGAATACTGTGCTGTTGCACAATACTTAGTCAACCTGTTGTATATTTATAAGCTTCATAACGAGTGAGAATGGGATATCGCTTGATATCAACTGGAGTTATTCAATTTCAATATGATAATAAACGAGCCTTGTCCCATGGACAAAATGTACATCGTCATAAACTTTGAAAGTCATCAATGACATAACAAATAGCAAATGGAAAAAAAAAAACAATATATTATGAGAAAAAAAAATCCCTCCCTGACCCCCAAAAAAAACCAAAAAAACAAAATTGAAAAAATTTGAAATTTTTATAAATTTGTTGAAAATAGTATGACCCCCCCACCCCCCAAAAAAAATCCCCCACCCTCCAAATTTTTCTTTTTTTTAAATTTGAAAATTTCAAAAAATATGAAGCCACCAAAAAAATTGACATGATAGAACTTTTCGGTCGGTCGTATAAAAACATTACAGAGAAAATAATTTCGTTCTTTGCCAGATAATTGATGAAACAAGACTATACAAAATAAAAGTAGTGAATGAACATTGGGTTATTCCTCTTAGTATGAAAAAAATGTCAAAAGAAAAACTTTGGTTGTTCCCCTTGCATTCATTAGTTGTTTATAAACAAAAAAAATATATTACTGTTTTCTCAGGCGTGCATGAATATACAGTCAAATGTTTTGTTATATTTTGCTCTAATTGTAGATGACTGTTTAAAAAAACAAATTTCATTGGTTTATTTTGATATTTACAAAATTATGTAGAAAGGCTACCAAAAGGGATTTTTCCCCATCCCTAAAATCTGCTTAGCATGATACAGACCACTCTTGATACAGTTTAAACATGTTAAATGCTATTCATTCTGATTCCTTTAGGCCAAAAAAAATAATACATGTGTTTCCGCTAACCCTACCTACCCTTATTGTTAGTGCCTACCCTAACACTTTTTATGCCATTTTGGAACAAGCACTGTTAAAGCCAGACTGATTCCCTAGTAGTAACCAGCTAAAAAATGTTTGTAAAATAAAATGATATTGCCTACCTACCTACCCTATGTTTTTAGGCATTACAAAATTTAACAATCGCTCTTTCATACCAATCTTTCTCGCTCATATATTACTTTCATAACTTTAAAGTTCAAATTTACGACAAAAGTAACAGAACTCTTTAAGTTTAAGTAATGCTTTCAAATATGAGACCGGTTCTTGAGTTTTTTGGAAATGGGAAGAATTTCATTTTTATTGTCTTATGCATACAGTAACACTTTTCTGCAATCAAATATAATAAATTTGCAGGAAATTTGATGCTGCGTTGTAGTGTGATCAGTAATAAATATGATGGAAATTGTAAGCTCCTTTATGATGGTTACGAAAATTCCCTAAAAGAATGAAAACCTTTCTCCCATTCTAACACAAATCTTATGTCTTGAAGTTTGCTTCAGGAAAAATCCTGAAAGATATGAAAACTGGAAAGAAGATTTGTTTTTGTCATGTTAAAGATTTTTCAGAGCCATAGTATCTAAACTCTAACAGACCTTTCTACCATTTATACTCCCATACATCCAAAAAAAATTTCTTGTGTTTCCCCTAACCCTAACTACCTTCAAGATTTTTTGTTCATTTTTTGAAAAAGCACTCTTACAAAATGTCTTATAGATCCGTATTTTTTCACCACATTAACAGAAACAGGGGTATTATATTTTTTAGGCCTTATGAGCTCCTGAAGCTTATTGGTGCATTTTTGTTTTACTTATAATTTTTTTAAATGAGATATAGAACTTTGCCTTAACATTGTATGCTCCTTTCTGATGTTTTACAAAATATTCTGAAAAAACCAGAACCTTTCTTCCGTTCTATCACAAAATGTATAACTCTATGACCAGACTGGATCGCATGTCAAAATATGTGGGGGTACTAGCTGACATTCTGCAGCCCAGTTCTGATCATATATTTTGCAGGTGAACTAACTCGGAGCTTTGGGTTGGTAGAGCATTAGGTCCGGCTTCTTTTGGCAATACAGTTAATAGTCAATAAAACACTAAGTTGGATGTTCATATATTAATTATTCACACAGGTTATATATCATACATATTTACATAGCATGTATTTAACTTGAACAACTCTAAGTCACCATATTTAGATACAATCCTTAATCCTGTAAACTTCACATCTAAAGAGTTCATAGTAAAATCAATGTTTTTTTGCAATATCACTCTTTAGAACTTTCTTATTTGTCTCAGCCCTGAACTGCCCTTTTAAAAACAATCTTTCATTTTATATTATTAACAACCTAACCAATCAAAATACATAACTCCCAAAAAGGGGAGGGTTATTCTATTAAATTCACTTATTGAACTATATGTTCCCTTAGATACCATTTTATCACTTAACACTGTCAAACTAAAGGATTAATTATGTAAGAAATTATAACATCTGTCTATATCTTATCTAAAATAGGAAATGGCTTATTAGCTTACAAGTGCTAGTTCTTTGTTATTTGACTGATAATCAAATTCTTATTCATCTTCTAAAGGTGATAAAAACAATTTCACAAGTTTTCCTTGATCCTTAATCCAGTATTATTTATAATTGAATACCTAATTATGACATTTTTGATACATGTAATATTTGTAACAAGTTAATACTCAGTTTTGACATATGAATCTCAAGCCAAACAATTTAGCATTATAAACTTAGGGAAAATACAGGTTTATTAAATACAATCATATAAAATTATTGGCAATGAAAAATACATCAATTTTCATTGGTGATATATAACAGTAAATTTATTTCGCCATGCTGTTAATGATTTTGTATTGCCTGCGACATAAGTTGTAGAATGTTAGAAATAGGGATTACAATCCAAAGGCGGGTGACAGCGTAAACTATTTTTTTTTATTATATTTCAGAAGGTAGAAGACCTGATACCCTGTATGCAGATGCCATATGTTACAAATTTTCCGTCTATCATATAATGTCCGTTGTCCTTGACCTCATTTTCATGGTTCAGCTACTGCTAAAAAAATTATATGTTTCTCACTTATTATGAGCAATAGGATAACTTTATTTGGTATATGGGTTCCTTTCAAGGTCTTCCATCAGTACATGTCCGTCAGACATGGTTCACCTGACCTAGACCTCATTTTATAGATCAGTGTTTAAGTTTACGTGGTCAAGTCTATATCTCGGATACTATGAGCAACAGGTCAACTATAAATTGTGTATATGGAATGATTGTTACATGTACATGTCTGACTGGCAGGTGTTATCTGACCTTGACCTCATTTTCATGGTTTATTGGTCAATGTTATTTTTTTCTGATTTGGTCTCTTATTTAGATACCATAAGCAAAAGGCAAATTGTATTTGGTGTAAATAATAATTGCAAAGTGCAAATGTCTGTCTGGCAGGATTCATGTGACCTTGACTCATTTTCATGGTTCATTGGTAAATGTAAAGTTTTTCCTGTTTATGTTTGTCTTTCAGATACTGTAAGAAATAGGTCAAATATAATTGTTGTATGGAATGATTGCATGATGTACATGTTGTCTGGCATGGTTCATCTGACCTTGACCTAATTTTCTTGGATCATTGGTCAATGTTCAATTTACGCAATAAGGTCTGTTTCTTAGATACCATAAGCAATAGGTTAAGTATGTTTGGTGTATGGTATGGATTTAAGGTGCACATGACTGGCAGGGTTCATCTGACCTTGACCTCATTTACAATGGTCATTGATAATATCAATTTTATTTAGGTAAAGCAGCAGAGACATTTGAGTGTGTGAACTCTTGTTTAGTACCATAGTAGTATAGACCCAAACCAATCCTCCTACCATCAAGAGCATAAGTCTATTAATATAATTAAATCAAGGCTTCCAAAACGGTCATATATTCCGGACATTTGTATAATGTCCGGTAAAAGTCCGGCTGGGCAAAGCACGAAACGGTCATCTACTTTTTAGTTTTCAAGGCTTTCTTATGAGACAGTCATTTTAACATAATTAGCGATCTTTTTGACCCAACCTTTTGCCTTTAACAGCCACACATTTCCGGTCATAAAAGTGACATGATCATTAAGTACTATCAAAACAACCCCTACTTTAATACCTTTTCATTTTAATCAAGGCTAATTAGTTGTCGAACAGCTGAAATTTACCTGTTCAATTGACAGGTAAACTATTTTGAACCGGACATTGATCGGTCTATTCAAAGTTATTTTCTTATATTTCACCGGTTTGCATCTAATTAATTTAGTCAAAAAGATTTAAATTATTAGAAATACATTTACAAATATGATTTGATGAAAAAATGAAAAATCGTCAAAACCACGTTGTTTGAACCAATGACATGTCTCTGTTTGAACTAGTGCGCATGTGCGCAGGTGTGAAATTTAATTATGCATCCTAATTTCTTCAAACAATACTTAAAATGTCATTGATGCCTTTATCTCACGTTTATTTCGAATATTTTCTTGAAGAAATAACGTAGAATGAGCTACTTACACTCATTTATGCTTTGCAAATGTACACGGAATTTACGTATCTGTCTTTGGTCCATGTTTTACCATTGTCAAGACAACATCCGGTATTTTAAAAACGAAAGTAAAGTGTTTGACAACGTTATTTTGCACAAATAAAGAGTTTAAGGCAGATATAAGTACGCTAATGTTGCACACTTCGAATGATGCACTGCCAATTTAACAGTTTACGTCAGAACTTCGAATTTGAATCAAATAAAGTTTAAATTAAATAATATCGTTTTTTTTTAATGTCAATCATTGGGATGGCCAACTCGGCAACTGATTACCATAATTGCCTTTTGTTTATTTAGTCTTAAGAGATTAAAATTGGGATAGTATATAAAATGTCCGGCTGGCTAAAAATAATTTTGGAAGCCCTGAATTAAATACATTACAAATTGTTATGTAGCCCGTCGGAATTATTTTCCGTCTTCATATGTAATTTCCTGCTAATATGTCTAACATGTATCTTGATGAAATATTATTTTTTAAATGTTGTTAAATGAAAATATCACTTGATAAATTTTGTCTGCTTTTCTGGATTTAACTTCATTAGGAACTCTCAACATAATCGAAACCAAAAATTTGAAAACCAAGAAAGATAAGTTCCTTGAACATTTCAGGAGCTAAAAAGAATAGCCAAATCCATCTAAGGTCAACTTTTGTCTGAGTCTGTCCTTACTGTCTTACTGGATGGATCAGAAATGGTCATTTATTTAACTTATTTGAAACTGAGAAAATCATTTTCTATTACCTTAGTATATATAGCTATTTCATTATATATTTATATTAAAGCATGACATGAACTTTTATTTTAGTGATATTAAAAATAAGAAGCGAGAGAACTATTTAGATTGGCCTGATTATTTCATGTCAATTGCCTTTCTTTCTGCACAAAGAAGCAAAGATCCAAGAACCCAGGTAAGAGAGATTGACATGTATATATCAATGTTATGATTATATCTTGACCTCAAGAGTGATTCATGAGTATCAACTGGCAATACTGGCCTGATTATCAGCACTAATACTTTCTTTTGTTATGATTTGACATGCATCATCCTTAAATCAATAGGTTTAATATTGGCAATTCATACATTCCCCATTTCCATTCTCAATTTTATTATAGTGTTTTTTCTGAAACCAGTTCGACAGTTTCCACTAAATAAAATTAACTTGAACCAGCTTTATTGGTTTCCTTCATTATGACCGTAACTTCATGATATTGACCAAGAAAAATAAGACATGACACATAAAGTGTTTATACAATATGGTTTTCTCTTTTTCAGGTAGGGGCTTGTATTGTTAATGAAGAAAATAAAATTGTTGGAATTGGATATAATGGAATGCCAATTGGTTGTCATGACGATTTAATGCCATGGGGACGAGAACATTCAGACGTTTTACAAACAAAACAGCTTTATGGTATGATATCAGTTTTTACACCAGACAAAGTTTAGGGCAAATTACATTTTGTACAAACACTGTCCATGCAGCTGTATACATATATATATATATATATTCCGATAAACATAAAACAAGCTGTAACTTTATAGTTTTAAATTCATTTTTACATATGCTTTTTCTGTTTATTCATTTCGTAAACTAAAGTAATTCAACAGGTAACAGGGACATGTACATTCAAAAATTAGTTTTTTGTCGCATTTGCAGTTACTGGCGGTTTATTGGAATTTATGAAAAAAAAAACGGTTCAGTCCCAGTCTGATCATATTTGACTAGTTGATCATAATAGATAAAAATAGGGAGGTGTATTATTTGTATGGCATATTTGTAAAGCAAGCGGTCAGAGGTGAAAAGCTTCTTAATTTATTGCACACAATACAGTTTATATTTGAAAAAAAAAAGGGCAGAACGTTTTGGGAATCCTCAAAACATATGTTGGGTAAATAAATATTGCTCCCTTCTCCTCCAAAAAGTTTAAACTAATCATTCTGTGTTTATTTTCAGTTTGCCATGCAGAATTAAATGCTGTTTTGAACAAGAACTCGTCAGATGTAAAGAACTGTACAATATATGTTGCTTTGTTCCCATGTAACGAGTGTGCTAAAGTTGTTATACAGTCTGGTATCAAACAAGTCGTTTACTATTCAGATAAATATCACGATAAACCAGAATTTATTGCTTCAAGGAAAATGATGGACATGGCTGGAGTTAAATACAGGTAAATAAATGATGTACCTAGCTGAAGTTGGATAACAACCAATAATTATACCCCACGCAACGAGTTGCGGAGGGTATAATGTTTTTGACCCGTCCGTCTGTCAGTCCTGTTTCTTGTCATCGCAACTCCTCTCAAACCACACAACAGAATTTCACGAAACCTTTTTAGATAATAAGGACATACTATGTAGTTGTGCATATCGACAGGAAATTACGATTCAATTCTTTTTCTAGGAGTTACTCCCCTTAGAACTTATTTACTTTAATGTACTACTGCAACAGTTTGTTATCTCAACTCCTCTCAAACCACACAACAGAATTTCATGAAACTTTTTCAGATAATAAGGACATACTATGTAGATGTGCATGTTGACAGGAAATTACGATTCAATTTTTTTTCCAGGAGTTACACCCCTTTGAACTTATTTGCCCAATATACTACTGCAACCTTTTGTCATCGCAACTCCTCTCAAACCACACAACAGAATTTCATGAAACTGTGTAGATAATGAGGACATACTATGTAGATGTGCATATTGACAGGAAATTAGGATTAAATTTTTTTTCCAGGAGTTATGCCCCTTATAACTTATTTGCCCAATATACTACTGCAACCTTTTGTCATTGCAACTCCTCTCAAACCACACAACAGAATTTCATGAAACTGTGTAGATAATGAGGACATACTATGTAGATGTGCATATTGACAGGAAATTATGATTCAATTCTTTTTTCTGATACAATTTTTTTTTCTTACACTTATTTTATTTCTCCAATGACAATGTGGGGACATGGGGTATGTGAGCGCTCACTAAGGTTCTTTCATTTGAATAAGTAGCGTAACAAGAATATGTCATTGGAAACGGGCATGTGTGTGAGAAAAGTTCAGACATGTGAGAAAATGACAAAGTGTGTAAGAAAAATTCAGACATGTGAGAAAAGGGTAGATAAGTATGAGAGAGGACAGACGTGTGAGATAAATGCAGACGTGTGTGAGAAAAGAGCAGACAAGTGTGAGACGAGGACAGACAAGTGTGTGAGAAAAAGGATAGACGTGTGAGAAAAGGAAAATGTGTGTGTGAAGAGGACAGACTTGTGTGAGAAAATGTCATATGTGTGTGAGAGCACAGAGGTGTGAAAAGAGGCAAGATGTGTAAAAAGAGGACAGATGTTTGTGAGAAAAGGAAAATGTGTGCCTGAAGGGCACAGACATGTTAGAGAAAAGGAAAATGTGTGCCTGAAGGGCACAGACGTGTGTGAGAAGAGGACAGACATGTGTGAGAAAAGGAAAATGTGTGCCGAAAGAGGACAGACATGTGAGAAAATGGCAGATATGTGTGTGTGAGAAGAGGACAGACGTGTGAGGAAAGGAAATTGTGTGTGGGAAGAGGACAGACATGTTAGAAAAGGGCAGACATGTGTAAGAAAGGGGCAGACATGTGTTAGAAAAGGACAAATGTGTAAGAGGACAGACGTGTGGGAGAAGGACAGATATATGTGCAAGAAAGGACAAAAGTTAGTGAGAATAGGGCAGATATGTGTGTGATAGAGGACAGACGTGTGTGAGAAAAGGGCGGATATGTGTGTTAGAATATGACAGACAAGTGTGCGAAAAGAACAGATATGTGTGTGTGTGTGTGAAATTGACAAATGTGTGAGAAAATGACATATGTAGGCGTATGAAGTACTGACATGTTGTTTTTCATTTATTTCTGATGTCTCTTTATGAAATGTAATTTAAAAGGGTATTTTGGTGTATGATAATGAGACAGCAACCCAACAAAACAAAAAAAAGTAAGACATTTAGAGGTCAACATACCTCAATAATCAGTGCATACACAAAATATTAGGCTCTTAATCTGCCAGAAACTAAAAAGGGTATGAAAAAGTTAATAAACACTATCAAAGATTTGCCATAAAATATCAACTTCTCATATATAAAGACCAAAAAAAAAAATTTTTACACAAGACAATGTACATTTCGTGTTGTTTTTTTTTTGTTTTTTTTTCAGACAACATATCCCCAAGAGAACGCAGATTCTAATTGATTTCAGTGTAATTGAAAATATGACACAAGAAGTTAAAGATGTATTAAACAAGGAATCCGAGTAAGATACATTACTCAGCACATGGTGATAACATTGAAATAACACATGTTACAAGATTAATAAAAAGTCACTTTAATAACTTAATGATAGAACAATGTACAGTGGATTCATAAATATTAGTTGGATACCAATTTTCATTGGTAGGAAGAAACCATGAATTTAGATACTCTACACTATACAAATTTTTAACAACTTTGATGAGAGCAAATAATCAAACACTAAATTAGATGCTTTCAAAAAGGAAATTTTCTCCAACCAATTAAAATTGATTCCAAAGAAAATAAATGAAACCTAAGTACTTGATACCAGAGATTACAGATAAGTAGTAAATTATTGGAATAAATGACTGTCATAATTATTCTGATCAGTAAGATATCTTTTATGTATAAAAACAAGAGTCTTTGATTGAATTATATAGCATAATAAATATAGAATGTAAACAATTTGATATTTGTTTATACTTCATTTTTCTAAGCATAAACATCAAAATTTATATGTATTTGAAGTGAAACTATTAGGAAATGATTCCTTTTTCTGACAGATTATTACCCTTTTGTCCTTGGCATCTTGTCTATATTGTTGAGTAGTGCTTGCTTTAAAGCCACAATGTCAAATGATTTTTCACCACAAAATACTCTTACAATATTAAAGGAAAATGAGGTATGATTGCCATTGAGACAGTTAAACATCAGAGTCCAAAGAAAAGATAAGTTAATAATTATAGGTCATTGTAAGACCTTCAACAATGAGCAAAACCCATATTGTATAGTTGTCAATAAGAGGTCTAAGCATGACATAATTTAAAATGATTCAACAGAAAACAAAAGGCCTGATTTATACCTAAAAAAGGTGGCAAGCTTGGATGTTATTGTAAGGGGTCAACCCTCCCTTGACATTCGAAAGTGGAAATTCACAACACATGCAACATAAGAACAAACATTAAAAAAATCAGTTTGAAAAGATATGACATGTATGATCGTATGGAAAACAAAAGTATTGACATAATTTTGTACTTTAAACTTCATTTAAAATTTGAAAGGTTTGGATTGGTTTATGTCTCAAATGCGATAGAAGTCGCAAAATGTATACGTAGGGATTACTATCAGGCAGTGTAGACTATTTGTATAAAGCTTTATATTTCAGAGAGTACAATACATGGATGTTTCATACCTATTATCAGTTTCTGTCTGTCATATATGTCAATTGTTCTTGATCTCATTTTCACAGTTCCTTGCTAGGTCTAAATTTCCTTCAGACAGGGTTCACCTAACCTGACCTCATTTCATGGATCAGTGACCAAGGTTAAAGTTACATGATTAGGTCCATTTTTAAGATACTATAAGAAGTAGGTCAACTATATTTGGTGTAAGGAATGTCAGTCTGGCAGGTTTCATCTGAAATCAGTCTCATTATCATTGTTCATTGGTCAATGTTAAGTTTTTCTGGTTAAGTCTGTATCTCAGATACTATAAACAATAGGTCAACTATATTTGTTTCTCAGAATGATAACAAGGTGTACATGTCTGGCAGGGTTTATCTGACCTTGTTTGTATATGCTGCTGCTTTACAGTCATCTTTTAATAATATATACTGATATTACACAAAATGTAGACATTTATAGGATATAGTTGTATAAACACTCTTCCTACTCACAAAAGCAACAAACTAGTGACCCACTTTCTGTATCATTCGTCACTATATAATTAGGGCCCTGCGGAATGGTGGACGCGCTACAGTGATGATCAGATCAGTCTGTCCGTCCATCCGTAACAAATTGTGTCTGCTCTATATCTAGTGAACCGTTATGATTTCAAAGTTTATACTTGACATGTATATAAACCAACACCAGAGGGTGTGTCATAATGTATGTACAAATTCCTAGGTCAAAAGGTCAAGGTCAAAAACTTTGGTTTTAGTTGACAACCCCATGTCCTATGGTAAAGATCGTGTCTGCTCTATATCTTGAGAACTGTTATGATTTCAAAGTTTATACTTGACATGTATATAAACCAACACAAGAGGGTGTGTCATAATTTATGTACAACTTCCTAGGTCAAAGGTAAAGGTCATAAACTTTGGTTTCAGTTGACAACCCCATGTCCAATGATAAAGATTCAAATTTTTTACCACACATTATTCACAGCGGGCCCACAGAGATGGCTCCCATCTCAATGGTATCTAGTTTGATATTTGATAAATTCAGTAATATCGACTCCTTCCAGTTCAGTCATATCAGTTTCAAAGACCTTGTTGGTCAAAGTTTTCTAGGCTTCTATGAAAGGGAATGATTTTATATTTGGTTTGTAGATAATGTTGATTTCTAGGCTTCTATGAAAGGGAATGATTTTATATTTGGTTTGTAGATAATGTTGATTTCTAGGCTTCTATGAAAGGGAATGATTTTATATTTGGTTTGTAGATAATGTTGATTTGTAGGTTGTAAGCAATTTTTAGACCTGTTTGCAGAGTTTGAAATTTTACCACACTCACTGTACAGGGGAGAAAATTCCTTTACCAAAGACATGTTCATCAATGCACAGATGTAATGGGATCAGCATGTAGCTCAAACCAGTGTGTGTGGCCTTGCAAAGAAGGATGCAAGTTTTCAAACTGTGCTGGAGGATGAACAGCAAAAGTCCCTGTTCGTATACTTTGGGTTTTGTCAGCAAGATGTGTTTTCAACCCATGTTGGAGGCTTAACTCTGACCTTAAGGACGACCAATAGCAAAAGACTTACTGTCCTCATACTTTGGGTTTTGTCAGAAAGATGCGAGTTTTCAACCTATGTTGGAGGCTTAACTCTGACCTCAAGGATGACCAATAGCAATAGACTTACTGTTCTCATACTTTGTGTTTTGTCAGTATCTAGACTATGCAGTGAACTAACAATTCCGCTCAAACCAGTGCTAGGGGCCGTCTTAAAACTTGCAGTGTGGTGCGAGTTTTTTGCTCTTGTGTTGAAGGCCTCACTGTGACTTTTGAGATGTTGTTTCCTTGCTTTGTTTTTTTTGCTGTGCATATACTGATTTTGTGTCATGGATGGATACTAAATATCCTTTCTTTTCTATCATAAAATGTTCCACCAAAAAATTGTGTTTTGTCCCGTGAGAAGTCTTTGGTGATGTTTGTTGTCATATTTTTTTTTCTGTTATGGCCTATTTATAGTAACTTATCTTTATGTGTACTTATTTATAAGATTTCTTTGTCCATTATAGATTAATTAGTTCATATTACCCCTCAACTGAATCAGTCTTCAATGAACAGATGTTTATTGACATCTAGCAAGGAATTCACCTCAAGAGTTGCCAGGGTTGTTTTAACTTTCAGTTAGCTTTTGCTTGGCATTGAAAGCCTCACTGCGATTAAGAACATACAGGAACATGTTGTGCTAAGCATACCCCACCCGTAGTTCAAAATACCTGAAAACAAGAAGTCTGATAGATCCAATGAAGCACACACACGTTACAACTCCTTACCCTTCATCTGCTGAAATATGAAGTCATTCTGTTCTGCAGTATTGGAGAAAAAGTCGAACCAACTCAGCAATTTTTCCATTTGTAAAGGGGCATAACTCTAGAAAGGTTAAAGTGACGCCACCAAAATTCAAACTTGATCTGTGTTTTGTGGTAATAAGCATTGTGTGTAAGCTTCATAACATTTGGTTGAGGCAAGCTAAAGTTGGAGAACGGAAACCAACTTTGGGACATACAGACGGACAAGGGTAAAACTTAATGCCCCCTCCGCTACGGCGGGGGCATAAAAAGAGAGTTGACCTTTGAATTAAGATTCAAAATGGACAATACTTACAGCATGACAAAAGGAGGGTGACCTCCTAGACAGGTTTTAGCTTAATTGAGGTCACTTTTATATCAGATTTGATAATTTGAAGTCCTTTCAACATATAGTTGTTATCTGACAGATCTGAACATTGTTCATACCTTACAACTCATCACTACCCATACAATATTTCATCAAATATGAAGTCATTCTGTGAAGAGTGTGAAAAAAAATATTTTGGTTAAACGATCAAACTGACAAGGTGATAGCAATATAGCCCCATCCTGCAAGCTATGTGTAGAAGATGTCAGAGATAAAACTAGCAATAGCTCACAAGGACCTTCAGAGATAATATTAAGATAATAAGACTAACTTTTTTTTCAATTTTAATGTCTCATTTTAAGACATTATCAATGATCACTACAAAAATGAAACAAAACTCAATAAATCATGATAGTTATAAACAGATCATGAATGTTATACAGAGATAATACAAAGTAGTTCACTCGAGTGCATTAGTTCATTACATAATTACTATAACCCAGAATATAACATCAATATAATAATCGTCTGACAGACTGCTTCATATTCATCTAATGTAACACTATTTGTAATGGTTATTTTCATTGGATAATGTCACAAATATTAGATCATCAATTCCTTGATTGATGAACTAAAATTGTGTGTGCAAGTACAGACATCATGTAAATGTGTTTAAAATGTATGACATAAAAGAATTTTTTTCAGTTGCATTAGAATTATTACATTTACATTTTTGTCTTAAATATGTAAATAGACAGTTATTAAAATATGTAACCGTCAGGAATAGATGTGAAAGTAGTTGTATACATAACTGATAAAATTAACAATAAAAAGTTATATAATAACACAAAAGTCGTTCAGTTATATAATAACACAGGAGTCTTTAAGTGATGAAATGTGACCAATAAAATGCAGAATGAAATACTTAAAGAATCCTGATGTACCCATTTCATGAAAAATTCATAATTAGTACACCATGATTCTTTATGATACAGGCAACATTATACAATAACAAAAACAACCAAAGCATTTTACTCAGGGATACATAATACCCTATTAAAGGGAAAAACATAAATTATACATTTTCATGTAAGTAGCCAAAGACATGTTAACATTAATCCTTCGTGTGATTTTAATTTTAGTTAAAATGATTCAAGCAAAAAATATTACTTTAAATTTAGGCTAGAAGATTTGACTTCTGTCATTTCAATTTATTTCTATTATCAACATACAGTAAGGATATATGTTCTCACAGATATATTCATTGTGAGGGTATTTTAACCTCGAGACTCCCTTAAAATGACCTTCCACATGTTTAAAAATACCATGAATGATATTAATATCTGCCTAAAAAAAATTTCTTATTCATAAATATTATATTTACTCTGAATAGTATCCCTGGTAATTACAAAACAATAATAATAATACAATAATTATTCTGAAATCTGCACAAGAAAAAAACAAGAATTTGTATCCTGGGTAAACTCCATTTATTACTTGTGTGTCCACAAAGGTGGGTCCACTAAGTAATAAACAACATCATCAATTTCTCTTCAGTGTCTATGTATTCAAAAGGGGCTTTATTTCTATATTCTACAATCTTTAGGTCATTTTTGTCTATTCTTTATTTTTTTGGTCTGTCTCTATTTTTTAATATTTTAGACCCATTATTCTCTATTCTGTAAACTTTACTCAGACCCTCATGAAAACGTTACTAAACAACTTTAACAAGTTTTACATAGTTGTACTGGTTGTATAAATAGTCAAATGATAATAATGTGTACAGATATAACGGTCACTATCAAGAATCTTCTATCAGTACAGAACTAATGGATTAATGGAACGGTCAGTTACTCAAAGATGACTTTGAATTAATATTCTACTTCAAATTAATGATATATGAATTGTATTGTTATTTTATTAAATACACATTATGGAGCTATTACTCTGACTTATAAAGAATGATGACAAATTGCCATGGATATACTATAAAACAATTGTTACCATAGACTAGGGATAACAGACTACTGCAGAGAAGTTGAAGATATATAACAAAACAAACAAGTCTTATGCAGACAATATGCACTTGTACACATACAATTTCCTATCATTATAAATTACAGCACTTCTGATATAATACTTAATACATATAGACATTTGTCTACCTGTTTTATATTCTACTTCTAATTAGGCACCAAGGTCAATGGCCTATCTGAATCAGTGGTGGATCCAGAAATTTTCATAAGGGGGGCCCGCTCCAGCCAAATTTTCCCCACAAAACCTAAATCCGCCTCTGTGAATGAGACTTTCAGCCATATAAAGAATCTATCAAATCATGATGAACTTTGTATTTTAAGGAATAAGAGTCAAATGTTCCTTTTCATTAACTTTTAGAATCTACATTACAAACATTTGTGACAAGTGTCATGGATTTCTGTCTCACTGACATATACCATATGTCTCCCTTTAATCCACACTACCATAAAACCAGTTACAACACATAACCTTTTTAGGTACCAAATGTAGGTAAATATATAGTAAAAATCAAATCCGTCTCCCACCACCTTAATTCAACTTCCAAATATATTGTGAGCTCAAATGTTTGCCACTTTTCAGAATTGCTGGATTGAAAACTGTCTACTGACTGTACTAAGTGATTTCTTAACAATCTTATACTACATCATTTTATAAACTTTTCCAATTAAAATTAAAAGCATATATTCAGAATCAGGAAGAAATCTTTGTCTAAAAAAATACTTTATATCAACTAACTCAGTTAGAAGTGCTTTTAAAATTTCATACAATAAAAAATCGGTATAATTATGATGTATGTAGACCTAACCATGTTTGTCAATCGTCATCAATAGACCCATGAAATATCCAACTTTCTTCTACGATAACTTTAACTCGTTTCTCATACTCTCTTTTATTGTCTTTGTATAGCTGAGCTGCCACATTATTTGCAGGACTATTTGGATTTGGTTCATCAAGCAATGACTGAAATTATACCCAATTTCACAATTTACAGTATTTTATGACTATACGAAAACGTCCATTGATATTGTTTTTAACCAGGAAACTACTATTGTATAAATGAACTGTTAACACAGAGATTTGTCTTGTCTGTGTGACCTATTACAAACTTAAAATATGTTGAAGCCCTGACTTTGGTAACAGCACACCCAAGTCTCACTTCTAAGACTATCATTGCAGGCGAGAGAAAAAACCAGAGAAGCTTATTCCCTTACCAACATGATCAAGATCTCTGAAATGTTTAAGTCATACTACATAAATAATTATCACAGAAAAAATCCTAAAACTTTCTCATTTCAGATATCTGATCATAAAAATGCTTTGATTAAGATTGTTCTCAATCATAAGTTTATTTTTGTAAAATATGTGATAATACACAAGTGAAAATAAAATAAAATTCCTTGATTGGCTGGTTTTACAGCTGATTAAAAACCTGATGAGATATTTACCTACACATGTATATGATAAATTATCCGTGTGTCAGGCATATGTTTAGTTTTTTTTTGTGTTGTGCTTACTGAAACAATACCATACCTCACACTCTACTTAACAAGATAAATGACAGGAACACATCTAAATGGTACTATTTCATCAAAGTTAACATTAACAAACATATGTTGCCCTATCAGAAATGACTGTAAGGGGCTGTCTCATAACATTTTTTAATGAAATTCAAATTCTTTACCTCAACAGTAAAAAGGAAACAAGTTCAAATGACATGACTTTATTTTCAGAATTAACAGCTCAATATTTGTTCAAATACTGATTTACAATCTAAAATAATATTAGTTATAACATCTATGTGTAGTTTAACATTAACTACACCAAAAAAGGAAAAAGTTCTGAGACAACCCCTTAAAAGGAAAAGATATGTGTACATTATCAATGGAGAGATTTTTAACTGTAACAAAAAATATCGCATGTCTAATTATAAAAGCTGTTGCTATGACAATTCTTTAGTTGTGTCCTCCTCATCGTCCGAATCATCTTGCCAGCTTTGTTGCACTATTGATGCTACTTTTTTCTCATATTCTCGACGATTTTCTCTATATAACTGAGCAGCTTCATTATTTGCTGGGCTATTTGGATTTGGATCGTGAAGTAAAGACTAAAATCAGAAACAAACAATAATGTGCTAGGATGACAGAAATGGATGATGTGGATGACCTAAAGTAATGTCTATAACATTCAACTAGATTAAAAGTCAGGCATATGTATAATTTTACCATCTTGCACCTATAGTAAGGGAAGTAACAAACTTAAGACAATAATCACTCAATTCGTTATAATTTACTAATATTGTGAAGAAACATTTCCACATTCACTAAATTATATGATCATGTTAATTTTTGGTAATTTCATTGTTATACACATACATATTTGAATATCTGTTAAAATTGCCTGACTGTAACAAATATCCTCGACTTCAGTAACTTTAAATTTGTTTTTTGTTTATTTAGTTTTCAATAAAATGGGTTATGTCATGTAATATCGTACAAATGATACCATGGCTGATACTTATTATCCGTATAACCTTACCTGTATAGAGGTAAATATGGTTAATACCTGTATAGAGGTAAATATGGTTAATACCTGTATAGAGGTAAATATGGCTGATTGTTAATACCTGTATAGAGGTTAACATGGCTGATGGTTAATACCTGTATAGAGGTAAATATGGCTGATGGTTAATACCTGTATAGAGGTAAATATGGCTGATGGTTAATACCTGTATGGAGGTAAATATGGCTGATGGTTAATACCTGTATAGAGGTAAATATGGCTGATGGTTAATACCTGTATGGAGGTAAATATGGCTGATGGTTAATACCTGTATAGAGGTAAATATGGCTGATGGTTAATACCTGTATGGAGGTAAATATGGCTAATGGTTAATACCTATATAGAGGTAAATATGGCTGATGGTTAATACCTGTATGGAGGTAAATATGGCTGATGGTTAATACCTGTATGGAGGTAAATATGACTGATGGTTAATACCTGTATGGAGGTAAATATGGCTAATGGTTAATACCTGTATAGAGGTAAATATGGCTAATGGTTAATACCTGTATGGAGGTAAATATGGCTAATGGTTAATACCTGTATAAAGGTAAATATGGCTGATGGTTAATACCTGTATAGAGGTAAATATGGCTGATGGTTAATACCTGTATAGAGGTTAATATGGCTGATGGTTAATACCCGTATAGAGGTAAATATGGCTGATGGTTAATACCTGTAAAGAGGTTATCATGGCTGATGGTTTATACCTGTATAGAATATGGCTTGTGTTATATATATGTATAAACTTACCTTACCTGTATAGATGTAAATATGGCTAGTGTTATATATATGTATAACCTTACCTCTATAGAGGTAAATATGGTTAGTGTTATACATACGTATAACCTTATTTGTATAAAGGTAAATATTGCTAGTGTTATATATATGTATAACCTTACCTGTATAGAGGTTAAAATGGCTGATGCATCATATGTAGGACTCCATCTATTTTGTAAAATATCTAAACATATACTACCATCAGCATAAACTGAAACAAAACAATGCAGTACAATGTTAGTATACATTGTATATTATAAGTACATGATCAACAAACAATTCAAACAAATACATAAAATATCAATAAATAAATACATTCCTTCAACATAAAGTGTTGTGGATTGATGGTAATCGTTGAATTTTGTATAAAACACAAAGACAGATGTGTCTGAATGTACATTGGGACTCGAGATTATACTTAGCTCATAATCAAACTGAGTATGTTTGTGCATTAAGACCTAAGACAGGGCTCACACTACTTCAAAATCATAGGGAGAAGTGACCTCTTTTTTTGAAACTGGTAGGGAGAAGTGGTGAGATTTGAAAGAGAAGTGCTCGTTCGCATAGCTACGATGTTTGGTTTTTATTACTATAATATAAAGGGCCATATGTGTCCTTTTTTTTATATCTGTGTTCAATTCATATCTGAGTCAATTAAAGTAATAGTTGTTTCAGTTTATGTTTTTAATAGTCATTTATAGTTGCATAATTATATTAATCCTCTTGTCAGAATCTAGCTTAGTTCCTACTAAATATCTAGCACTTAAAAGAACTTTTTTATATCAAAAAGGAAAAAAAAGAATCATATACTAATTAAATTGCAATTAAAAAGCTATTCTGTTTATCATCTTAATGAAATTCACTGTTTCTCAATAAAAAGATATATAAATTTAACAAAGTAAAGCAACTTTAATCAATAAATTGAAACAATGCATTTACATGGAAATATATACATTTAGCAAGGAGATTTAACCAAAAGTCTATTAATGCGTGTGGAATGCGTAATTTTCACTTTTGGGGTCATAATTCTTTTGTCAGTTGTTCAATTCAGGCGTCTGTATTTATTATAGTAAGATTACGGATTTCGGTCATAGCTGGTCGGCTTCCGATGAATCCCACCTCTGATCCGTGGTTCGTACAAATATTTCAATGGCCGACGAAGAAAATTTACGAAAATAAACAAAAAAGTTTGACAAGCGATTCGAAAAGAAATATGACGCTTTTAATGCAAATTTCAAATATTAACTAAAGGCAATTTTTATCACTTTCTAATGAAGTAACAAACTTATTTTGCCAAAAATCAGAATGTTTTGATATACGACCTCGAGTAACAAGTACAGGAAATGAAAGAAAATACTTCATAAAAGTTGTTTCTTTTAAATAACATATGACAAATCTGTAAAGTCAATACTTTCACATCTTTTCTAAAGAAATAAATCGTTTATGTCTTTGAATTTCTTCACTTTTAAATGAAAAATGTGCTGTTTCATTAACTTGGTAAGAAGTGGAAATTGCAGATGACGAAAGCGACTATTGTGACCACCAGGGCCATAGACGGATCCAGGGACAGGCCCCCCCTTTTGTGGGAAAAATTTGGTTGATTATATAGGGAATCACTGAAGCATGATTTTGACGGTTGGGCAAAGCGAAGTGACGGACGGAAAAGCTACTTTTTCGCCCCAGTCGCCTGCTAGCATGAGCCATGCTAGCAATAAGTCAAGCTCTAAATCATCCTATGGATGTTTGTACATTGAGACCTAAGAATGTATGTCAAGCTTATCATCCTGAGGATGTTTGTGCATTCAAACGTAAGAATGTGTCTACTCTTAATCATTTAGAATATGTTTGTGCACTGAGACCTAAAAATATGTCAAGCTCTATATCATCCTGAGGATGTTTTAGCATTAGGATCTAAGAATAAGTCAAGCTCTATATCATCCTGAGGATGTTTTAGCATTAGGACCTAAGAATATGTCAAGCTCTATATCATCCTGAGGATGTTTTAGCTTTAGGACCTAAGAATATGTCAAGCTCTACATGTATATCATCCTGAGGATGTTTGTGCATTAGGACCTAAGAATAAGTCAAGCTCTATATCATCCTGAGGATGCTTTAGCATTAGGACCTACATGTAAGAATGTGTCAAGCTCTACATGTATATCATCCTGAGGATGTTTTAGCGTTAGGACCTAAGAATGTGTCAAGCTCTACATGTATATATCATCCTGAGGATGTTTTAGCATTAGGACCTAAGAATAAGTCAAGCTCTATATCATCCTGAGGATGTTTTAGCATTAGGACCTAAGAATGTGTCAAGCTCTACATGTATATCATCCTGGGATGTTTTAGCATTAGGACCTAAGAATAAGTCAAGCTCTATATCATCCTGAGGATGTTTTAGCATTAGGACCTAAGAATGTGTCAAGCTCTACATGTATATCATCCTGGGATGTTTTAGCATTAGGACCTAAGAATAAGTCAAGCTCTATATCATCCTGAGGATGTTTTAGCATTAGGACCTAAGAATGTGTCAAGCTCTACATGTATATCATCCTGAGGATGTTTTAGCATTAGGACCTAAGAATGTGTCAAGCTCTACATGTATATATCATCCTGGGGATGTTTGTGCATTAAGACCTAAGAATATGTCTGCTCTAGAGTATATTTGTGCATTAAGACCTAAGAATATGTCTGCTCTAGAGTATGTTTGTGCATTAAGACCTAAGAATATGTCTGCTCTAAAGTATGTTTGTGCATTAAGACCATGAATATGTCTGCTCTAACAGTATGTTTGTGCATTAAGACCTAAGAATATGTCTGCTCTAGAGTATGTTTGTGCATTAAGACCTAAGAATATGAATATGTCTGCTCTAGAGTATGTTTGTTCATTAAGACCTAAGAATATGTCTGCTCTAGAGTATGTTTGTGCATTAAGACCTAAGAATATGTCTGCTCTAGATTATGTTTGTGCATTAAGACCTATGAATATGTCTGCTCTTACAGTATGTTTGTGCATTAAGACCTAAGAATATGTCTGCTCTAGAGTATGTTTGTGCATTAAGACCTATGAATATGTCTGCTATAGAGTATGTTTGTGCATTAAGACCTAAGAATATGTCTGCTCTAGAGTATGTTTGTGCATTAAGACCTAAGAATATGTCTGCTCTAAATTATGTTTGTGCATTAAGACCTAAGAATATGTCTGCTCTACAGTATGTTTGTGCATTAAGACCTAAGAATATGTCTGCTCTAGAGTATGTTTGTGCATTAAGACCTATGAATATGTCTGCTATAGAGTATGTTTGTGCATTAAGACTTATGAATATGTCTGCTCTAGAGTATGTTTGTGCATTTAGACCTAAGAATATGTCAAGCTCTAAATCATTCAAAGTATGTTTGTATTAAATACACACTTACCATTAGGGTGAAACATTTTAGATACAAATCGTACTGTAGGAGGTTTATTTGGATATTCTTCAGTGAATTCTACTGTTAATTTAAATGTACCATCTTCAAAAGGTGTGTCATGTGGACTAAAACAGAAAAAAATAAAAAATAAAGTTAATGAAGCAAGCAATAAAATAAGACATTGTAAACAAAATACTGCAACTTCCTGTAAAGACATTTTATACCTAAATAGATGATGCCTTTTCAAAAGGCAATGCCTGGTGAATATTATATTGGATACAACAAAAGTTAAAAAACAGGGACAGGATCATATCATTTCAGTTCTCACAAAGGCTAGTCCATGAGTCCTGGACTCATGCAAATCTGTTAGGACTCACCAGTTTCATTATTTTCAAAACTGGTGAGTCCAAAGATGCATCAAAATTGTAAAATGCTGTATCAATTGAACACTTATATCATCATTTTATAACAAAAGTTTTAAAAATAATCTAAATTTGATGCCATTTTCTTGCTCTTTTATGTCATGAAGACTGGAATAATAAATTATATAGCAATAAAATTGTACCTTCTCACTGTTGGACTTGCCATGGCCAAAAAAGTTGAGTCCCTTGACTCCCCTTCAAAAATCCTTAGTGAGAACCTTGCATTTGTTGATTTTTTCAAAGGTTCATCAGAATCCTAATACAAATATTGTCATACATGTAACTCTTTATATTTTTAAAAAATAAAATATGTCTTCTTCTTCCAAATACTGCCCACATTCAACATGATGAATATTCTTGCAAGTTGCGCATGATTAAAAAACTGGTTAAAAACAAATTGTTGATCGATTTAGTTAGAAGTTTTGGTCACTTGAGACTTGAATATCTCAAGAGACTTCGATGTAACGATATCTGGAGGCAGATGTAAACATTGAAACAGAGAAAAATGATTTATTTACCACACTAGTTCTTGCAAATATTTTAATTACAATCTTTGCCAGAAAAACAGACAACGGTAGTAATGATGGGACCTTTTGTTTCTTATATTTGGACTTATAGTTAATTGCAGGGTATTGTACATTGCTTATGCCAATAGAATCTAACTAAAATTTATGTAAAACTCAACTTCAGGCCTGTAGATTCCAAAGTTTATCATGAAGACTGATTACTTGTAAAACAATATACAATACAATATAAATAAACATGTATATATATATATATATATATATATATATATATCACAGAGCTCCAGATAAGAATTCACAAATTGAGGTTTTTACCCACCATTTTTTTTATGTAATTGGGTGATAAAGTTTTTTAATTGCATTATCAATTCCAATTCACCCCTCAAGCAAATATCAAATTGGGTTTTTCACCACCAAGCTCCTTAATGTATTGGGTTTTTTCATCAACACAATATTGAATATTTAGGCACGTTATAATCACATTATATCAACCCCAGATGTGTTTCCATCTTAAATGTGTTTCTTTCTTTGTAGAATATGTGCTAGCTGTTTTATTTAGTTTATTCACTGACGAGCAATTGTACATTTAATTTGTGTACCGTTTTAAACGTTCTGTCAGTTTTGTATTTTCTCAAAACTTATGTAAACTGCAGCTGGTGTCACTAGTTGGACAGGAACTAATTGCCTTTCTAGATCCCATATGATCAGCCTACAGTTTAATTATACATGTTATAGTTGGGGTAGGTGTGGCTAAGTGTTTAGATTTTTGTGTCATATATGTGAAATTTAGGTGCTGTAAGAAAGTTTTGCCAGTCCTTTCACCTATTTGCCAGATCTACTTTATTAAAAAGTAGTTTCCAGATTTAAGATATACCCCCAAAACCTTGAGGTTTATTGGGTGGTTTATAATGACGGAGACCACATTCAACTTAAATTTACAAATAATTCTGCAACATCAAGTAAATAAATGACAATGTTATACTGCACTTGCCAATAAGACAACTATCTTAAGCATCTAGAACAATTAGACCAAAAACAAAGAAAGTGTCAAGCTGCATTGACGCAAAAAAATGGATATGTGTATTCACTCATCAACTAAAATGAAAAAAATAATATATATACTGTTTTCGTTTAATTCAATTTACATAAATCTGGGTTAAGTTGTCCCTTATCAGAACTTGTGGTTTCCGATGCTTTCAAACTACATATCATGTCATAATTGATTTGGCCTTTCACTTTTTCCAACTGATTTCTTTTTTTGACGGAACCCCGTGTTTATCGCTCTAGCAATGTTCTCGTTATGGTAGGCAAACACACCTGTGCGTTCAATTGCCGCTTCCTAAAATCACTAGCTAGTCTTGTTATCATCATAACTTTCCCTCAGCTATCAAAAAGAAGCCGAAAACATGCTTCTATTCAATATTTTTACCGGACATTTACTTTCGTTTTAATTCATTGTATGTTATGATAATGCCCGAGCAGTTCGAAAAAATATGACAGCATGTCACACGCTAATTTGATAAACGCCGAGAAGATCGAAATGTTTTCATAAACAAGTGTACCTTTTGAGCAACGGAAAATTCCAACAGGGACCCATTACAGCTACTTGATGCAGGGCTCTATTTTTAGAACGAAAGGACATTTCCAATTATAAATATTATAAAAATAGATTTACGCGACGACTGTAATCAAGTAAGGGTAAATAACGCAAATGATAGCAAATAAAAGCGTTAAGAACAGGGCTTCCAAAATTTCCTGACGACAGCCGGACATTTTTCAAAGAAATATTTTTGACGGTCAATGATCAGCTGGATACTTAAATGTAACTGAGAGGATGCATAAATTGATATATGTGTCTAAATAATTAGTAGTGTTATATGCAATAAAATTATTTATAACTGTTTTGTTTTCTTCATTCTAAAAATAAATAAAATATTATCCTCGGTATTGTGTCATTTTTCTGTGTATCGTAATACAGTAACCATCATTGCATCAATCAGCTTCAGTACCTGACTGTTCTCATGTTTTTGTTTCTGTTTATATAATCTATCTTCTCTCTGTGAGTACTTAACACTTTGTAAATTAAGGCCATCTTATTTGAAACTGTTGATGTTGGCTTTAATTGCAGTACAACTTGATCATCAATACACGTGATACTTTTCTTTTTGTGTATTGATTACCTGACCACGTGACTTTTACAACTGATGCGGTATTTATAGATAACATTGAGGAGGCCCGATGAAGGATATTGTTTTAAACCGTGTAAAATCTACTGAACAGTGATAACATTTTTCTTTGTACAATTTCCCAACCTGATTTAGAAAATAAGGAATAAATAAAAACATACTCAGTTGATAAATAATTTAATGAATAACAACATGATATTTTATGTAAGCATATAACAACAATAAAATGTCAGAAGAGCACAATGCTGACAAACACACGCAATAAATATTACAATGAGCACATTGAAAAGAAGCACAGATCACAGCACAAGATTAGAGTTCATTTAGTCTAATTAAAGATTTTACATTCATGAGCTTGCTAAATGCATTGTTCTGATAAACATGGCGGTTACGAACGGATTGCCATTTGCGGATAGCAGGAACAGGGTCAAAGTCTTTAACATCTACACCTACTAAGCTTATCCTCATAAGTTGATCTAAAGCGTCAATACCTAGACTACACCTTAGTCGATCATAATTCCCACGGCGGGACTTAACTTTACGTCGGACATCACCTCTTTCTCTATAACATCGGAAATTGTCTGAATAAATTCGGAGCAGGCATTGTTCTCTTGATATAATTTAGAAGTGATCACGGCACCATTTAACTTAGTTAAATCATTTATTGACTGAAATTTGTCCATTGGTTTTTCCTATATATTTTAGTAAATTTTCCCCTTGAGAGTACCCCAGTATTTAACACAATTTACAGTGTTAAATAAAATAATATATATCATACTTATTCATTTATAAATATCCTTATTTGAAGAATAACTTTTAAATATCAGGATACTTTTAAAACTGAATGCTCATTTAAAATAATATCTATAAAGCGTAATTAAATAGGATGTTGTTCCATACACGCTTACACGTTTGACCTCGTTTACCGGATTACCTTTATGTACATTGTTATGCATCATTAATTCTATTGATAAAGATAAGCTAAGGACACCTCATCAAAGGTAACAAACCTGTAATCAGTGAATGATTTATGGCTTCAATATAACTTATTGAAGGGATAATTGTTTGACAGCTTGTTGTTATTTAAATAAAAGAAAACGTGTTTTTTCTACTTTTTATTGATGTACACAAGCTAAAGACCAAGCCGTACATTTATGTACCCAGAGGATTAGACTAACTGAGACACTTCAAAGTATCTGAAATATGCTGCTTCTGTTTTATTAAACCCAATTATGACCGAAATATCTTTGTGAAATAGATTGCCACAATTATAAACTAAAATGCCCAAACGGACATGCCCAAAGCCCCAAACGGACATTTTTATCGATCGATAGTTGGTAAAAATTGAAATGACCGTTTCATGAAAATGCCTTGAATAACAAAATGTGGCACACCAATTCTATTTGACCGTTTGAGGATGAGAGCAGCCGGTCTTTTTATGAAAGTTTCGGTCAAGTCCGGAATATATGACCGTTTTGGAAGCCCTGGTTAAGAACCCATGTTTTTGGCATATAATTGGGTTTTCCTTTGAATTAATTGGGTTATTGAACCCTGCAATGGGCAATTGCATTGGGTTTTTAATTATTTTTATTGCGTGATCACGCAAATACGCAGCTTATCTGGAGCTCTGATATCATATTGTATACATGTAATGATGTTTATAAAACAATAAGATCATGATGATATATAATAATCATGTACATGATGTATATATAATACCCTTTTCATTGAAACTCAAGCACTGTCAATATGGAAGTTTTTTAAATGGAATCCAGCATTGGTATCAATAACGTATTCATACAAATACAGAATAGATTTGTTACTACAATATGGTAAAAGGTAAGGAAATATCAAAATTCTTTTCGATTCTAGATTAATAATCTAGAAGGAAAATATGTTTAGTTTCCAATGTTGACATGTGCATGTTTTATTCTTTTGGAACAATGCTTTCCATGGGATCAACTGAACTTGGCGACCACAATACTTGTATACTAGTATTGTCAACAATACTTGTATATAATTAATGAACAAGTATTGTACAAAAAATTTTAAAAATCAAAAATTTAATAAACAATACTATGACAATCCTATTTAGGGTTTGTTATTATTCATTGATGTGTCTGATTAACAACTTGTTTTTTTTTTTTTTGTTCTGATGCATTTAGGCAGATATAAAAATTGAGACTATGTTGCTTTATACTTTTATTCATTCATGATAACAAAAACGAATTCTAGACAATTCGGCACCCAGACCAATCGGCACCCGAGAAAGACACTTTGGCACCCAGACAAATCGGCACCTAGAAAAATCGGCACCTAACATAGACAAATCGGCACCTCATAAACATAAAATCAATTATTAATTTCTTGATCAAAATATAATGAACCAAAAATCTAAATTTACTGGGAGTGATATAGATATGTGGGCATGACCTCAATTTGCAAGTTTAGTGTTAATATAGCAATAATTTTCGACTGTTTTTACAAATAACCAATTTGATTCCTGCACTATTTATGACATATTGTATATGGTATCTTCGATGAAGTATCTTATGAAGTGGTTTATTCTTTTTGTTGTTTATTTGTGAAGAGTGTATTGCATCTTAGTCATTTGGGTAGCTGTCTTATTTGTGTGTATTCTTTTTCCATATGCATGAAAATTGATTTCATAGATTTCACCATTCATGTACTAGTTTTAATGTAATGCATAGTTCTATTCCGATAGTATTCTAAATCAATAAAACACATGTAGCATATTTATAATATTTTTTTTATTTATTATAATTATATTCATAACAGTTTATAGACACGTTAACAGCACAAGATTTGCATCAAAGGTGAACACATGATAGTAATGAAACATTTTAATTCTGTAAATATAACATATAACATATATACAGGCAGCACTATAAGTTTTAACAAAGTCTCTTTGGTGGTGTTCCGTACACACTGGCACATTCCTTTAGCAGTCTGGAGGTGGAGATGCTGTTGCTACAATACTGGTCCCACAGTCTAAACACTTTTGACCTCCATTGAGAAATTATCAAATTTCATTATAAACTTACATAAAATACTGATTAATGCATAACTACAATTAATCATGATTCAATTAAATGATGTTTATTCAAACACCATCATATTTAACAATCAATTAGGATTTAATTAAAATTTAATGATGTTTATTCAAACACCATCGTTTAGGATTTAATTAAAAAAAGACAATTATTTTTTCAAATTTTGTAATCCATATTTTATTTACGGATTTTAATATTTCTGGAACAATTCTTTTATTTTTCTTAATATTTATAGATTATCGTTGGTTATCTCAACGAGAATGATTTTCTCGCTTGAGCCGGTACGGCGAAAGTGAGAAAAGCAATCAAGTTGGGCTGACCAATGATAATCTGTTTATTGCTGTTTTACCTATGACGACGTTGTTAATTTTATTGACAACGGGCAACGTGGGCCCTTAGTTTCTAGCGATAATTTTTCAAATCACTCGACTCCACTGAGAAAGAAAATGATCAGTCAGCAAGATCATAGGAAATTTTTTAAAATAGCGATAAAAATATATATATATAGAAAAAAAAATGAGGTGCCGAATTGTCTTGGTCCCGAAATGTCCAAAACGGATGCCGAAATGTCTTCGGAACTGGGTGCCGATTTGTCTGGGTGCCGAAATGTCTTGTTACCAACAAAAACTATACTAACAGTATAATAGTCCCAGAATTAATACACAATAAATTACACATATTTTTCAAATCATTACCAGTGATAACATTACTTTTGAATAAAGGCAGTAATAATTATACTCTCTTTCAATGTATTTATATTTTATATAAACAATACTATGACAATACTCGTATACAATACTTGTACATTAATTATATACGAGTATTATTGACAATACTAGTATACAAGTATTGTGGTCGCCAAGTTCAGTTGATCCTTTCCATGTAAAAGGCACCTGTTCATGGTGTGTAACTCATTCAAATTTTCCTTAATAGAGTTTAACGTTGTTGAGCTGAAATTGCTGAGAACTCTGAATTCAAGGAATAGGGATTGACCTGCTTAATCATAGACTGACAATGTTTCCGCACAAAGCTTACCCAAATATAACCGCATTCCACAACATTATGTTATTGTCTGTTGGAGCTCCACTAACACCAGCAGGTGGATCTTCTTGTAATCTGAAAATGAACAGTAAGAACCTTGTAAAAAAATATATAAACAAAAACGGAAGCCATGTTTGATAACTGTTTTGAACTACTCAGTTCGTTTTAAAGGAGAATAGGGCTATAATACCTTTTAAAATCTCTCATTAATCGTCTTCTAGCAGGTGTTGACATTGTTATATGTTAATTTTTTTCACAAAAAAGTGCTTTTATCGCAGTATTTGATTGATATTTCCCTAATTAATGCGGAGAGACTTTTCTTGTTTATGACGTTCTCATACGGGTTCTTCACGTTTTTCGGTATTCTGAGGGGAAGGATAAGTCTGATGAAACGTAATGAAGATTCCGAATGAAATAAGATCATGTGATAAATTCATTCGGTAAATCTCGGCAGATTCCGCTTTCGACTGTTGTCACGAAGTTTTGTTTTATATTTGATAAACCTAAGATCCCTGGTTCACTGATTAGCGAAGAGAACGTTTGGCCAGGATGCCAGGCTATGTTTTATTTCTCCACAATTTTAATTTATATTATATGCATTTTGTAAGAGACGTTTGTCTGTGACTTCTTTGTATTTAGCTTCCCGTCTATATAATATTAGGCGGTATAAGGGTCATTTTGAAATGAAAATATTGTTGTTTATTTTGTGTTGTGAAATATTTTAAATGCTCATTTTTGAAAGATGACATTTTGTGGACGTCGCATGTGATGTTTTCGTAAGTTGCACTTTCAGTTTCTTGCCATATTTTTATGAAACTTGTATATAATTACATGTTATAGCATAGATTTAAATCAGCAATGTCTGTGACTAGTTGAAAATCATCAGTGCGGATCAATTATTTTTAAAAGAGTTTTGCCCCTTGTATTTATGAATAATATGGAAAATCAAACTCAATCTTATTAAAATAAGTTCACATCACTTATTTTAATAAGATTGAATCAAACTGTAAGTGCTCTCGTGTGCACACTGACTCAGGCTTGCCAGATCATTTGTAATGAATTCTTTTTTATCTCAAAGGCTTAATTATATCAGCAATGTCTCGGATAGCTAGGTTAATTCTAAAATCAGTGCCACTCAATTTTTTAAAGAGTTATGCCCGTTAAATTAATTAACAATTTGGAAACATGTACAAGAATTCGTTCGGTCTTTAATGCGCATGCGCTAGTAATTGTCCACAGACAGCGATTAATTTTACTATAGATTTGTATGGGCAAATAGTTTTTATACCCGTATTACTTTATATTAACTTTTGAATTTCTTCTTCGCGCCGTTAAATAAAGTTTATTAAAAGTTTAAACTGTGTTATGATGTAAATTTTATGAAAATAAGATATTTTAAACATCCGTCACTTTTGATTTAAAATTTGCTACCATAAATAGCGAAGTATAGCCCGTTTAATGTATACAGAGAAGGCATTGTTTTGCGAATCCCTGACATCTGTTTGCTTCAATAACAAATAGTATTCGTTATTTTCTTATTTTGGCGTCGATATTTTTATAATCTCCAAAGACAGGGAAATAAAATGATATTTTTGCCTAAAAATCAACTTTTGTAATTCTCCCGTCTTTTTATGGTTGAAAATTGAAAATTCTTTAATTTGTCATGGAATAGAGAATTTTACACGCTTGGATACGAAGTCATCGGCAAACACTTATTCTTTTATGAATCAGTATGATTATATCCTTAAAGACTTTGATAACCACACTGTGTATCATCGCCACCGGAAATTGGGTACTAACGAAGCGGAGAGAAATGGAAAAAAAAGTAAACAAGGTAAGAATTCATTCAATTTAAAGCATTTCTACTGATTTGACGAGGGTACCGCTTAAGAAATGATTTTCTGATATATAATTCTTTAAATTATTAGGCCGATAAGTACAAAATTAAGACAAGATTTTGTGTTATACTCAAGAACTTGCCACTTAGTACCTGAAAATTTCGAGGTCGATCGTCCTCTGTCGCCCCATTGGCAAGATATTCAACTGTTTTTCATTATTTTTCCAGACACTTTTTTAGATTATCATAGTGTGGCATCATATTTACTGAAATTTGTTGTCAAAATGATGGTTTTTAAAGAATATAGACCATAAAAAATAAAGTCTAGGGTACGGCAACTTGCTCATGTTAACAAATTTACTGTATGGCAACTTGTTTTCAACTGTATGGCAACTTGCTAATTTCAAAATATTTATTTGCCGTCTTTTTAAAGAAAATAAAGTATTAGGTTCAAATATCTAATTATGCATTTGATAAAAATACAATTCGCTTGACACCATTTAAGATGTATACACTATATAAGGCTTGAACACAGTCCTATCACATCTTTTACATACCTGATGTATACAATATGAATACGGCATATACAAAAGCTGGCAAATGTTGTAACTTTCGGAAATGCATGCCACTGTTTTTCTGACCTGTTGTTATGCCCTTGACGTAGCGTTAAATGTTACCCATGTCCGTCCGACCCGTCTCTCCCGCCCGTCCAGAAAGTCCCAATAATTGGTTTCCGTTCTCTAACTTTAGTATGCCTTAACCAAATGTTTTAAACTTACACGAAATGCTTATCACCACAAAACACAGATCAAGTTATAAATTGGGTAGCGTCAATGTTACCGTTCTTGAGTTATGCCCTTTTATAAATGAAAAAAAGCTAAAGCTGTTTCTGTTCTCAAACTTTAGATTGCCTCAAGCAAATGTTTTAACCATACAACATTAGTCAGCATTTGCATAAAAGTGATGAACATTTCGGGGATGGGTTGTGGGTGGAGGGAAGGAAGGAGGTAAGGGCAGGAGAATTTTTCAGCATTGAATATTTAGAACCATTAAGTGAAAAGTAAAATCACAAAAAATCTGAACTCCGAGGAAAATTCAAAAAGGAAAGTCCCCAATCAAATGGCAAAATCAAAAGTTCAAACACATCAAACGAATGGTTAACAACTGAATAAATTCTCTTTCAACTTTCAGATAAAATGAAATATAAATGAATTATCATTCTCTGCAAAAAAAATGTTGTATTGCTACACCACGGCACCATGTTAAGGGAGGTTTGAGTGCTCAAAAACATGTTTAACCCCGCCTCAATATATATGTGTCTGTCCCTGGTCAGGAACATGTAATATAGCGGCTGTCGTAAGTTGCTGTCTGACATATTTGTTTATGATTTTGTCATAAATCAGGCAATTTTGATACGGTATGGGTTTTGTTCATTGTGGAGTGTATAGTAACCAATAGTTGGTCAAATCTATTTCATTTGGACTTTGTTTGAAAGTCCTCTCAGTGAAAACCATTCCACGTCTCCTTTTTCAATTAATGTTATTGTCTTATTTGTAAAAGGCAGATAAAGCCAATATATTAGAATAAAGAACATTAATTTTCTAAAAAAAAAAACTTCATCTCTATATAGTAAGAAATGAACAAGCTCGGTGGCTAACACTGTTTGAATTTAAAAAAAATATTAACCTTAGATTAATCATTTTTGGAAAGAATGAAAGAAGAATCCGATACAAGGGATACAAATCCGGTTGTGGCTACGGCATAAACTATTTGTATAAACTTTCTACTTGAGAATAAAGATGACCTTGTATGAAGTTTTTTTGGTTGTCATCTTAATATTATATACTTATTAATACAATTCACAAAAGCTAGCATCTTCGACTTGTAAGTTTAAAGAATTATAATGAAATAACATCTAATAAGGACAGGTTGAAATATTTTTGAATCCTGATGGTGCATACTCATAAATTCTTTTGGAAAAATCCACATAAATTTAAATGTTGATTTCATAGCGTTCATTTATTTATTTGCCCTCGTAAACAGTTTTGCAAAAATACCGAAATCGGTAAATTCTTATCGTGAACGAGTAAGTCGGGTACACCTTTTTACATTCAGGCGTGCTTAAGTTGCACTTTTTTCTTCTTATTAAGAAAAATGATTTTAATTTTAGCATCTATCTAAAGATTAGATTATTTACACACACACAAAAATAGGGCTTACTGTTGATTTTGAAACTCTATGAATTCACATTTATATTCAACCAAACAGATAGGCCGAGACCCATTCCTTTATAAGTTTAAAAACAGGGAAGGTGTGTTTGAAAACAAATAATCACGTACTGCTATATCTGTTAAGGCAAATGCAAGTCTTACTTGTATTATTTATATAATTTTAATTGGCACAATATCACATTAAAATTTACTGAGAAATATTATACATAGTAATCATGAAAATGTACTACTGTAACAATGAAAATTCGGACGAATACACTCCTTTTCACTACCCCTTCATCTACTCATTTAAGTTTAGGCCAAACAGCCTTAGCAACAGTCTTTTATTATTTTTCCCCTGTAAATAAAAAGATTGATTGAATTTACTTAAACTAAAAAAAAAAATACAATCTTATTTTCAATAAGAAACAAGAAAATTAATTCGAAACACAATTCATGATTTATTTTTCCTAATTTTCAATAAAAACAAAGTATTTACTTCACTTTTCTTTTAACAAATTATTCATTTCAGAAATTTAAAAAATAAACAATAAACAATGTTGAAGACCGTACCTTGACCTATGATGGTTTACTTTTATAAATTGTGACTTGGATGGAGAGTTGTCTCATTGGCACTCATACCACATCTTCCTATATCTATTTAACCCAGCACATTCTTTATGTGTCTGTCCGAAGTCACGAGCCTGTAGTTTGGTGGTTGTCGTTGGTTCATCTCTATCATATTTGTTATTTTTCGTATATTGTTTTGTTATGAGTTAGGCCGTTAGTTTTCTTGTTGAATCCTTCCACAATTTTCATGTCGGGGCTTTTTATAGCCGACTATAAGGTACGATTTTTCGTTGTTGAAGGCCAAACGATAGCATATAATTTCTTACATACACTTTATTTGACCCTGGTGGATAGTTATATTATTTGCAATCATACAACATCTCCACTGTTTATATTTAAAAAAAACCAGCACCAACAAAAGATGAATGGTCGGTTTTTTTTTATTGAACTTTCAAAATTTCACCCTGACAACAAATAAGACAACAGTCGTTAGTATTATAACGATATATGAATGTATTTATAAATACGAGGGTGTTCACATACTAAAACGTGCGAGCCAATCAGCTATTATATTAAAATGTAAGTGTGGTTGCGGTTGGTCGTGGGTGTGGTTTACCATATAAGAACGAGTAGCCTAGTCACGAATTATGCTCTCCTGTGTGGAGTGATAAAAGACGATAACATTGGCGCTGTTTGTAACCAAAAGAATGTGGATGGAGATTGGAACGACAAAAAGGCTAAGGCGATACAATAAGATTAAGGTTAAACAGTATAGATCGCACCTAGCTAAGATGGAGCACACAAATAATTTTCAACTGTTGCTACACAGGCTTATCCTTTTCCGCAGCTTTGCCCACGAACGTATATTTTTGCTTGTGACAGTTTTTTATACACCTACACTTTTTTTTATTTCCTGCATTTTTTGTTGCAGAATAATCATTTTATTCTGTCTTGAACAAGATTATGTATCTACAAGCACATGATTTTCATTTTTGAAATCTTGCCCCCCCCCCTTTTAAAGCGAAAGGTCGTCTATTTATCGCAATTTAAAATCTGCAACACCTATTAAAACTATAGATCAAATTACAATCTCAAGCTGTTTTTCATAGATATAAGAAGATGTGGTACGAGTGCGGCTGTGCCAATGAGACAATGAAGGAGTTACCTTCTCTTTACATTTAAGAACAGCTTTCAGAATAGTTATTTGATATTAAATGATAATGTTCTACACCAATGCAAAATGTATCCCAAGCTGCGGTAGGTCTTTTCACCACCGAACACCACCAAACACCCCAAAAAATTTGTTTTTATCTTGTATCTTTATAAATGTGACCTAAATATATTATTTTAGTTATTAATTCAACAAATATTAAGCTTAATAGACCAAATATCTACATCGAACTTAATAGGAGAACACCACTGGAAACCAAGGCTTCCAAAACGGTCATATATTCTGGACATTTGTATAATGTCCGGTAAAAGTCCGGCTGGGCAAAGCACGAAACGGTCATCTACTTTTTAGATTTCAAGGCTTTCTTAAGAGACGGTCATTTTAACATAATTCGCGATCTTTTTGACCCAAACTTTTGCCTTTAACAGCCACACATTTCCGGTCATAAAAGTGACATGATCATTAAGTACTATCATAACAACCCCTACTTTAATACCTTCTCATTTTAATCAAGGCTAATTAGTTGTCGAACAGCTGAAATTTACCTGTTCAGGTGACAGGTAAACTATTTTGAACCGGACATTGATCGGTCTATTCAAAGTTATTTTCTTACATTTCACCGGTTTGCATCTAATTAATTTAGTCAAAAAGATTTAAATTATCAGAAATACATTTACAAATAAGATTTGATGAAAAAATTAAAGAGGTGAAAATGAAAAATCGTCATAACCACGTTGTTTGAACCAGAGACATGTCTCTGTTTGAACTAGTACACGTGTGCATGTGCGCAGGTGTGAAATTTAATTATGCACCCTAATTTTTTTCAAAAATGCTTAAATTGTCATTGATACCTTTATCTCACGTTTATTTCAAATATTTTCTTGGAAGAAATAACGTAGAATGAGCTACTTACACTCATTCATGCTTTGCAAACGTACACGGAATTTACGTATCCGTCTCTGGTCCATGTTTTACCATTGTCAAGATAACATCCGGTTTCAGATTTAAAAACGAAAGTAAAGTTTTGGACAACGTTATTTTGCACAAATAAAGAGTCTAAGTCAGATATAAGTACGCTGATGTTGCACACTTCGGATGATGCACTGCCAATTTAACAGTTTACGTCAGAACTTCGAATTTGAATCAAAGAAAGTTTAATATCGTTTTTTTTTAAATATCAATCATTGGGATGGCCAACTCGGCAACTGATTACCATAATTGCCTTTTGTTTATTTAGTCTTAAGGGATTAAAATCGGGATAATATATAAAATGTCCGGCTGGCTAAAAATAATTTTGGAAGCCCTGCTGGACACCCCAAATATATATATTTTTTTTCATTTTCTTTCTTCTTTAAAAAAAAGATGTACCAATAATAAGAAAAGAGACAAATATCAAAATCTAACCGATGAACAGAGATCGATCGAGTATACCTTAACTGATTACTAATTATGAATATATTTGAATTTTATTTGAAATATATATATACACACACATTTGAATTTTATTTGAAATATATATATATACACACACACACAATGTAAACCGGAAAAAAGTGATGAATCTGGAGACGTTTTTCTTTATATTGATTATATTGATTATCGACTTTAAGGTAGATAGGGTGTCTTCCTCCATCTTGGATTTTGTAATACCTGAAAACAATCGGTCTAGATCTTTAATAGAATATGCAAATTTTGAGAGTAGTAGGTAATTCATGTGTAAGAATTTTCATTTCAATATAGAAAATGACATGTTTTATCATATTTATGGTTGTATTTTACAAAAAACAGAAAACTTTTGTTTGATTCAATTTTTTCCAACTTTGCCACATAAGGGGAGGCAACTCAAATGTAAGGGCAGATAATTCAGATAAAGGTACTTTTACAATAGAATGTGTTAGGAATTTACCTATCTTATTATGTAGCAAGAAAACGAGTACGGTGACCCCATTTTTTCTTTTTCTTATCTGAAAGCATAATATTAAAGCTATCTTCTCATATTTTATCTCAAAATTCTATGGTGTAGTTTTCGTTTTATGGCAGAAAATTGGGTTTTCCATGCATAATCTATACAAAATCTGTTAATTTTGAACAACCTGTAGCGTGAAAATAAGCCCCGTGACCCATTCTTTTTATCATTTTTTTTTAAAAAGCTTGATATAAACTACATTTTGGCAAATTATTAAAAAATTCTATGGATTATAATTTAGACACCCCATCTACCTTAACATGAAAATGATGCACATAAAAATCTAAAATATGATTAAATTATACGTAATTTAATTTATTTTATCGTTTTATTGTATAATATCACTGATTTTCTTGGTGGTTGGATGGTTTTTTGGGTGTTTGGTGGTGAAAGACCCACCCCCCAAGCTGTAGTCCCAGAGAGATTACTCTGAAGTCCAATGACTGTTTTGCCAGACAAGCTGGGCAGTGGGACGTCAGAGCTATATCAAAAAGTAGAAATTTGCTTGTCCAAAAGGAATACATCACACTTCGTTGCTTTTCTAGTCAACTGACGGCTTCTGATCTATATAAATCGGGCTTCAATTTGTTCATTTCTTTATTCATTTATTTAAGTTTCGCATACCTACCTACCTTTATTTTCTTTATTACAGCTGTTAGACATCAAGAGTAATCTCGGACTTCGTTAGCTGGTATGATGATTTCTTTAAAACTAAAAAACTCAATAACAACAACAATATGAAGCAGAGAACTGATAAATATTAACTTATATCTCTCTGTACATGTACACGGTGTAGAATGGTAAAGGACTTATCATGTTTTGTTGGCGTTTCTGCACTTATTGGGTTCAGCAACAGACTTATCGTGTTTTGATTCAAGTTACATGTAGCATGACACACAATGTGCCACATAGATAATACGAAATCGTCATTTCACAAACAAGAAAAAACAAATCCATGTTGCTTTTAATCAAATTTCAGGAAACATGGTAAACGATGACCTTCAAGCACGAAAAACTGAGATAAAAATTGTAAACACGTACTTTAATAAATTTTACCATCCCTAATGTCCGTGTCAAAAACAAAATAGACTCGTCAACTTTAAAAACACGGTTATCAAATTCATAAGTTGTCATGCATTCCGTTTCTGATATCCAAATGGACTTTCTTTTTTAATACCTATGAAACAAGAAAATTCCAAATTGTTTGTGAATATCCATTACTTGAACTTGACATCTTTCCTGTATGCACAGGTCCATTTCATCTATGAGATGATACATCTTACAGAACTATGACAAAAAAGAAAAAGAATTTATTGTTATTAGTTTTAAACACACGTTTCGCTCCTCAAAATGTTTTGCATAAACAACATTTCAAGGTCAGTTATGATTGATTTGTCTATTTTTAGATGCGTTAACATATTATTTGATTAATTCTTATTTTTTTGCAACACAATGTGTAATCAACATGTTGTGGTCTTATCTCTACATTATAATCCATGAGACCATGGATTGATTTGACCACTCACAACATGCCATGGTCTTATCTCTACATTATTATTCAAGAGACCCTGGATTGATTTGACCACTCACAACATGTCATGGTCTTATCTCTACATATTATCTATGAGACCATGGAATGATTTGACCACCCACAACATGCCATGGTCTTATCTCTACATTATTATCCACGAGACCATGGATTGATTTGACCACCCACAACATGCCATGGTCTTATCTATATATTATTATCTATGAGACCATAGATTGATTTGACCACCCATAACATGCCATGGTCTTATCTCGACATAATTATCCATGAGACCATGGATTGATTTGACCACCCATAACATGCCATGGTCTTATCTCTACATTATTATCCATGAGACCATTGATTGATTTGACCACCCACAACATGCCATGGTCTTATTTCTACATTATTATCCATGAGACCATTGATTGTTTTGACCACCCTAAACATGGCATGGTCTTATCTCTACATAATTATCCATGAGACCATGGATTGATTTGACCACTCACAACATGCCATGGTCTTATCTCTACATTATTATCCACGAGACCATGGATTGATTTGACCACCCACAACATGCCATGGTCTTATCTCTACATTATTATCCATGAGACCATGGATTGATTTGACCACCCATAACATGCCATGGTCTTATCTCTACATTATTATCCATGAGACCATGGATTGATTTGACCACCCATAACATGCCATGGTCTTATCTCTACATAATTATCCATGAGACCATGGATTGATTTGACCACCCATAACATGCCATGGTCTTATCTCGACATAATTATCCATGAGACCATGGATTGATTTGACCACCCACAACATGCCATGGTCTTATTTCTACATTATTATCCATGAGACCATTGATTGTTTTGACCACCCTAAACATGGCATGGTCTTATCTCTACATAATTATCCATGAGACCATGGATTGATTTGACCACTCACAACATGCCATGGTCTTATCTCTACATTATTATCCATGAGACCATGGATTGATTTGACCACCCATAACATGCCATGGTCTTATCTCTACATTATTATCCATGAGACCATGGATTGATTTGACCACCCATAACATGCCATGGTCTTATCTCTACATAATTATCCATGAGACCATGGATTGATTTGACCACCCATAACATGCCATGGTCTTATCTCGACATAATTATCCATGAGACCATGGATTGATTTGACCACCCACAACATGCCATGGTCTTATTTCTACATTATTATCCATGAGACCATTGATTGTTTTGACCACCCTAAACATGGCATGGTCTTATCTCTACATAATTATCCATGAGACCATGGATTGATTTGACCACTCACAACATGCCATGGTCTTATCTCTACATTATTATCCACGAGACCATGGATTGATTTGACCACCCACAACATGCCATGGTCTTATCTCTACATTATTATCCATGAGACCATGGATTGATTTGACCACCCATAACATGCCATGGTCTTATCTCTACATTATTATCCATGAGACCATGGATTGATTTGACCACCCATAACATGCCATGGTCTTATCTCTACATAATTATCCATGAGACCATGGATTGATTTGACCACCCATAACATGCCATGGTCTTATCTCGACATAATTATCCATGAGACCATGGATTGATTTGACCACCCACAACATGCCATGGTCTTATTTCTACATAATTATCCATGAGACCATTGATTGTTTTGACCACCCTAAACATGGCATGGTCTTATCTCTACATAATTATCCATGAGACCATGGATTGATTTGACCACTCACAACATGCCATGGTCTTATCTCTACATTATTATCCATGAGACCATGGATTGATTTGACCACCCATAACATGCCATGGTCTTATCTCTACATTATTATCCATGAGACCATGGATTGATTTGACCACCCATAACATGCCATGGTCTTATCTCTACATTATTATCCATGAGACCATGGATTGATTTGACCACCCATAACATGCCATGGTCTTATCTCGACATAATTATCCATGAGACCATGGATTGATTTGACCACCCACAACATGCCATGGTCTTATTTCTACATTATTATCCATGAGACCATTGATTGTTTTGACCACCCTAAACATGGCATGGTCTTATCTCTACATAATTATCCATGAGACCATGGATTGATTTGACCACTCACAACATGCCATGGTCTTATCTCTACATTATTATCCATGAGACCATGGATTGATTTGACCACTCACAACATGCCATGGTCTAATCTATACATTATAATCCATGAGACCATTGATTGATTTGACCACTCAAAACATGCCATGGTCTTATCTCTACATTATTATCCATGAGACCATGGATTGATTTGACCACTCAAAACATGCCATGGTTTTTTCTCTACATTATTATCCATGAGACCATGGATTGATTTGACCACCCACAACATGTCACAGTCTGATAAATAAATATAATGAGGTATGTAAGAAAACGTATCATATAGATGGTTTATTTTACATGGACTTTTCAACTGGAATTTTTATAAAGTATCCCAGAGAAAAAAAATTATTTTTTTTTATTTTTTCAGAAACCAAATAACATAAATAATGAAGAAGATTACATGTTTGTGAATTTGAGAAGGAATTGCAGTCTACATCGACTTCTGGATCTTTACCACCACCATGGCCATAATCATCGTCATCATCAGTGAGTAATTAAAACAAATAATACATTTAAATGCATCAATATTGTTTTTTTTTTTTTTATAGGATATTCAATAAAACATGTAACCAATCACTTTGCTTCGCAAATCACTAAATTTATATGTCACATATTTCTTTTATAAGAGCAAACTTTTCCATATCAGAAAGATAATCAACTTCTTGAAAAGTCTATTTTAAATCATGTTGGTAAATTAAACATATGATAGATTTGTTTTCTCATGTACCGGTAGGTTTTCTGCATATAGAATTTTTTTTTTTTTTTCTATAATGGATATTTTAACTTTCTCTTTTGTAGGAATGATAGTGAAGAAGAGCTTTTAGATCATAAGAAAGTTTTGTACACGGGTAACCATAGAAATATGTGTTTCAGAATTAAGCTGACCATTTTACTATTTAAGAACTATTTACGTAATCTTAATGCCAATACAATTATATATGCATAACTTATACTTTTGAATAAGAAAAAAGGCATAAGGAACTAAATATAAGTATACATTACTCTACCATCTTTTTAACCATTACTATCTGATAATAAATATTGGATTTTAGAAAAATGATAATGATTATTTTTCTTTGTTTATTCATACCATCCTTTTTTGCAGTGTAACATCGAAGCTTATTTTATGGTTGAGAAAAGTGTTGAGAATATAACCACAGTTGCTGTTGGTCCTGATTTTCTTCTGTTATACAGGCATAATTTTCTTCATGCAAGGTACTTTTTGAAATAATCATGATTTACTTTAGTTGAGCATGTGCATAAACATATTGTAGATTAGAGCAACTCTAAATACAATCAAAACTATATCACAATTACAACCTGTTGAACTTCTTTTTGCCATAGTCTAGATATTATTCTTCTAATTTGACCTGATCTATTAAACTGATCATTAATATAGTGAGATCTGATATTCACTTTGAGTTAGTAATGTTATTTCATTCATGTGTCTGAACCAGAAGAGCTTGAGCTGATAAATTCATTTAACATGAGGTGAAATATTATTTTTTTATATCGATACTAACTATTAAACTATTTTGAACACAACTCTACAGAGATAAAGTAATATTTAAAAGAATTAGTTGTCAAGTTACAATGAGTCTTTTTAGCGATAAAAGACTAGTTCTTTTTGTACATTTCATTTAGATTACACGCAAGTCTTCATTTGTTTTTGGAAAATCACGCTGTCAAAGCGTCAATTTTACTATACCATTGACCAGATTTCATTTTATCGCTTCCGGTCGCTTCCAAGCCGCCTTCCGAACTTGGTTCCGTATTTTACATACCTATGTCCTGTACAGAATTTCATTCTTAACCTATCCATATGTTTATTGTTATTAAATGGTATTTTGAGCTATCCCTTTGGTATATTTTTCATATTTATATGAGCCTTCGCTTTTATGTGCATGACTTTACAATCCGTAAAAAAATCAGAATATAAATATGGTTTTGGACTTTTTACATACCAATGATAACAAATCGCTATCGCTTGAAAATAGTTTTTGAAAGAATGTATACCTTTCTAGTCAGCTGAACTTTGAAACCATTCAAAAAATAATAATCGGAATCATTTTAAAATCATACGAAAGATATTGGTCTTTATTAAGATTTAAGAAGTTTTTAAGAATGATGCGGTTATATCCACGCGGTGCGTATGGGTTTGTTAACAAAGTTACTGCTGCAGACAAAATATAGGTCAAATATCGCAGGGGCTAGTTCTATTAAAGAATAAAATGGCGATAATTGCAGAATTTTTTGTCATAAAGACTTTATTTCTTTCTGGATTTCTTCACTTTAAAAAGAATTATAACATTCAGAAACTTTATGAAAGGAGTAGCAGTGCTCAATGAATCATATCAAAAGTATTTAAGGAAAGTTTTACCCTTTCTCTGACAACGTGGTCTTGTCCATTTTTGAAACATTACGATTTTTTCATTACTTTTTCGAGTTAACAACTAAACTATTGAATCTGTATTGTTTTGAGAAAAGCATTCCTTGAACCTGTATTGTTTTGAGAACAACCTTCCCGTTGTCCAGGTGTTCATTACAAGCCCAGGTTTTACGATTTACTTGTATCGCTATTTTCAAAATTGGATACGAAAATTTCTTGAAAATAAAAAATATTGAGATTTGCCAAAGACTTTTCTATAACTATTAATTAAATATTAATTTAAAGTCAATGTTAATTGTGGATAAGGAATGGCATTTAATGATTCCTAGAGATACAACAAAATGTGTAAACAGAAAGTTGTGAAGGGAGACAATTTCATTGGGCAAAATTTAAAGTGCTGAAACAAGTATTGTCAAATCTTGTAAAATATTTCTGGTGGCAATAATTCACATATTCATAAAATAACCAAACACAACTTTTAAAGGTGGTTGTAATGTTTCAATTGGCAAACATTTATTTATTGATAATCCACCTTTAATAATAAAAAAAAAAAAAAAATTCTTTAAAAAAAAAAGATTTCTATCATATTCATCTTGGAATATGATCAAATATGTTAGCATATTTTAAACATGCCTTTAATAACATTTCAGTACTCATGGAAAGAGTTATTCCATTTCTTCCTTTGATATTAAAGGATATACCAATTTTAATTGCAAAATTGTAATTTGATAAATGTAAATAAAAATCAATGCAGAAATTCCAATTTTGTCATTGTAAACCTTCTTAAATATGTGTAGGTAAATTATGAAGCTGTAAAGGATATATAACTAGTTTATAATTAGAACCGAAAGTGAGAGAAAAAGATATACCTACTGTGCTACATTTGGGGATGGGTGGTAATAAAATCAAATTATTTAAGTTGTCTAGGCATTTTAATTTTTAAAGTTTAATTAATAATTGAAATGTCACTTATTTGCATTTCTGAATCAGTTAATGCACATGGCACATGTATAAAAAAACCAGGTCTTTGTCTATTCAATATAATAAAACTTACATGGTAGTTATAAATAAATGTAACACCAAGTCACAAACATGAAACTTAAGGTGAATCAATCTTAAATCGGGCGCTAATACCACAGCGCTATAAAAAATCCTGTGGAGAACACTGGATTGTATTGCTTTTAGAGTTATATAATACACCTTGCCTAAGAAAAAGGTCTAGCTAGGTCATTTTAAAAAAATGAGGCTATAATGATGTAAAGTGACTTATATAACTGCCAACAGCCACATTATCACATATCAGACTGTTATCTCACTGACAATCATGTAACCACATCTCCTTATTTTAGTACAGGTTAATTATTTGAAATAAATGACCCAAAAACATTAAATCATTTGAAAAAAGATAATTCTGCAATAATTTATGTTGTCATTTAAAGATTTCAGTTTATACATATATAAATATCAACAATTGAATTTGGTTGTATAGATGGTGTCACTATATTTGTAATTGTCAAACTAGTATAACAATACTATTGTCTAAATCTACAGAATTTGATCATCCTTTAAGTAACAGAAATAACAATGTCACTAAGTCACTTATAACTTATCTCTTAAATAAGGACTATGTGGGGTATCAGAGCTTGCTTACTGCAGGTTCTTCATCATCATTTTGTTGAATAATTCTACAAAGGAGGGGATAGTCTGTTAATGTATCCTTGACTAAGAATAATGAAATTGCAAGAAACAAATTCACATATAACTTTGAATATTGTAGATCGTTCAGGTTGTCTTGAGCTATTTCTTTATACAAAAGAAACAACCAGTATATAAATATAGTCATGTTACACCACTGTCCCAGGTTAGGGGGAGGATTGGGATCCCACTAGCATGTTTAATCCCGCCACATTCTGTATGTATATGCCTGTCCTAAGTCAGGAGCCTGTAATTCAGTGGTTGTCATTTGTTGATGTGTTACATATTTGTTTTTCGTTCATTTTTTGTACGTAAATCAGCCGTTAGTTTTCTCGTTTGAATTGTTTTACATTTGTCATTTCGGGGCCTTTTATAGCTGACTATGCAGTATGGGCTTTGCTCATTGTTGAAGGCTGTACGGTGACCTTTAGTTGTTAATTTCTGTGTCATTTGGTCTCTTGTGGAGAATTGTCTCATTGGCAATCAGACCAAATCTTCTTTTTTATATTCACTTCACACACATATATATTTTTATCTTGACAAACAAATAAAAAAGCCATAGACATTGAAAACAATTCATTTATATTCTATTGTCAGTCAGCCTACCTACCATGAAATGAAAAGTCTTAAGATTCAGTAGGTAAATTATGTGAAAAGCAAGACTTGCATCAAAAATATCCCAATATTAGAGACAATGGCATCATTTTTCCTTGGAGCTTTCAGCCCTTTGATTATATGACTATAAATAAATGTTATGGTGTTGTCAGTGACTGCTTCTTAAGACATTTTGGTTCGCAGACTGATCCAAATAACTTCATGGATCTCTATGAATTTGTTAGCACAAGATTATTCCACTTAAGGATGAATGGGATTGTTTTTGGTGGTTATTGTCCTTGTGGGTTTCTTATTAGGGACCAAAAACAATTATTTGTCCTGTTTTAAGACAATAACTTGAGTAAAAGAGATATTCATTTGGTCAATGTTTTAGCACAAGGTTCCACACTGCAATAGGAAGGTTGGGATTAATTTTGGGGGTTATTGTCATAGCGGTTTAGGAATTATGGGCCAAAAACAAGCATTTTTCAAGCTGCGTTTAGTGGAGCATTTTATTTTAGAACATATAATAGATGTACATAAGATAAAAATTTTTTAAAAAAATTAAAAAGTGCATCAAGCTTTAACTGTTTCAAATATGAAACTGCATAATAAAAATAAAATTGATTGATTGAAGATCATATTTTCTGTTTTATTTTCAGCTCTGATAGTTGAAATTATTGACTTCATGTGTTCAATGGTATAACTACTGTCTCAACTCTGATCTTACCTTTTTCCTGAAAACAGTTTAGTTGATGGCTAACGCAGGGACAATCATACAGGTAAATCATAAGAGTAAATATTATTCTTGCAATAAAAAAAATTGGGCAAGTGTTGATAACATTTTATTACATGTATGTAGGACTCTGAACCACGATGGTCAGGCTTATGTGTGATGGTTTGACACTGAAGTGGGATGAAGGCATTGTGACGCTATCTTGTTTATAGCTATGCTGACGTGCGATTGGCTACATAAACTATATTTTCAATGCTTTTCAATTTGATGAAGAAGTCAATTGGTTTGTTTAAAAAAATTTGTTGGGATTTTAGGTGAATAAAGAGCTTGTATAAAGCCTTTGATACTATGGGAAACAGGGAGTGATTGGTTGAGATAGGAAAGATCTCTCATTTAGTATTGCAACTGTAACTTAGGACATACAAACACAATAAAAATATTCAATGCAAATTTATTTACTTACTATTAAAAAATTCTCCTTCTCATAATAGAATTCATATCTGCAGATTTTAACTAGCCATCACATGTGATATAGACAATCACACATTAGCGAACAGACCACAACACTTAAGCCCAGACCATCATAGCCAAATCATCTCTGAGTCCTACATTTATATATATATAGATATATAGGAAGATGTGGTATGAGTGCCAATGAGACAACTCTCCATCCAAGTCACAATTTATAAAAGTAAACCATTATAGGTCAAAGTACGGTCTTCAACACGTAGCCTTGGCTCACACCTAAAAGCAAGCTATAAAGGGCCCCCAAAAATTACTAGTTTAAAACCATTCAAATGGGAAAACCAACGGTCTTATCTATATAAAAAACGAGAAACACTTACGAACCACATCAACAAACGACAACTACTGAACATCAGATTCCTGACTATATATATATATATATCAAAAAAGTAATTGAATTAGAAGTGTTATATTTTCCAATGTGACAACTATCTACCAGAGACCAACAAACAATGTTAAATATTACAGAGTTATTATAGTAAAAAAAGTCAGACATATAACTCATCAGACCATACTCTTAACAATGTTGAGAATAATAATAAATCACTATTGATAATTGTATTAACCAAAAGATTTACAGAGACTTCAACTGACTAAACATTGACTTTCTGACAACTTCATTGAAAGACATACCTACATTCGCAAACAATCATATTACTAGCGCTACATCTACATTCATAACTCTTAAAGTTAAGCAACCAACAATCAATCAATCTATATTCATATCCCTTTATTGTTCAGAAAGCATTATTATAAATTACTAGCATTGCATTTAGACCATGAAGATACACAATTGAAATAGACATTCATACAATACAATAAGACTGAAAAAGTTTAATCTTAACCCCTATAAAACATTACAAAATTCAAAATCTAATCCATGCTTATAAATACATGATAAAATACATTTATACTTCTTATATGTTCGTTTCTTTCTTTTAACAGGACAAAGTTCTGGATATTGTTTAGACCTATATCCAAGACTTAGATACCAACAGCCACACTTATCAGCAAGCAAATAATGGACTATAGAAAAATAAAAGACCCGTTGTCATATATGACCACTGAAACTTTTATGCAGCATTGTTCTTTGTATCTATAACAATAGAATTAATTAAAGATTAGACATACATTTTTCATACTGTGCTTGCATTTTAATTTAATAAAAATAATTCTAGAAATTGGAATAGCTCCTCAATTGTTTTTGTTCTTATTCATCCTTGACTTTCAAATATTTGACTTTGAGGGTTCCAGATGAAGGAAAATCCAGAAAAGCACTTTGGACGAATGAAATTTATAACCTTTTGTTTAAATTTTTTTTTTAAAGTACATTTGTAGCAATTTTTTATGTAACTGTTTTCTTTAAATTACATGTTTATGGCCCGATCAACCCCTTTGAAGATCGTCAATCTTTTGATCATTTGATCTCGGTTAATTAGTGCAATCACTTCTGATTACAAGTGTGCAACAATTAAGATGTTTCCTTTGCAATTTCCTTCAACCAGACAATTTGTAAGCACAGATGAATCAACTTATTTTTAAAGCAATTATTTTTATTAAAAAAATGATGAATGTTGGCTTTGATAATAGACAAATAAGTGAGTGATAATGGACATTTTTTTTTATATATAATGTACCACGAATCATTTTAAAATAGCGAAATTATGATTATTTTCAAGAATCTTTTTTTCTATATGACAACAAGTTCTTCACACATTTTTTTCCCCAGAAAACTAAAGTCCATGCATTTAAGAACAAGTAACTTTTGCTTACACCATATTTTTGATACCCATGAATGAAATAGCTTCTTCAGTGTATGATGTAATCTCTCTGTTTTTGACTCATAATTATCATGAAAAGGACTAATGTGGTGACCTTATTATGTAGGTCAAATTGAAGACAGATTTACCAGTGTTTTGTAAGAATTAGATCACAGAATTTTTACAAACATAGATATTTATATACAGAGTCCTGTATATGTTTATTTGGAAATCAAAAGTTTTATTTCTTGACATTTATATACATGCAAATGTAATATCTGCAAATAGCTTTTAAATTAAAATCTGAAGAAGAGATTTACTCTTCAGTTTAAATTTATTCCTAAACTGTCTTGTTGGCACCTTTGGAATATTTGTTTGTGGTCAGATATTAATGCATTGTGAAAATTATTTTTTTATGTATATTAAAAATAAAGATCATAAAAACAATGCTGTTTATGATTTGACACTAGGGAAGGTTTCGTGAAAAAAGGGAAGACTAAAAAGAAGAATGTAGAGAGGGTGCCATGTGGAACATGCATTTTGTCTTAGATGCATGTTTTTTTTATATATTAGTTGTTATTGGCTTTGAACAAGCTGCCAGTAATTGTGAGTACTCTCCGATCTGTACTTAGTGTCTTTTTGTTGTTAGGATGTACAAGTACCCGGTCACATCCACGTGTTTTTGTTATATGTATTTCTATTTGTATCCATCTGATGAGTTGAGCCTTTTTCAACTGATTTTTGTCAAGCCTGCGACTTTTGTCACAGAAAGCTCAACATAGGGATAGTGATCCGGTGACGCGTTAGCTAACGTCTTAAAAGCTTTATATTTTAGAAGGTTGAATACCTGGATGCTTCATACTTTGTATATAGACGCCTTTATGTTACTAAGGTTCTGTCTGTCACATGTCCATTGTCCTTGACCTCATTTTCATGGTTCAGTGACTACTTGAAAAAAAAGTTCATTTTTTTTATGTTCATTTCTCTCTTATTATAAGTAATAGGATAACTATATTTGGTATGTGCGTACCTTGCAAGGTCCTTATGCCCGTCATACAGTTTTCACTTGACCTCGACCTCATTTCATTGATCAGTGAACAAGGTTAAGTTTTGGTGGTCAAGTCCATATCTCGGATATTATAAGCAAAAGGTCTACTATATTTGATGTATGGAAGGACTGTAAGGTGTACATGTCCAACTGGCGGGTGTCATCTGACCTTGACCTCATTTTCATGGTTCAGTGGTTATAGTTAAGTTTTTGTGTTTTGGTCTGTTTTTCTTATACTGTATGCAATAGGTCTACTATATTTGGTGTATGGAATGATTGTGAGGTGTACATGTTCAGTACATGTCTTGCAGTGTCGCCTGACCTTGAGGGTTGGGGTCAAGCTAACATGCTTAACCCTGCCACATTCTGTATCTATGTGTCTGTCCCAAGTCAGAAGCCTGTAAATCAGTGGTTGTCGTTTGTTGCTGTGTTACATATTTGTTTTTCCCTCCTTTTTTTGTACATTAATAAGGCCATTACTTTACTCATTTGAATTGTTTTATATTTGTGATTTCAGGGCCTTTTATAGCTGACTATGCTGTTTGAGCTTTGCTGTACGGTGACCTATAACTGTTAATTTCTGTGTCATTTGGTCTTTTGTTGAGATTTGTCTCATTGGCAATCATACCACATCTTCTTTGTTATATATGATACATCAAACATACTGTGGATTGAGGAACAATTGACAGTGTAGATACTTCAATATTATTTTCCATAAGACCATGGATTGATTTGACCACCCACAACATGTTGTGGTCTTATCTCTACATTATTATCCACGGGACCATGGAGTGATTTGACCAATCACAACATTTTGTGGTCTTATCTCTATATTATTATCTACGAGACCATGGATTGATTTGACCAATCACAACATGTCATGGTCTCATCTCTACATTATTTTCCATAAGACCATGGATTGATTTGACCAATCTCAACATGTTGTGGTCTTATCTCTACATTGTAATCCATTTCTTATAAAAAAAATCATTGACACAATAGAATATAGATGGACACGCTGCTATTTCTTATGAAAGCCGTAAAAACGGGGGAATGCAGACGGACACAGCGCTATTTCGTATAAAAAATCATTAATACAAGGGAATATAGACGGACACACTGCTGTTTCTAATGAAAGCCGTAGAAACGGGGGAATACAGAGGGACACAGCGCTATTTCATATAAAAATCATTAATACAAGGGAATATCTATAGACGGACACACTGCTATTTCTAATGAAAGCCGAAGAAACGGGGGAATACAGAGGGACACAGCGCTATTTCATATAAAAATCATTGATACAAGGGAATATAGACGGACACACTGCTATTTCTTATAAAAAAATCATTGATACAGGGAATATAGACCAACACGCTGCTATTTCTTATGAAAGCCGTAGAAACGGGAAAATACAGACGGACACAGCGCTATTTCGTATAAAAATCGTTGATACAAGGGAATATAGACGGACACACTGCTGTTTCTAATGAAAGCCGTAGAAACGGGGGAATACAGAGGGACACAGCGCTATTTCATATAAAAATCATTAATACAAGGGAATATCTATAGACGGACACACTGCTATTTCTAATGAAAGCCGAAGAAACGGGGGAATACAGAGGGACACAGCGCTATTTCATATAAAAATCATTGATACAAGGGAATATAGACGGACACACTGCTATTTCTTATAAAAAAATCATTGATACAGGGAATATAGACCAACACGCTGCTATTTCTTATGAAAGCCGTAGAAACGGGGAAATACAGACGGACACAGCGCTATTTCGTATAAAAATCGTTGATACAAGGGAATATAGACGGACACACTGCTATTTCTTATGAATGCTTAAAAACGGGGGAATACAGAGGGACACAGCGCTATTTCATATAAACATCATTGATAAAAGGGAATATAGACGGACACACTGCTATTTCTTATAAAAAAAAACATTGATACAGGGAATATAGACCGACACGCTGCTATTTCTTATGAAAGCCATAGAAACGGAGGAATAAAGACGGACACAGCGCTATTTCATATAAAAATCATTGATACAAGGGAATATAGACGGACACACCGCTATTTCTTATAAAAAAAAATCATTGATACAGGGAATATAGACCGACACACCGCTATTTCTTATGAAAGCTTAAAAACGGGGGAATACAGGGGACACAGCGCTATTTCATATAAAAATCATTGATACAAGGGAATATAGACGGACACACTGCTATTTCTTATAAAAAATCGTTGATACAATAAAATATAGACGGACACACTGCTATTTCTTATGAAAGCCGTAGAAACGGGGGAATGCAGACGGACACAGCGCTATTTCGTATAAAAAATCATTAATACAAGGGAATATAGACGGACACACTTCTATTTCTTATAAAAATGATTGATACAATGGAATATAGACGGACACACTGCTATTTCTTATGAAAGCTTAAAAAACGGGGGAATACAGAGGGACACAGCGCTATTTCATATACAAATCATTGATATATACAGGGGAATATAGACGGACACACTGCTATTTCTTATAAAATATCATAGATACAGGGAATATAGACCGACACGCTGCTATTAGAAACGGGGGAATGCAGATGGACACAGCACTATTTCGTATTAAAAAATCGTTGATACAAGAGAATATAGACGGGCACACTGCTATTTCTTATTACAAATCATTGATACAGGGAATATAGACTGACACGCTGATATTTTCTATAAAATAAATCATTGATCTCTGTCTCTCACACATAGAGAGCATAGCTAAAAAGGCTAATTCAACCAGGGCCTTCATCCAAAGAAATCTCCAGCACTGTCCCCAACAAACAAAAGCTGCATGCTACACAACGCTAGTTAGACCATTGCTTGAGTATGCATGCTCAGTCTGGGACCCGTTCACCAACCTTAACATACAGAAACTAGAAAGTGTACAAAGAAGATCAGCCCGGTTTTTATTGAACAACTACCAACAAACCAGCGGTGTAAAATCAATGCTAAACACTTTACAGTGGCAACCACTGGCCGAGAGAAGGGCCAACTGCAAAGCAGTAATGATGTACAGAATAGTACATGGCCTCGTAGCAATACCAACGCTAGAGCTACATAATGCATCATCCGTAGCTAGAGGACACACAACACAATTTCTCTTACCGTATGCCAAAACTTCAACATACAGGCATTCCTTCTTTCCAGACAGCATACGGATATGGGACAGCCTCCCACAACCTTTGGTGGACAGTACCTCACTAGATGTTTTCAAGCAGGGGTTACTGAGCTGCAGTATCCCTTAATCGCACCATCAGACTGTTTTTAACTTGCACTGGTAAATATTTTCTTGCACCTTTGTTGTCACACCCAGCATGCGCAATAGTGCGACAATACTGCTGATGAAACCGTAGAAACAGTGGAGTCGTGAACGAAGGACACAGCATTAAGTTTTTCTTATATAAATCATTGAAACAGGAGAATAAAGACAGACATAGTGCTATTTGTTAGAAACATATAACAATATATACATATGTCTCTTGTGCAAATGAAAACAGACTGACCCCACACTTTTTCTTTGAGAAAATCATTGAAAAGAGGGGAGTGCAGATGGACACACAGTATTTCTTTCTGAAGTATCATTTAAACAGGGGAATACAGACGGACACACTACAATTTATTATAAAAGTCGTTGGTACAAAGGAATTCAGGCTGACACACTTGTAAAAATCCTAAATATAGGCTGATTCAAAGTTACTTCTTATATTTCCTTGACCAACCATTGGATATTGGGGATACGGACAGGGAGTTCAGCCACATTTCGATTTGTGTATATAAATTAATATTTCTGTCTAGTTGTTAAACAGAGCTAGGTGTCACAAAAAAGGCTTATAGGGTCTTTGCATCGGAAATAAACACATTTATTCTAAAAACCAGTTGTTGGCATGATGGGAGTCGTGTTCTTCTCATATATTGTATGACAGTATGATACTAAACCCCTAACGGACGGTGCTTGATTGTCATATGATGAAGACATAATCTTTCAGTCAGTTTAACCGAGGTCTGGAGCTGGCATGTCAATAACTGCTAGTGGTCCTTAGTTAATTTATGTATCATTAGCATTTTGCTTAGTTTCTTTTGTTGCCTATTCTGACACATTCCCCATTTCCATTCTCAATTATATTATGATTTTAACTGATCTTAAGTACAATCGTATTTAATAAATTGCGATGAATCTAAGTCATTTTATTTTTTGGGAAACTTTGTCCTTGATGTTTCTCAATACTAGTATTTGACAAATTGTTTCTTTCAGATATCAGAACTCTGCAATGCCACAAATGGCTGTGTGTTGAAGACCGTACTTTGACCTATAATGGTTTACTTTTACAAACTGTGACTTGGATGGAGAGTTGTCTCATTGGCACTCATACCACATCTTCTTATATCTATATATGTATATATACAACTTTCTTATTGTATCTAATATGCTTTTAGGAAGTTAATTATAACTATTCTGTTTCCCTGAATTTGAGATTCATCTTTCTCATTCTTCAAATTGTATTTAGATTCATCCAACTGCAGTGAAGCCTTTATCAAAGAAGTGTGGTTGGGTAAATTTAAGAATTTTACCATGTCTACTATTTCCAAACATACTTTGGCTTCAAATACCATAATAGTATGTTTGCTGTTTTTTTTTTAAATCAAACTACCTGAATTCGAAGAATGTTACACATACATTATGCACCTTCATTTAACTTTAAAAGGGCATAAAAACAGATGTAAACAATTCAAAGACCACCTTGGCCATGTTTACCTTTTCTAATAAATATTTCCATTTGTTTGTTAATTTAAACTAGATATTAGCAAGATACAGAAGTACTTTGTAAAGTCTTAAAGGAGAATATACCATCATGTACATCAGGACCAATGCAGCTTCTATTTAATACTTATTCTTCAAGATGACTTGTTCCTATATTAATTGTTCCTCATACAGTGACTCTATACTGTTTAAATTTTTTAAGATGATAAAAAGACAGAAACAATTTATCTTTTAATAATCAATAATGGCTTTATTAAGAATTGAATAGTTATTCATACAAAGCATATAATCAGATAACATTATTTGGTAAATATCACTTTGATCTTGAAAATAAAGTATAATCATAAATCATACATCCTCAAGGGAACAACAATCTTACTATATATATATATATATATCAATCACCTCCCTTTGTCATGTAAAACTATATACAATACAAAGGGTTTCCAGACTGTGATACCTTTGACTCATCAACAATTAAACAATGAATTCTTTGCAAGGAAATTAATTTAAAAAAAATATATATTGAGAATAAATATATGTAACAAGAAACTTTTATCAAGATAAAGTGGTCTCCATTTCTTAATGAATAATTTGCAAGTGCGACATCAGCCTTAACTGATTTCATGACTAAAATAGTTTTACTGACACATTACAGGTTGATCACAAATAAGTCCGTTTCTTTTTTGAAAAGAGGCTGATCTCACAAAGTGGTTCTATTTCTCTTACTATACTTGACACCTACAAAATTTGAATATTGCAGGCAATGACCACATAGCAATTTTAAATGTGTTGCTTGAAAGACGGGATGTACTCACTATTTAAGCATCTGATATCACTAAAGTACTTTATAAGAACTTTTATAGTTCAAAGCTAGTGTTTAGAAATCTCTTAATATAACCTCTGATGGTTGGTTTTAATTGCACTCATTTGTGTATACATATGCGAGTTTAAATTTCCCTTTCGTAACAGATAACCAGATATATTTGGAAATGATTCAGGAATATACACATCTTAAGAAGGGACCAAAGAAACATCACTGTCCAAAAAGGAAAATTAGGAATCAATGAAAACAGATTGTAGAAAGTAAAAAGTTCCCAGTTTGTAATCAATAAGTAGTTACACAATGAAGTAAAAAGATTTACACGAAAAAAAAAAAATAATTCTAGAATATGCACTACAATAGTTAAATAAGTTAAAAGTTAAATATTTAGGAAGATGGATAAAGATAACTGTTATAGTAGTTGGTGCAAGTTTTCATTGAATCGAATAAAAGTCATTTGCATACCAGACGAAAGTAATAATGTCTCTTGGGTGTCATAATTTACGTTCTACCAAGGCCCTGGTGGCATGTCATGAAATCTGCTATGTAGCCAGTGTGACAGACATAATTTAAATGAATAGTTTTAGTTTGCACAAATAGGAATAATGAAATATTAAAAAGAATGCATATCCTTGAGACTGATAACTGTTACAGTTTTCACATAATTCTTGGTTTCAACGAATAAAAATTTGTTGTATGTCTGTCTTTCCTATTGTTGAATGCAGGGTACCTAATTACAACTATATCAGAAACATGTATCCATATTGCAATTGTTTTGAATCTCAATTGTATATTTTCAGATTATAAAGTGTGGAATAGTATAAAACAATATTAAAGCTAGGTTAATCTTTGACCAAAGTTTTGGTTCCAAACATACATGATTGCTACTTAAGATACCTAACATATGTCACAGAAAAGGGGAAACATTTTGTATCAGACATTTAAATCAAAGTTTACGCAAAACAGAACAAAACTTTTCATACATGAATACACGATACAACAAATTAGTTAGAACATACAGTTAGCTAGTTACCAAAAAATATTAATAATGGAAATGAGAAAATCAAATATTTAAATTAAATTATAAAAACTAACAATAGTTAAAAGTTAACATTAATATAATTAAAACTACCAATTAAGTAGTTTGAGTTTAGAATGGACTTTTAAAAAAATTACAATAAAATACATTAACAATGAACAAGTTTAAACAATCGAATTTACAACTATCAAAATATGTACAATATAATTTTGCAACAAATTGATAAAAATGGCCTATAACAGAAGTGTGAGGGTAGGAAGGAATGGCTTATTTTGAGACATTTTATAAGGTAATCAAGATTTTTTCCTACACAAATAAATCTCTTACATTGGAATAATTTTAGAATATACTATAATATATAATATACTATAAACTGCATGTAGCTAATCAATTACAAAAGAACAATAACAGTAAGTAAAAAGATTACAAAAATTGTAAATGAATTCCATCTGGTTTTACACCACTGTCCTTCACTTTCTTCTTTTGGTCTGTACTTTTCTGAAAAGAAATAAGAACATCAATTTTTTATCTTATTATATGCCTATGCAGTAGAGACTTTGCTCATTGTTGTACAGTGACCTATAGTTGTTAATTTCTGTGTCCTTTGGTCTCTTGTGGAGAGTTGTCTCATTGGCAATCATACAACATCTTCTTTTTTTTATATATGATCATTAACAAAACAAAAACAAACTATTAAGCAGTTGTATATTGAACAATCACAATGATTTGTTAAACAACAGAAACAAAAGAAAATGTTTAAAACTTCTTTTTTGAAAATCAATGTCCATGAATTCTATTGTGTGTTCATTAGTGAATTGCCAATTAACTGAATATTCTATTAATGTGCTATGAAAATATTTTTAACCAAAATCAACATATAAACAATAACATTAACAAATCAAAGCCAATCCGGTCTAAAACAGAATCCGGAGTAAAAGGAAAAGTAATCGAGACAAAATTGCAACCTCTAAAAGTTGAGAACGTATAAAATTAAATAAAATGCTTAAATTTCAAAATCTGAAGAACTTCAAGCCCCAAATCATAACGGATATATATAAATTAATTTTGATATTAGTACTCTGAAATCATAGATACAATTACTTAAAAACAGAATACAGTTGTAATTTAGCTCTCATAATTTTTTTGGTTACTAGCTTGCATATAAGACTACTTACCTTAAACACAGAAGGCACTGTGGTTACTTTTCTTTTCATATTAGATGTCCCTGAAAATATAGAACAACAAAAGAGCAGAAAAACATATAAAATAAAAAGTTTTTCTCTGAAGCTACCTCTACGATTGAAAGCAATAATGAATCTCAAAAATATAATTTGGCTTCAATATGCTTGAAGATAAGTTGTCTTGGCTCTGTTTTATTGTCGCCGCTTTTTTAAATGACAACCTGATCATTAAAAATTGTCCTTTAGAACGAACTAGACATTGCATTGTTTTCCTTATAAAAATGTGCGAAGCAAATACCAATCTTAATCCTTTTGTTTTGCCTGAGACTGGTATTTAAATAAATAACCTCATAAAATTTTGCAATTTTGCCACCTCATTGACTCAACATAAAGACTATGGCTTAAAAAATATAAATGTCAAGAAGACTTACCGCTAGCATCGTGAACTTTTCTTGACTTGCCAACTTATACAATGAAGGTACCCATTATCAGTCTCTTGAAATAACACTATTAGATAAAGCACCTTCATTACCAGCTAATCAGATCATTATCAGAGTATGAAGCAAAATTAGTTTGTACAGTTATTTTGATTATCTAAGTGACAATATTGATAAAAAAAAATTAACAGGGTTAAACAAATGACTGAAGAAATATGATTCATATGATCATACAGTTAAAATTGAAATATACAAGTATGAAACAACACCAGAAAGTAATTCTAAATGAATTTTTGTCTGAATTTGTATCTTAATATCAACACAAAAGATTAACCAGAAAAGTCAGTATACTGATGAAATTAATTATATTGTATCCAAAACCAATCATCAGTTCTGATTATTTTTTTTTGGTTTAATAGTTATTGAAAGATAAAAAAACTAAAATAAATCTTACTTTAAGATAATTTACAGACTTGTACAGCCCCATTACACTGCAATTGCAGAAGTCTTTTGCTTTTATTCACAAAATAACTGTACAAACTTGTTCATTTCAAAAGTCTAGTAAATAGTTCTGGCAATGAACGGTGATAATATAGAACACGCAACCAAATATTTTTCTAGGCAAGATATGCAGCTGCAATACCACATCTTTTTTCAAAAGCTTCCCGTTTCCTCTCACACCAGTGGTAAATCATAAACTGTAAATAAAAACAGAATTTCTCTAATGTCATGGATCTAGCAGAATATTTAATTTTCTGTATAAAAGAATTGAACTGTTCACATATTTCAGTATTAAGTCCTTGTAAAGGAGCAAGTCTCTGTGATTTGTAACAATAAGGACACTTGTGAGAATATCCATGAAACAGATCATGCCAGAATCGAGTATTTTCCCAGAATCCAGGTTCTCTATTCAAACAATACTCTTCTAACTGACATGAAAAATCATAAAAAACTTCTTCTGGTGCCTCTTCCAGATAACAGTAGGCAGATGAGAAGGGATCTTTCCTTCCCTCGGAGCCAGGAATAATGTGAAATCCATAGCAATGACCATAATGTTTAGGGTCAAACCATAAAAACAAATATGTTGTGCCTTTCCGGGAAACCTCAGGATAAATCTTATTGCACTGTTCATTGGCTCTGGCAGGAAGATCGTCATAATTTTTCGAATGGGCTTTGTCATTCATTGTATACTTTGGCAAGTCTCGTTGTTTCTCTCCAGATGGGGTGAAGTAGTATGCCACACCATTTTTTGTTGGATTATAAGAACCATGCTGTGGATTTGCTGGAGCTGCTGGCTTATTTAGCTGTTTAATTTCATCAACCCTAGACGTCAGATACTGAAAAAAACTAATAACATCTGTTAGATTATTTCTGTTAGATTGAGCAGCATTCAGAACATCTCTGATTTCTGGTGAAAATTCAGAAACCAAGTTCAGTCTGCTGCAGTCACCATTCTTAATTTCATTTAGAATGGACATAAATAATTCAGTGTATCTGAAAGGAATAAAAGCAGAAAGTGAATGATTTGATGATAAACCTTTAAATATAATGGATAACTTTTTCATCAGAACATCAGGGTACTCATTGCAATAAAATCTTCGGATAATATCTTTGCACTTTTCATCTACAGTGTTTATTAAATTCTCTGTTCGATCAGTTTCTGTCTGAAAATTTAAGATGTCATTTGCTCCTGTTAATCCTAATCGTTTTCGTGCAAGGTATGCTAGATGATCTCTACATTTTCGTATGTTGTCATTTTCATTTGGTAAATCAGCATGGAAACGCAGAAATGCTCTATCATTTCTCCTGTGACAAGGATCAATCAATTCAGCGGTTGGTTCAGGTGTTTCAATTGGTTTAACATTTGATTGACGAAAACTAATACCAATTTTTGTACCATCACAAGCCAGGAATTTCGGATTACTTTTACATATGTAACACTGCTTTCGGAAGTCAATTTTAAATTTGCTACTCCATGCAAACCACCAAGAAATAAAAGTTTGAACAGACATAAATTTAGCAGAAGAATAAATTCTGGAATATTTGTTAGACATAATTTTACAAAAAGCACTAAATGTGACATGTGTGTTAAGAGCATGATCAATAAAATCCCATCCGATTTCATCTCCAGCAGCAGTTTCTTTTGACAAAAAATGGAGGCTGTTGATTGCACCACTATACTTCACCAAGCATCCTGGACATCCAGCAAGGCATTCACGATCTCTGACCTTTAACAAGTAAAAAGGATTCATGGTAATTTTTTTGAAGTTTTTGAAGTTCATTCAAATATTTAACCTTTTTATCTTTTCAGTTTAACCATTTTGGTCTTAAATCTTAACACAAAATTGGACAATACACATTTACCTCATTTTGCATATATTCTGCAAGTTCTGTGAGTGTAAAAAATACATTTTGTTTACTTATCAATTGTTTAATTGTCTGTAAAAATATTTGACAGTCTACTGATGGATTTGATTAAACTGCCATTGTTCAGAGTACAAAGCCAATAAGGAGAATATTTGAACAAGTAAGATTTAAGAGCAACTCAAAGTTAACTTTTTTTTCAACCTATAATGTCAGACAAATTGAGTTATGTGTACTTAATACAGCAATTGAAACATAGATATGTAAAATTATGACTTAAAATAAACCTTACACTTTATCTTAACTTTGGTGGATAATCTCATTGGCAATCATATCACATCTCCTTATTTTTATACTGTGAAAATATACAGAGCAGTTCTTTAACATGTTTAACACTAAACTGACTTATTTTCTTGTGTTTCTACAACAGTTCAAAAAGTTCCACTTACAACATATCTTGCAGGTCCATTTGTCAGGTACACTGTTGGTCTATACCTTACTTCTGACAATTTTCCCTCTGGGAACATCTCGCTGTAGTAACCAGTCTGTAATAAATGTATATTTTAGTGTAATACAATATTCTGATATAAAAAATAATCTATTTCCGAAATACAAACAGAAGATGTAAAGCTTTCAGTAAACCATAAAATTTTATGGTATCTATTTATGAAATAAACACAAAACAGACCAAGAAATATGTCTCCTTTTAATCCAGTCACACCAAAGACAAGTATAGTTGTTTTCAAATATTTCGAATTACAAGAAAGGAAATTGAGTTGTATACATACCCCACATGGACAATTATCCAATGGTAGAGGAGGACACAAAACCAGTGTTTGCCCAGTAAAACATCCTGAACTATCTCTGTGAATATCTTTAGCTCCATCAAATATAGCATGTCTCAACTGTATGGCCTCTCTAAAGCTAGAATCATTGTCCTGTTTCGGTGGGTGTTGACTTAAGCTTGGAAAATCCCATAACCCTGTGTTTTCTTTGAAAACGCCATCCTAAAAAATACCATCATACATTTAAATAATGAATTCTTACACATTTTTTACCATGATACCAAAATTTTAAACATATAAATGATGCTGCAACACTGATCTTTTGCAGTAATAAGCTACAGAATTGGGATGACCTAATACCGGCTTTAAATGTTTTTTTGTGTCGCCTTGATTACCAGCATTCAGATCAAGGCTTGTGGTACAAGTTTGAAAGACAATTGTCTATTGCATTATCTTGTTGTGGAGGGTGAAATGTATCTTTAAAAGTTTTGGACTTCAATTCACATTAAATTTTGTTTATATATGTATTAGAAAAAGTAAGACCTCGTAATTGATTAATTTTTAACCAGGATGAAATCCAACTATGTATCTTGTAGGCCTTCTTTAAATATACCTGTGAAATTCTATCTGTTTGCACAGGTTCATTGAGTTCTGCATCATCATCATCATCCGGGTTCGGTTGGTTGTTAAACTGATCATCGTCTTCGTCATCATTGTATTCCTCCATGTTATCCAGATTAACTAACCATAAATTTCTGTTCTTCTTCATGGCATCAAGATGAGGACATATATTGGTAGTTTCTTCCAGATATATTATTTTTCTTTGAGAACATCCATATATTGTTTGGCATTCCCCAGATTGACATATTAAACGGTTTTTGGATAGGTGAACAAAATTACAGGATTCAGTATCATTTTCGTCTCTTACGGTAAATTTCTTGGTTTTCAATGTTGATGGCAAAATACAAACAGGTTTGTCCAGCAGTTCTAAAGATTTAATAACAATTTCTTGACTTTTAGTTGGTTGTGGAATGGATTCTGGAGTAAAAACATTAACAAAAATTGGTTCAATCACTTCCTTAAAAAGACGAATATGGCAGCATCGAATATTAACATCATAGATTTCAGCATCAAGATTGTCATTTAAAGTTGCAAGTTGAAGAAGGGTGGCATATAGTTTACAAGTACAATTATAATGTAGTTCATTTCCTTCCAAAGTTCTAGTCATATGAACATAAGAAAAGTCATATATAGTTCCAGTATTCATGTTGATATCATTCATGCATAATATGTCAATGTGGGGTTTGTGAAGTCTCCATTGAAGGGTTCCTGTTTCTATTTGAGCAGTTTTATACTGTTGGTACAATGAATTTTCTGTGGATCTGTTTTCTTCAATAAAATCTGGATTTAAGATGGTCAAATTTCTAAGAATGTCTTCCTCTGTAAGAGCTTTGCGTCGGGTTCTAGCAGATCTTTGTTCTTCAGGTTGGCTAACATCGGTGTAATTTGAGGTTTGGTTTACCGTACTCTGGATTGCAGATGTTTCTGTTGCTGGGTTCTTGTACCTTTTAACTAGCTGATAGATGGTCCCAAAATCTTTGTCTCTGCAGTGGAGTAATATTAAATTCCTTAAAGATGCTGGTTTCTTCTTCCCTACTTCATCTCTAACAGACAGCATCCTAGCATATCCCACATGGGCCTGATCTACTTCATCCCAGTAATGGTTGTTGGGGATAGCCGATATTATCATGCACTTCTCATGCCAAGTGAAATGTGAACTTCTTGGAGTATCTAATAGAGATGAAAATTCAGGTAGATGTTGGGGTACACCATTCACTCTATACTGCTGAAAGGAGTTTTCCCATGTATGTGAGGCCGATCTAAATGCACCTGTAGCCTCATGGTACCTAAAAAGAAAAGCGATTATTTTAATATTTTTTATTTCATTATTAACATTCTTTAATGTCTTAAAGAACTGTACATATTGTGATGTACAATCTCATATGTCCTGTTTAATCAAATTTATCATGCATATTTCTCTGAATGTTGTGCAAATGTTGTTTTTCTTTGTTTGTTGTTGAACTGATAGAAATAATTAACTTGTAACCAATTCTATTTCACAAAGTACTTCTTGTTCAATTAGTAGAAGTATATTTTCCATATTCGTATCCAATTTTCTCTTTATATTTTTCAGCATGATTGAAAATACAAGTACAAATTGTCACATTTAAAAGAATACTAGTTAAAATTGGAACATCCAAAAGATGCTTTCCAAATACAGCACTATCTTAATACGACACCAAATGTCTCTAGTGGTAAGCATAAAAGGATTATAATAGTACTTTTAGTAAATTGTTGTTTTACTTTCTCATCGACATTTAACTCTACACATATTCAAGCAGACAATTTTTGCTTAATATCTATTACTACAAACTTTTAATACATTTATCTTACTAGAAAAAAAATAATTGTGAGCTGCAAACTTTTCAGTAGAACTCACACTCAGTTTTAGTAAGATATATGTACTTTCTAAAAAGGTGTATTGGTCTTATACAATATTCTTTTTCTAACCTTGCTAATAACTGATTTGTTTCTTTGTGGGAATTCTTTTTAATTACATGCAAAACAGTTCCAAGAAACTGGAGGTTTTCTGATGTTGGACTTAATGTTTGTGCCTTGGCCAAAAGATTTCTGTGTGCATTCACAACACTTCCTTTATTTTTTGTCATCAAATAATTAAATCTTCGCCCAATATCTGCAGAGGGTTGACCTGAAATATATAATATTGAATTCAATATAGGTGGTAGTTTAAAAATTCAATCTCTAATCCTAAAAGTTGATTTCAAATCTTGAATGACTCCATTTTAGCATAGATCTACAATAAGAATAGATATTATCTTGTAGGTCACATATATAGGATATGAAAAAGACATTGCAATTAACATAAAATGAGTACTGGTAACTCTTTTTAATATTCAATATTTGACCAATTGAACGTAAATAAGATGTAGTCACATTGTATACCACACAAGAGTATTCTCAAGGTTTCTGGAAATCTAAGTATTCAACGATATTCTTTTCTTAAACTTCTGTAAAAGACTTCTATGCCAATGTTCTTTCAAACTTCAATATAAAAACTGCGGGGGCATGGACCTTGTTTTTTTGTTTAAGTATATTGAAATTAACAAAATATTAGTTTTATAGGGGAAACTGAATTTTTCCTTAATGAGGAAACACTAAGCGATAGAATTTGATAAAATTCAACGAGAAAATTGATTTGCATTAATACATCTAAACTATCAGATAAAAATAGAGGGTTTTTGATAGTTTAATCTTTAATTTAAAGATATTTTTGTTGTATATTTAATGATAGTTGGTTAAATAAAATTAAAACAAAGAAATATTTCTATAAAATGCCAAGAAGGGATGCTTAGAAAACGACACACGATCTCCCTGGATATTTTTTTTTCAAGTGCTTTTAAACTTACTTATAGCCTTATGACTTCTTTTTCTGTCCAATCTTTTAGCATATCTTTGATGGTACTGCGTTATGTCTTCTGGGGTTGAAACTTGGCACCAAATGAACTTTCCCATTGAAATATTGTCAAAATTCTCTTCCATGTAAGATTTTACATATCTTATACCTGTAATATATTAATAACAATTAAAATTAATTTCAAATCTAAAATGATCTCCTTATTTTATGTGAAAAGAATGCAGATTGAAATGAACTGCTTAAAAATACTAATGTTAATGCTTTATACCATCCTTTTACACAATTTTAATCGATAACTATTACAGATGATTGCATGATTTTTTACTCTGTATATTACTAATGTGATAACTTTGAAATCAAAAGTTACGACACAAAAACTGCTAAGACATGTATTGCATTCTAATTACTACTTGACATACAACATTAAGGGACTCCTCTGTTATTGGGAAAAATATTGCTTAAAATAATTGGATATACTGTATATATGATTACTGCCTTTTGCCTAAAATGTTTCTTTTAGTAAGAATGTACCTTACAATTTAGAAACATGCAAACAGAACTTGAATTATAATAGACCACTACAGTTTGAGAAACCAACAAATATTGATTAGTTATAGAACAGTGAAGCTTATTCTTAACAAAATTTACCTTCAGCTAAAAAATAACCTTCCAAAACACCACTTTCAAAAAATCTACAGTAGCAGTTGTTCTCAATTTTGAACAATGAACAGTAAAAGGTCCCGTCAGATAAGGCTGGCAAAGCTATATCAAGAAGTGACTTCTCTAACTGCAATAAAAATGGTGTTTCTGGTGAAGCAAAGCCAGCTTCCTTCAGGGCAGATGAACAATGTTCCTCTTGGTGAATGACATCTGTACACTGACTTAAATTTTTGAATAGATTGGATTTCCATTCTGAAAAAAATTAAGAGTGTTGTATATGGCATATTACATGTATAGCTGGTAAAATAAAAGACAGGTTATTCCAATAAACTATCTTAAATTATATAACATGTGTGCATGGACTGCAAGAAACAATTGGAATGATGGCAAATAATTAATTAACTTTTGGAATTACTACTATGGTGCAAAAAAGATGCAGTGATTTTATTATCAATAGAGTTATTTATTTACATAATTTACTTAAAGTGCACAAGGATGAAGTATTAACTTCTTTGTTCATTCATTCACAGTATGGTACATGCATGACATGTATATGTACTAAAGCATAATTAGTCTTACCCCTATCATCAAACTGTTGTACAGTTGCTGCAGCTGGACACTGAAGTTCTGGTCTGGATGATGTTGCTCCAAAAACAGTCTAAAATATATAAAAAAAAAACCAATTCTATACAATTCCCTTTTAAAATATAGTTGTTCCATTAAAACAATTTACACACGATGTTTTTCATTTTATAATATGCATATAAATATATTCAATATGAATATATAAAACGTCTAAATATTAGTCAACATTCTTTCTTACCAGGGCGCTGAATCGTTACGAGTAAAGATAAATGTACACAATACTTAATTATATAAACGCCTAAAAAGTGTACAAAATATTTCATCAAAACACTGGACAGATATGACGCAAAATCTGTTAAAACCAAGTTCATTTATTGACAAATTACAAATGGTGCAGGTCCTCAAGTTCCTGGTTTCACTGGAAATCACAAAAGTTCACGTAAATTTTGAAGTAATAGAAAATATCTGACGCCACAATGTTAAAGTGATTCCTGTATGGCTTCAATAGTGGCGAATATTCTCGGATCAACCTACACAGATTTTCAAATAGTGATTAGGTGTATAAAATCTAGATGAAGCCAAGCCGCAAAAAGTTTAGAATAGGACAACTGTCCAATTCTAACATGTCTAACGTCACAGTACCCAAATTGCACCTCCTTCAGCAAAAATAGCGGTGGAAATCTAACAAGATTTCTTTGAAACAAAACAATTTGTATTTTTATGATTTGACATTATACATGTACACGTCCAAGACTACACGAATGAATTTTATTTTTACAGGACATTCGGTCTGGTAAACAACCTAGCTTTACCAGACCGAATGAAATTTTACCAGACCAATTTCTTTTTTACATCTCATTGTATATTATCCTACGAAATACAACAAACTTTTGACTTGTTGATCCCTACTCCTCTCCAAAATGCACAAAAACAAAATCATGTGACAAGAGTGTATATTTTAATGAAAGTTGTGCACAATTGCTTGAAAGCATTTCAGTGATAAAGAAAAGTTATGTGACATTTCATTGGATTTTGACATGCAAATTATTTGTGAACTAAAAATAATTAAGTTTCTGTAAAAAATATTTCCTGTATCTTCTTTCTTTTTCATATATCTTTTGGTTTTCAATTCTAGTGTTTATATTTCATAGCTATATTTTGTGAACCTGCTTGGATTTTTTTTTTTTATTTATTTATTATATTTGGTTGGCAAACCAGGAATTGGCCTTATCCGTTCCCGGAATCTGATCCGGTATTGTTTATATTTCCTGTTGATGGCAGCCATTGTTGTTTTTGAGAGTCAAATATGTTTTTACTCAGATTTACACATTACTTGTTGGAGATTTTCGGCATAAAGCTAACGGTTGAACAAAATAAACATCGCTGTCATGAATAACAAGCATTCTGAAAGTATTGCATGGCATTACATAGTCCCCTACTGGTTAAAATTTAATTGTACTGGAACAAAATGCTAACTTGATCTATAACTTGTCATGGTGTTAACTATACAACAAATATCAAGTCAATATCTTCAAGCATGACGAAAAAAAGTGCAGAAAACTGATAATTTAAGTGAATTTTCTAAGTCCAAGGACCATAACTCTGCAAAAAATGATCAAACCGAAACAAAATTCAAACTTGGTCTGTAACTTGTCATGATAAAACAATGTACCAATTATTAAATCCATATCTTCAAGAATGATGAAAAAAAAAAGCAGAAAACTGAATATTTGAGTGAATTTTCCAAGTCCAAGGACCATAACTCTGCACAAAATTATCAGAGCGGAACAAAATTCAAACTTGATCTGTAAATTGTCATGATAAAACAATTTACCAAATATCAAATCAATATCTTCAAGCATGAAGAAAAAAAGTGTGGAAAACTGATTTGCCAGACTGACAGAAGGACAGACAGACGGACAGACAGACGGAGTGCAAACCTAAAGTCCCCTTGGACTTCATCGGTAGGGGACTAATAAAGATGAACAAGAATTTTGAGATCATTTGAGAATTTTGCTCCCAAAATTGGGAAAAATGTAGGGTTTTTAGAAAAATCCATGAAAAATACAACACCAGACATTCGGACTGGAATTCATCAAAATTTTACCAGACCGATCCATTATTCACCGGATTTGTCCGACAAATTTCATGTTGTCTGACTTCTTTCTACCTAGGTAAATATATTAAATATACACAAAACTTTCACAGTATGTATCAACAGATGAAGCATTCACTGGAAAAGTAAAATCTACAGAAACGTCGCTATGCTATGTTCACAAAAAGTCATCTTTTAAAAATGAACAAATAAAGTATTTTCCAAGCATCTTATTTCAAAGTTAAATGGTGTAACTATAAAGTAAATAAGGATAAGTCTACAAAATAAACACATAATGGAAACTTTCGTCTAGACCATAACAAATGTAGATGAAAAAACTGTCAAATAAGGTGCAATTGTACCCTCACGTAATATTCTGGCCATATGTATAAGGGAGCAACCATTTAACTTCAAGGGGGGGGGGGGTTATGTTTTTTTTTCTTAGCAATTTTTTATCACGCAAAACACAACAAATTTATTATGTTGTTTGACGCGATCAATTAGATTTATTTTTTTTTGTCATTTGCTTAACTAGAATATTTTTTCATCAAGTTGGGGATCAGAATATTTTAGAAAAAAAAAAATAACATAACCCCCCACCCCATGAAGCAGAGTTCTCGAAAAGTGGTGGTCCTCAGGATTTGACCACCAAAATTTGCAAAGGACTGGCACAATTTCAGTATTTTGCAATAGAAATGATAGTGAAAACCAACATTTTTTCCTCAAGGACCACCAGGGGAAAAAAGAATACACCTTATCGCTATTCCCGGCTGCTTGAACTTTTGACGTCAACAACAATCACTTTTCCATTGTGGCGTCAGATATTTTGTTTTATGACGTCAAAATTTTACGAGAACCTGTGTGATATCCAGTAATGGCGGACAAATAGCGATAAGGTGTATTCAAGAACTCTGTTGAAGTTAAATGGTCGTTCCCTAACAGAGTACAGGCAGATTTGGTACGAAAGAAAAATCTAACCTGCTATTTATATAATGTCTTTTTTTTTAATGAAAATAGAAAATTTTAATGGCAATTTGATTCTAAAAGCCCAATCCCCCCCTTTTTCCACCAATGACCTTGTGTATATAAGTCACCGACACCGCAATAACTAATTGATGGATGAAAATATTGAGCTTTCAAAGCTCTATTAATCAACCTATGACATTTAAACTACAAATATTGGCTGCTGTTTAGTTCTGCAGAATATTGACACAATCCTATATAATTTTCACAGCCCGGCGATCAAACTGAAAATGAGATGCACGTGCTATAGATATTTAAAAACAGAATGGAATCTTCAATTTGAACCACTTACTCTTGAATCGGAAGTCATGTCTTATGTGTTTCGACTGAAAACAATGAAAATTGAGGCGAACAAAAATTGTGGTTTGGATCTAAATAAATTCAGCAAGATGGCGAATGTTGTGGGTCGAATGTTGTGGGTCAGCATCTAGCATCCTATAGTCACATGAAACCATTGACCAATCGCACCGCAAGCACCCGAATTTTTTTGTAATATATTATCTGATTGGTGCGCACGTTTTGGTAGAGGAATGCACTGTTAGGATAATATGGTTGAAAAAAAAACTTTTTGTCTTTAAAAACACAAAGTCAAATAGAGGTACGCAACGACGACTTCTGAACGAAATTAACGGCATATATTTTATAATATTTGATAAGTAGTTTATTTTGTATATTTGTAAGCCGGTAAAGCTTTGATACAGCCAAAATATCGTCACTTGATATTATCTAAATAGTGATTAATTTCATCTTTAAATTACAATATATTGCAAGACGCCGTACAGACAAAAGTTGTTATTTTGCAATTCGCCGTACAACGTCCCGCAATTCGCCGTACAATAAACAAACAATGTTTTGGTCCATATTCTTTAAAAACATCTTTATGACAACAGATTTCAGTCAATATGATGTCACACTATCATAATCTAAAAACGTGTCTGGAAAAATAATGAAAAACAGTTGAATATCTTGCCAATTGGGCGACAGAGGACAATCGACCTCGAAATTTTCAGGTACTAAGTTGCAAGCTTTGGAGTATAACACAAAATATTGTCTTAATTTTGTACTTATCGGCCTAATAATTTAAAGAATTATATATCAGAAAATCATTTCTTAAGCGGTACCCTCGTCAAATCAGTAGAAATGCTTTAAATTGAATGAATTCTTACCTTGTTTACTTTTTTTCCATTTCTCTCCGCTTCGTTAGTACCCAATTTCCGGTGGCGATGATACACAGTGATACTGTGTCAAATAAAAGATACACACACGTATTCCTCATTATTAACTTAAACACAAATAAGACTTATAAGTCCATCTTTTTTAAGATGCCATAATAAAAACAAATGTCTTGCTTTAGGAACGGACAAATCATATTTTAAAAAAACTCTTAATTCGACAAAAATGTTGAAACTGTGAAACTGACATGATGTTTGATTTTTTTTATTGACCAAATGTTTTTTATTATGTTAGGTTGACGTTTTATTTTCAACTGAGACCATATGCAATCCCATCAGAAATAATTATGGTTCTCTTTTCACCGACATGTCCCTTTTTTTAACCAAGCTAATGTTTAAAGCTATTGATTTAAACTTACATTGGAAAATTCCATTATTGTATGACAAATATTCTACAAATCATGATTTTGCATGGACAAGACTTTTGTGCGAGTGTGTGGCTAGTTAAATCATATTCAGTATAAAAGTTATCCCAAGCAATGGAGTATAACATATATGGCAATCTATGGACTTCTTCCATCTGGCAGTAAATGGGTATTCTTTATAGCTTGCTGTTCGGTGTAAGCCAAGGCTCCGTGTTGAATGCCGTACTTTGACCTATAATTTTTCATTTTACAAATTTTGACTTGGATATAGAGTTGTCTCATTGGCACTCATACCACATCTTATATCTATTCGCTTCATTGTGCTGAATGTATAAACACGCAGCCACGTCCGATGCCACATCAACTTTACGTTAGCATATATATATACCCTTGCAACAACTCTTTCAGGGGTTTAATAGCAAAAAATTCATTTTCGAGTTGCATTCGAAATTTCTGTTCTTCATCGTGTTCTTCCTAGTCGTTCCACTTATTGAATTATTGTTGATTTGTTCTCGTTCCGAATACGCATGAACTATTTGTCACTCGACGCCAAGCAAATCCGTCATTCATATCCGCGCATGATATAAAATTAATCTTTTGCACCTTAAGATGCCGAAAACTTTGCAGTAGAATGTAAAAAATTTCTCATTTGTATTTCAAGGCGCATTCACACTAAAATTGTTCATTCTTTTTTATGTCTCAATCCTTCATGGAAAGCTTGTATTAATTCAATGGACAACCGACTGAATAAATCAATAACAACACTAAAAGGTTCTATCACGCTTAACATGATCTTTCAAAGAATGTGCGATGGGTGCGCTGAAGGTTATAAAAAGAGTTGAATTCAAACGGTATTGAATTAAGACCACGAGCTAGTGTTTGTCATAGAATGTGGACATACTGAGTGTTTTAAATCAAGAAAATAGTCATAGAACACGGTGGTCCTCTCTGGATGCACAAACGGGAAAAGTTACCCGAGATGTTGAGATATTGAAATATATATGCGAAAAAAGGTTAAGTTCCGCTTAACTTCTATAAAGGAATTTAGCCTAAATAAAAAAAAGAGTGTTTAAACAATCTCTGCAATTGTTTAGTCATGACACAGTCTTTCGAATCAACTTGTACTTATTATGTCTGCTAAAATGTAAAATGAAATTAGAAAAAAAACTTTTCCAAATGAAAAACTTTGGGATTCATGTCTAACATTGACAATATCACTTAATGATTTTGATGCGTCCAAAGCGCTTTTCTGTATTTACCTTTATTTTGATATCCAAAGTTATAACACACCATACAATTATTGGTTAAATGTGTCTTCTTAAAACTAAGGAATATAAGTATGAGTATGATGGCCATAAAATCAGTAGGACGTCATCGTTTTCGAAGCAATAACATAAAGGTGTTAATTCTGTTTATTTATGTTTACCTTTACTACATTTATATATAAAAGATCATAAACTTGAAATAGATATTTAACCAAATTACATAATACTTTTTATTTATTATTAGTGGCCAAAGTTATGTATACCACATGTATTGAAGAAGTGAAATCAATTTTGTTTTGAATCGTTCTCAATTTTAAACTTGCAAAATTTGTTAGATTTCTTAGATGCTTTTCGCCATCTTGCAGTTCAAAGAAGAAAAAAGAAGCAAACATTTCACTAAGTTCGTTAATAGTTAAATTGAGTTAATATGAGTTTATAATTTTTCTCTGTACCGATGTAATGCATTGTCTGTATGAGAATTAAAATATATATAGTCATTCAACCAGACATGGCAAAATTCAATATTTTAGGTGGGCAGGTTTCTTTTTTTTTCTTTTCTCTGTTTTTTTTTCTTACAAAATCAAATACTTCTATTTTTCTTAACAGAATTTGCATGTTTAGAAAAATGTCCATGATTAAGAAAGAATCTTTTACAATAGATACGCATCTCTTATAATAAAAACTAATTGAAATTATTATATATAAACCGTAATAATTCTAATTTGATTCTAAACTCGGTTTCCTATTAAGATTACAAATTATTATACTATTGGAATTAAGCGTGGATATCGATAATCAAACATTCAAAACCTGTTGTGATCCGATATTTAATTATTTATGTACACAAGTTGGCGTGCAAAAATACTTCCATGCTCGGAAATACTGATAAACTCGTTTCCCTTTATAAGAAAATTGAGGTACCTCCCTTTTTTTAGTACGAGTTGTCTTTCTTGACCGAACTAATAGTTTAAGTGCATTCATGTGTACGATTGCCCTCTTGGTATTTTCTCTCCGTATCTTTTTTTATTTACACTCAAACAGTTTTTTCGTTCTTTGAATTGTACATGTATACTGCTATTTGATTTATATTTGTTTAATGGTGAGTTGTTAAAACAAGAATAGATAAGTTAACACTTATTGCCAATCAGTATAAGCCGTATTCTTTGTTGTGCAATATTTCAGTTTGTCACATTTCAAAGACGGATATATAAACGTAAAAGAATGGATTAATAGTTAAGCGTAAAATACAAGTGACTTTTAAATGATTTGGATCAATAAAGGCTACAAGCAAATGCTAGTTAATATCATAAATTTGATTGATTGATTGTTGGTTGCTTAACGTCCAGTGGCAAATATTTCATGCATATTCAAGACGATATCATAAATTTGGATTTAACTGAATAAATTATACAATTATAATATAAATCTTGGATAGAACAATTGTCGGTCCATACTTGACAGTCCTTTTTGAACTGTCTAAAATACCAACACTTTTAAAATCAGAAGGATGAGAAAGATGGTATTAGAAACCACAAAATAACTGGATTCTTGACACTGAGACATAATCTGACAACCATTAAAGAAATTGCATATACTATAGTAATCTATGGTACAAAGGCATGATAGCTAACTGATACTCCTTCATCTATTATGTCCCAAGAGTTAGGATGGCTACTCCTTCGTCTATTATGTCCCAATAGTTAGGATGGCTATACTCCTTCATCTATTATGCCCCAAGAGTTGGGGAGGTTACTCCGTCATCAATTATGCCCCAAGAGTTAGGATGGCCACTCCTTCATCTATTATTCCCAAGAGTTATGCTGGCTATACTTCTTTATCTGTTATGTCACGAGAGTTAGGATGGCTACTCCTTCATCTATCATTCCACAAGAGTTAGGGTGGCTACTCCTTCATCTATTATGTCCAAAGAGTTAGGATGTCTTATATACTATTTATAACAGAAGTACTGAATATATCATAACATTGAATTTATAGAAGTGTATGAATAATCAAGCACCTGAATATCTATCTGAACTTTTTCAATTTACATTGTTCAACAGATGGATTCCCTTGAGAACAGAAATCAGAGCGTTGTAATAGAATTAAGGATATGTCTAAACACAAATCCCTGTACTCTCTCGTGTACCCCCAAGTCACAGTTCTTTGACCTACTGTGTCTGGGCGGCATGTCACTTATGAAGGTCATGACCAAAAGATAGCTTCATCAGAGACTAAACTAGACATAATTGAGATGGGAGCCATCTCTGTGGGCCCTGCTTAAATAACCTGTTGTAACAAAAAAAAATGTATCTTTACCATAGGACATGGGGTTGTCAACTAAAACCAAAGTTTTTGACCTTGAACTTTGACCTAGGAAGTTGTACAAACATTATGACACACCCTCTGGTGTTGGTTAATATACATGACAAGTATAAAGTATGAAATTATAACGGTTCTCTAGATATAGAGCGGACACAATTTGTTACGGACGGACAGACTTATCACTATAGGGCGACCCGCCACTAGGCGGGGCCCTTATTATG